GCCAAACAGGTTAGATGACTATAAGGAATGCCCTGTAACCAGAGGAGTTAGCATTACTGTATGCGCTAGGACACAAATGCAGGTTGAGAGACTGGAAGTTGCTGGGGATTAACATCAGATGGATTAACATCAGATGGGCAGTAGTGCGTCAGGTGCTGACCTTGCCTGTGGCGGTCGATTCGCTGCATCGAGCACTGCCAGGGGTGATCCTGAGGGCTCGGGAGTCAGCCCTCAGCATGGTTCAGGTGTGGCTCCCACAAACATGTCACAGTACTACCGTTTCATCTAGAAACAGTTTGAGGGGCTGAGGCCAAAGCAGTGGCATGCACGCTTTGTATGCGGGAGCTCTGGGGTCGACCCCCAGTACCACATGGTCCCCCAAGCACTGAACCCAGCTCGGAGCACTGCAGGGCGGCCCAACAGAACAAAACAAAACTTCCCAGTGGCAATACTGGGGCTGAGGCGATAAGCGCCCACAGATGCGCACGTCGCCGAGGTCTCCCACTTTCCTCACACCCCACCTTGCCCGACACCAAACACCTTGGTGGTTTTCTAAATCTCCCATGATCCTCTTCTGCCATTCTGGCTTTTGGGGTGCCAGGGGCTGGTGTGGAGCCTGTGCTTCACTGAGCTGCACTCTGGAACCCCTGAACCTCTGGAGCCTCTCCCCTCCCCCATCCCTTCAGGAAACAGACGCCTTGTTCCTGTCTCTCCAACAGCTAAAATTATTTTCTTCCTAAGAATTTTTTTCTTACTTTTTGGGGGGGTCACACCCAGCAATGTTCAGGGATTACTCCTGGCTCTGCACTCAGGAATCACTCCCGGCGGTGCTCGGTGGGGGGGACCATATGGGATGCTGGGAATCAAACCCAGGTTGGTTGTGTGCAAGGCAAAAGCCTTACCCACTGTACCATCGCTCCAGCCCCTCCCTAAGAAATTTAAGCCAGCACAATTTTAGTCTTAGAACTAAAGGAAAGAAAAATTTCTAGCAAAGTTGTGGGATACAAAAAAAATCAATAAATCCTGTTTCTTTGTGCTAACAGTGAATAATCTGAAAGGGAAATTTCTAAAAACTCCAGCTTTAGAATATAACGGGTGGGAATGTGGCTGAGTGGGAAGCGCCTGCCTACGATGGGGGCCCTGAGGTGATCCTGGCATGCCAGCCTAGCCCACCCCCACGTAAGTAGGAATAAAGCAAGGAGATAAAAGATGTATAATGAAAAAGATGTATAATGAGACTAAGTTAAGGGAAACGTGAATAAAAGCCAGAAGACGCCCCCGGTGAGTGGATCAGAACATTACAGTGTCTTTACTGCCCAAAGGACCTTCAGATCCAACACCACCCCCAAAGACCCAAACACTTAAGAGACAGAAAAATTCCTCCTAAAATTCCTAGGGAATCTCAGGAGCTCCAACTAGTCAGAATGCCCTTGAAAGAAAACAATGCTGTAGGTCTCACACTTGGTTTCAAAAATGAATGCAAAGCGACAGTAATACACATGGTTGGGGTCAGAGAGCCAGATCAGTTAACGTGATGAAACCTGCTAACAGGCCGCGAGAACCTGAGTGAACCCAGAGACACGGAGAGACACAGGCAAAGGATTAAACTGGACTTTTGCCTTCTATCACATTTGAAATTTGACTGAGAATGAATCAAAGCCCTAATCAGAACTAAACAGATGGGACGGGGACAAAGCATAGGTCTGATGCTCTGTACTGCCAGCTGGGACCCCAGCGCCACGGTGAGCCTGACACCTGGGACCCCGGCACCACGGCTGTCTAAAGAGTGTGAGCTCCCGGCCCCAGAAGCACAAGGACTTAATGCAGAACCCAGCAGCTTGGAGTAGAAAAGTGAACGGACTATGCGTTAATCCAAGCCATCATGTCTGCCTGGAGGGGAAAGGGTGTTGCCCCATTCGCCCTCTCCTCTCTGGAAAGAAGATGGCGGCCACATGGGCACCTTATGGAGAGCAGGTGTGAGCCGGAGGTGCGGGGGCGACAAAAACCTCATGGGAAGGGGGGGTGTTCCGGTCCGTCCTTCATGCCCTACCGAGGTCACCAGTTGCCCCCCACGAGCAGCTCTCCAGCACAGCCACGGCCCCAGAAGCACAAGGACTTAATGCAGAACCCAGCAGCTTGGAGCAGAAAAGTGAACGAACTATGCGTTAATCCAGGCCATCATGTCTGCCCGGAGGGGAAAGGGTGTTGCCCCATTCGCCCTTTCCTCTCTGGAAAGAAGATGGTGGCCACATGGGTGCCTTATGGAGAGCAGGTGTGAGCTGGGGGTGTGGGGGCGACTAAAACCTCATGGGAAGGGGGGCATTCCAGTCCGTCCTTCACGCCCTACCGAGGCCGCCAGTTGCCCCCCACGAGCGGCTCTCCAGCACGGCCACGACTCCAGAGCACAGAAACCAATCTCTTAATTATCTGACTCTCAGTAGAAATACTTCCAGGGTTAATTAGCAAAATAGCGGAAATCCAAAACCAACATTTAATTCTTGAACACAGCTGTAGAAAGCGAATCACTTCACAATGCTTTCTCAGCATGTCTGATTTGGGGGGAGGGGGTAAACTCTAAATAATAGTGGTGCATCTTTTATTGAAACAATGAATCTAATCAAAGCAGATAAGAGTGTCAACTAGAATTCATCTACCTCGCAGGCATTGGGAGGGGTGGGGGATGGGGTTTTATTGGGGTTCTTCGTGGTAAAAAAAAAGTATTGGTAAAGGGAAAGGTGATTGATATTTGCATGACTGAGACCTAAACCTGAAAGCTTTGTAACTTTTCCCACGGTGATTCAATAAATAAATTATTTTTTTAAAAAAAAGGGGTGTGAGCTCCAGTAACACGTGTGAGCACAGTAAAGTGGTGAGCACCACAGCCAAGCATGCAACTTCCAGTCACTGCAAAGCCCCCCTTCCCCCCTCCAACACACACACAGAACCAAAATAACAAACTCCTTGGAAGAAACAGGAAAAGACTGGACATGGCTCAGTCTCTTGGACCAGGACATCGAGCCTGGGCAAGCAAGAAAAAAAATAAGTTGAACCATGCATGTCAGAACTTCAATCACATACATGGACGGGCGAGCCACACAACAGGAGGAAAGAGCAGTGAGCCATGGTCAGGCGTTGAGGTCACGGACACACCTCAGAGCCTCACCCCTACTACCCGCCTGAAAAGCTGACCAGGAAGGAGCTCGAGCATCACGACTCAGTTTCCTGGAGCCAGTGATTACACAGGTTTAGTCTGAGGCCACCTGGGGATGTCCAGGGACCACTCCTGGCAGGGTGGGGGGACCATCCATATGCAGCGCCGGGGCCTGAACCCCGGCTGGCCGGGTGCAGGGCAACCTGCCATATACTCCCTCTGATGCCAACACTGAGTATAACTTTTTCCCAGTAAGAGGCACAAACAGCCAATACACTCACTAAAAGAGAAATCGTTGACGCTGAGGGCAAAGCAAACTGAAGCCTAGAGGCACAGATGCCACCTTGAACCATGATGGTTATTATGTCCTGTCCTGTCCTGTCTTCCCCGTTGTTCATCGATTTGCTCAAGCGGGCCCAGTAACGTCTCCATTGTGACACTTGTTACTATGTACGGCATATTGAATATGTCACAGGTAGTTTGCCAGGCTTTGCCGCGCAGGTGAGATACTCTTGGTAGCTTGCTGGGCTCACCGAGAGGGATGGAGGAATCGAACCTGGCTTGGCTGGGCTGGCTGCGTGCAAGGCAAATGGTTATTATAAGAAAAAAAAAAAAAAAGACATGTCAGCGACAGTGGAAGGCTCGTGCACCGAGGGGAGGCGGGAGGGCAGCAGGCGGGCACCCGTTCACAGCAGCGCTGCCCACAGCCCACGTGTGCAGGCAGCCCACTTACCCTTGACGAGGAAGGACACGGATGGGGTGTCAAGGGCCCGCGGGACCAAGTGAAGCCAGCGCAAAAGAACCGAGAGCGTGAGACTGCTGGGAATGGTCTCCGGGCAGTGGGATGGGGCCTCTCAGGCGGCTGGTCGCCAGGGACTGACTGAGGTGTAGGTGAGCTGAGAAGATGAGGGAGTCTGAGACTGACTGGCCTGGGGAACCTAGTCATCACTCAGCATGTTAGTAGGGGCAAGTTGACAACAGAACTTACCTCCAGGAGCGTTTGGAGGCCTGGGGTTGTTACCTGTGTTTCAACCATGCCTATGTCACAGGTGCTCGAGCTTGACGCTCCTCGGTTTGAGGCCCAGAACGTCATGTGTGGATGGGAACGGCCTGGGCTCCAAGACTCCTTCCTCTTTCGGCTGGAGCTGGGGAGGCTGTGGACTGAAAAAGGGAAGCCGTGCTTCCCAGCTGTGTCAGGTACGAGCCAGGGCGTGCCTGGGCCTAGGGCATGTGTCTCGTCCCCAGTGGAGCCGCCCCCGGACACTAGTCCAGCGCCTGGTTGGGCGGCCAAGCCTGGGCACGACTCTCCACAGCCCCTCAGGAGGACGGCGGCAGAACGGCTGTCTCAGTGAGACGTAAGGACCACAGGGGCACCTCTGCCACCAGGGCTGATGGCATGTGGCAGCTACAGTCCTCAGGGCTCCAAACACAAGGTGTCATTCCGTAATCCCAGAAGGTTCCAGAGAAGGGTGGACGGCATGAGCTTGCAGCAGAGCCGAGCCATCTCCAGATCTGATGCCAGGACCTTAGGGCTCACCTGGTGGCAAGTCCCTCTCCGTGCAGGGTGGCCACCTCAGGGCCCGTGGCCATTGGGCAAAGCTTCTGCCACATTTGGTGACGCCCCTCAGCTGGGATGTTGGCGAGGCAGGCCGACCTCGTGGCTGCTTCCTGTCGCATGGGAGCCGGGCAGGCCACGACATCTCGGCCTTGCTGAGGCCACCCCTCCGTTCATGGGTCACAGAGCCGCAGCCTGGGAGGCGCAGGCAGAGGTGAAGAAACTTCCTGCAAGGGCCCGCGGACTCCCAGAGGCCGAGGAAGACACATCTCACCACAAAGGAACCACAACATATCCTGTTATAAAATATTTATTCTAAAAAATCACACTGTACAAATTTAGATAGAACATTCTCAACGCACCTATTTATAAAAATGTGAACAGCCCAGAGTTAACGAACAAATGTTCGTAGCTGTTGTTTCTTTTTAAATTAGGAAGAAAAAAGTGATTCTTTCTCAGTTCCACTGATAGGAGAAGTCTGTGAGAGACGGTTGCTGGCGGGGCCCTAGGCTGGACCCTGGGGGAGCAGACCTGTGGCATCAGGGAGGGGGCAGTGTGGGAGAGGGCAGGTCCGACGGCTCAGCGTGGACAGTTCCGGCCACTGTCACACCCCTCTCCTGACCGGAACCAGCAGGAACTTGACTGCAGGATGCTGAGAGGAACCGGCCCGGCCGGCTGGGTGGAGCCCAGGGGGTCACAGCCAGGGGTGCCAGGCGGGGTCCATGCGGCACAGGTTGTCCAGGCTGTTGGCAGCGGCCACCAGGGTGCTCACTTTGCTCTCGCCGCCCTCGAACTGGGCGAGGTTGTGCAGGCGGGTCATGATGGCGGTGACCGCCTTCTGCACCAGGGTCACAAGCTGCTGGCTATCCATGTTCTCGGGCTGCCCAGCAGCCGACAGCGGGGATGACGTGTCCTCCTGGGTCTTCTTGTGCCAGGCAATGATCTCATCACGCAGCACCGTCTTCAGGATGCCGTCCACCTGGGGAGGGGCAGTGTCTCGTCCCTGGCCGTTTCCTGGACCCCCCGCAGGGCACAGCACCCCAGGCAGCTGTCACCTGTCTGTCCTCCCACCCACTCCGGGAGCTCCTGCTGCAGGGTGGTCGGGTGGGAGCAGGGCCGCAGAGCACCCCCAGGGGCTCGACACTCTCCTGCTCACACCCCTCGGACCCGCACTGTGCACCACTTCCCCAGAGAAAACTGCTTCCACAGCAGAAAGGGAAACCAAGGGCCATCTCTAACGGCGGCAGAAAAAGCCACCGCAACACACACATGGTCACAGCCGCCAGAGGGAAGCACTGTGAGTGGGTCCCCCGGGGTCCGGGCCTTGGGGACGGACACCCCCACACTTCTGTCTAGCATGGCGCCAGCCGACTTACCTTGAAGTTCGGCTGTGCAAAGCAGCGGGCGACGGCGATCATGGAGGCGGTGAGCGGGCCGGAGACCCCGATGGTGGTCAGGAACTCGGAGATGTTGGGTGTGAGGCGGAAAGGAACGGGGCGGTTGGCATCCAAGTCCCCGGTCGCGTCGTTTATGTCAAACCGGAAGTAGGCGACATTGAGTTTGCCAGTGTCCTGTAGGCGGCAGAAGAGGTGTCAGCAGCGGCCACAGGAGAGAGGCGGGGGGTGAGGGGCGGGGGAGAGAAGTGGGGGTGGCCTGACCCCCATTACCTGCGCAATCTGGAGCATCTCAGGGTTGAGCCTGTTCAAGTGCAGGACGAACTCGGCAAAGCCGATGAGCGCCAACTGGATGGTGAGCACCTTGCGGAAGGCCCAGTAGTCGGTGGCGTTGGGCAGCGCGTGCAGCGCCCACTCCTTCAGCATGCTCCGCGGGACCATGTTGCTCTGCACCTCCTTGAGGATGTCGCGGAGCACCTGAAACCACAGCCACAGCCCCGGGCTCGCACCCGCCTTGGGAGACGAGCCATAATCCCTGCGAGGCTCCATGCACTCACACCACCGACCCGCAGCAAGGGCCAGTGCAGAACCTTGTAGAGAAGAGGGAGAGCGGTCCAGGCACTGAGCGAAGGCAAGCACGCCAGCCTGGACAATGGGGCCACGTGCTGTGGTCTAAAGTGCCCAGCTGGTGTGGGCTGACCCAGGGCTCGGGACTGTCTGGGCGCGAGGAGGCACCTTAACCCCGGACTACCTCTTCGGCTTCAAAAAGAACGAGGAACTGACAGACACATGCGAGGCTGCCTGGAGCCATTCTCCAACCACCCTGAAATGTGTCTGCGTGGCCGTCACGTCAGGAGCCCAGTGCCCAACTCACTGACCACCTGCCGCCTTGGCAGGAAAATTCTGAGGCGATCACGCACGTACACTTACTGCGGCTGTCGGGCTCCATGCCGCCCTCCCTCTCCCCACAAACACCTCAGCCCATGCCCCAGGTTCCCGAGGGAGGTACTGAGCGGCTTGGCCAGCACCGGGTCGTGGGAGCACAGCCTCCCAGGAAAGGAGCACCATGCAGAGTCCTCAGGACTGGCCAACCTCAACAAGTCCCGAGAGCCAAGGCTGGAGTGTCCGAGACTGAGGAGCTGCCGGGACCTTCCAAAAGCCCAGCAGGGGAGCACACGCAGCTGGGCCATGCCCACAGCCCCCCACACCCTCCCTGGACAGAGGTAGGTTCCCACCTGTGGATGGGGAGGGGCAGAAAGTCAACAGTCCCTGGAGCAAACAAACATGGGGGGGGGGCGGGGGGGGGGCGGCAGGTCACCGTCCCACCTGCCACTCTGACTCATTTCTTAACTATGGCCCTGAAACCTGCTCCCCAAATCCCAGGGTGCCTCAGCGATTCTCAGCCACCCGGCCTGGGGCCCAAGGCGAGGGCACAGGGATGCAGGTGGTCCCAGTGACGACTGAGGGAGGGAGACCCCAAGGTGCAGGGCTGTGGCCAAGAGTCAGCTGCTGTCAGGCGGTCAGTGCTGACCCCTCCCAGGGTGGGGGAGGGTCGGGAAAGGCCACCCGGCACCCCTCAGCCCACACCCACCTGGTGGCTGGCCTGGGTCCCGCGCGCCTGCACCGTGGCCAGCCGGTCGTAGTAGCGTGAGATGGGGTTGTCGTGCTCGATGCCCTTCTTGGCGCAGCGCTGCTTGTAGATCTCCACAAGGGACAGGGAGGAGGGGTTGTCTTCCACGAGGCGCATCTGCGGGGACACTGCCACCACGCGGGGAACTGGAGGCAGAGGCGGAGGGAGAGGCAGTCAGCGGCCACCCCTGGCACCATGGCCTCCGGGAAAGCCTGGCCCAGTGGCAGCTGCGGCTGCGGGTGTCTGATCTGCCCGGCCCTGCCCCCGAGACACAGCAATTCTCCACAAGGCTGAGCAGGAAGCAGAGGCCCGGCCCCGCCCACCTGCTCAGTGAGGCATGAGAATATGGCCTTAATCAAGTGTCTATGGTGACTATAGTGCAGTGGGTAGGGCGTTTGCCTTGTAAGCAGCCAACATGGCCGACCCAAGTTCGATTTCTCCGCCCCTCTTGGAGAGCCCGGCAAGCTACTGAGAGTATCTCGCCCACACAGCAAGCTACCCGTGACGTATTCGATATGCCAAATACAGTAACAATTGCCACAATGGAGATGTTACTGGGCCTGCTCGAGCAAATCGATAATCCATGGGAGGACAGTGACAGTAACATGGTGATGTTAACTTGTCTGCTGGTGTCAGAAGGCTGGGCCCCCTCCTGAAAGTCAGACTCATCAGGGGACCCGACGTCCTCCCCAGTGTCAATGAAGACCTGCTCAGAAGTGGCACAGCACCATCTGCACGTAGGACAGGGCTGCCGAGCTCAGGGCGGTATGGAAGGCCCTTTCTCCAGGGCGGTGTGGATGGCCCCCCCAGGGGGCACTCCCAGTGACAGTGCTCGCACCTGGGGTCACCAGAGGGTGTGCCCCTGCGCTTTCTCCTGCCTGCATCTTCAGGCCACATTTGCTGGTGACTCGGTGCTCGGGGGGACCAGGGGTGCCAAGAATGGAACCCGGACTGCAACCAGCCCATCTCCACCTCAGTTTCCTCAGCAGAAGAGCAGCAGACGCCCCAAAGCCCTGCTGAAGCATGGGTGGACATGGACTACACTGGGCCAGAGTGGGACGCGGGTGTGGACTTTGGCTGATGGTATTTTGTGGAACAGAAGAGCAAACCAGCCCGCACGGCCCACGGCACCCAGCCACTGTCTCCGGTCCCCACAGGGACTTGGTGTGAGCCAGGTGTACGCGACACATCCAGTGTGACTGGCCCCAAGAAGCCACGTCCAGGACCTGGACTGTCACCAACCAGTGCCTGAGGGTCATCTCCTGGAAGAAGTGGAGAAAACTCTGCACCCAGAGCCGAGCCGAGCCCTGCGCAGAGGCCGCACCTGCCCTGAGCCGTCCTCCAGGGAAGACTCAGGTGGGGAAGCCGAGGTGAGGGTGACCTGTAGCCACGGCAGGGCCAGAGGCAGCTGGAAACGCTGCAGGAGTCGCCCGCCGACACCCAGAGACAGAGGCTGCTGGAGGACCCGCCACCGGGGCCTTTTCAGAGTCTCCCCTGGAAAGTGACATTTGCGAGAAGCCCCCAGACGGCCTGGGGCAGCGGAGTAGGGACAGGGTCCCTGGGGAGGCACAGCTGGCCAGGTGTGCATACACACGTGTGCATGCACACACACAACACACACGCGCGCAAACACATCTCAGGAAGTGCCTGGGACATGAGCATGAACATAAACACACAGACACATGTCACGCATCTCAGGAGGGGCCTGGGACACACACAAATACATGCACACACACAGGTATGACACACGCACACAAACATGTTACGCATCTCAGAAGGGGCCCAGGACACACACATGCACATGTACACACAAACACATCACACATCTCAGCAGAGGCCTGAGACACACATATGCACATGTACACACACACACACACACACACACACACACACACAATCTCACACCTCAGAAAAGGCCTCAACACACACACGCATGCACACACATAGAGAAGAAACATGCAGACACACGTCACACATCTCAGGAGGGGCCCGGGACGCACGCACGCGGGCTCACCCGTGAAGAACAGGTGCCTCTTGGTGGTCTCCTTCCGCTTCTCCAGGCAGGGGTTGAGCAGCCGCAGCAGCTGCAGCACGCGCTCCTCCCGGCGTGACTCGGTCAGGCAGGCGTCGTTCATCACCAGGTAGGGGTAGATCTTGCCATTGTGGCCGCGGATGTACAGCCTCCGGGCTGCGGTGTTATGCTTCTGCACAATCTCCACCCGGGGCATGAACCTGCCAGACAGCCCGCACGCTGACCCCTGGGACAAACTGCAAGCTGACCCCAGGACAAGCCACACGCTGACCCCGAAACAGGCCTCACGCTGATGCCGAGACACGCCCCGCGCAGGCCAACCCTGAGACACACCCGAGTACGCTGTATGCTGACCCCCGCCAGCCTAGTGGAGAGGATGTCGGGAGCCAAAGAACAGAGACGAGGGGTGAGGGGTAGCATGGGGAGCTGTTCCCAATGTCTGGGCCCCAAAGGAGAGTCTGGCCACGTGGGACACCACCCAGCCTGTCTCAGGGAGGAGGGCCCTGCAGGGTGGCGTGTGCAGGCAGGAAACTCACCGAGCGATCTTGATGTAGTAGTGTGTGGGCTTCGGCATCAGAAACTCCCCGGGAATCTCGACCTCAGCTGTCTGTGCGGAGAAATTGCTCAGAAAACGGCACTTTTCTTCTATGAGGAAGAATTTTGGAAGTTGCTTCGTTTTAGCTTCCAAGATTTTGATCCACTTTTTCAACTTCGAAATGAGATTGTGAAGTTTCATCGACCCTGGGACACTGAAGTCAAAATCTTCAAGATAAAAGGTGAAAAGCAGCTTTAATCATCGGATCACTCTCCACGGTCTCGTCCGCCTCGGCTGATGTATCCTCCGTAGCCACGGTGCCAGCCCGACCCAGCCCGCCCAGCAAGCAAGGCGAGCACCAGGCCCAGCCACACCTGGCAAGGACCACCCAGCCTTGCTCCTGCAGGAGCCAGGCCTGGACAGGCAGAAGCCTGCGGGGGAGGTGGGGCTGCGGGACGGGCCGCCTACGTGTGCCGTGAAGCTGGCGCCACGTGGCCCAGGGGCACCTGAGTGGACCCGGAGAAACGAGAGCCCCAAATTCCATAACAGCATCCACTGGGTGCTCAGGGCAATGCAGGCGCCACGTGGGAACTGAAAGCTCTGGTCACGCGTCACGGGAAGGCTAGTGTCCCGGGGAGTGATCCCAGAGGCAGTCGCCTGAGACCTAGACGTGCTGGGGAACCACAGCCACACTTCCATCAAGATGCACCTGCAGGCGCCCAGAAAAATCGGGGCTGTGGCTGCTTGGTCACTCAGCCAACAGCTCAGACAGTGACCGTGGAATTCTACAGGACGCTGGATAGCGTGTGGCCGTCCTAGGCAAGTACCCAGAGACAGGCAGGCTCAGGAACACCCACAGAGCCGCAGGGAGGGGTCCCGCACCAAGGACTGGAAGCCCAAACCATTCACCCACCCACCACGCCCCCACCCGAGAGAGGCCGCAGAGTCTGACAGACACAGCCTGGCTCCTGTGCCCATGGCTACGTTCTCTGCTGCTGGGTTACCGGGGCTGAAGGTGGGCTGTGAGGGTGTGTACCAGGGTTCATGCTAAGGGGGGGCTCTACGCATCACCCCAAGGTGGGGTAGCCACAGGGTCGGGGCCAGCAACGCAGACACACGCGCTGCGTCCAGGGGAAGGCTGGGGGCGGCCAACTCACCGCTGGTGAACTGGCCCTTCAGCTTCTGGAAGACGGGGTCCTGTGCAGTGGCCTGCGCCCGCCGGGCCAGAGACTCGGAGGCAGCGCTGGAGAACATGGTGGACACGTTGGAGACGTTCTCCAGGCCTACCCCGAACGTGCTCACTAGCTTCTTGACGAAGTTGAGCGTGTGGGGCGTGATCTTGGCATCCGACACGGCGCCGCTCTTCTCGAACGCCACCGAGTAGCACTTGGCCAGGCCCTGCTGCAGCTGCCGGAGCACCTATGGGAGAGCCCAGGGTCACCCACCAGCACCGGGCGCCGCCGAGCTCGGGGACAGCCCCTCCTCTCTCTCACACCATGGCCACCGGGCGCTAGCCGGCAACATGCCACTGGATTCCCAGCAACAGGAACAGCCCAAGGAGGGGCCGGGCGTGCGTGGAGCCGAACGCTCGGTTCCGGGCGGGAACGGCCTCCCTGGCTCCGTCACGTCTCTCGCCGCCTCCTCCTTGCTTCCTGCTCCACTGACCGGGGCCCCACGCAGGCGGGCTCCATGACCACCACACCGACTCGGAATGACCGGCCGACCCCGAGGGGGACAGCCACGTCCCCTCCGGGCGGGGCAGGTACCTCTTCGTGCCAGTTCTCCCGGAACCAGACCATCTGGTCGACGATGCCTTCCAGGGAAGACAGCAGGGTGGGGTGGAGCTCCCGCTGCATGTGCATGATGCGGCTGCAGCGCCACATGGGCGCCGTCGCTCTTATGGGCCCTGGATCTGATGCAGAATGGGACTGGTTACCCACTGAGCTGGGCTGCTGCTGTCCAGAATCTGAGAGCGACACACACAACGCCCGCGTCAGCCCCGCCCGCTCCCGAGCACGCGCGCCCAGCCGGGCCGGCTGGGAGGAGACGGGGCGGGGGCGGGGGGCCACGGCGGGGAGAGCGAGATCCCACTCCACAGCACCGGCTGCTCCGCCCGGGCCGGGGGTCCAGGGAGCCCGGGGGCAGAGGAACAAGTCTGTGACTCGGCTCCGCGGAAGGAGAAAGGCCAGAGCTGGCACCCAGGTTGGAGGCGTGGGGCTGCGCCCTGGTACATATTGCGAGGGGGAGGGAGGGGGGCGGAAGACCCCTACTCTAGCTCGGAGAACCTGCCGGCAGCCAGGCCTGCTCGTTCATCTGGGAAAGTCAAACCGCAAGTGCAAAGTGATATTTTATCAAAAAGAGTCACTTGCTATGTCAGAAATAGGTTTAAAACAAAATAGCACCCAGGTCCCAATTTTCCACTTTCAGTTCACTTTCTTCAGATGATGAGTGCACGAATCTGGGGGCAGCTGAGTCAGGAGGAAGGGGACAGGTCACCTCCACGCTCAGAGTGCCTGGGGGAAAGGAACAGAAAGCTCTGACCGGGTCCATCTGCCCCACGCAAGGGCCATCTCCTACTCTGAGAACAAGCTCTATCGTCCGTCAGGTGATCAGTATGCCGATTCTTCCAACAGCCAAAGACATTCTTTAAAACCGCAACAAAATGCAGCGGGCTGAGGGCGCCCTGGGACAGGGAGGCGGGAGCAGCCCTGGTGGAGGGCGGATGCTGGAACCATTTATGTAGGAAACCCGAGCACGGAACCGGAAATGAAATTTAAAAACTAACAAAGCAACAGAGACCAAGCACCAGCACCTGTGGCCCCAAGGGAGGCCGTTACAGCTTGCCCAAGGGAGCCAGACCCCAGGGCCAGCCGTCGTTACAGACGGTGTTTCTTGTGGACGACTCAGAGGATGCTGTCATTAGGACTACAGGCCCCCCAAGTGAACTCTCCCTGGCTAAGCGCCAAGGCTGACCTGCCCCTGAGGCCAGACGAGGCCAGAGCAAAGGTGCCGCATCCAGAGGGGAGCCCGGGCCCCCGCACCTACCGCTCTTGTAGCGCTCCCGCTGCTCTATCTTCAGAGTCAGGTAGAGCGTCCGGATGGGGAAGTAGACAGCCTGGGGGTATACGCGTCCAACCTGCTCGGAGACGAGAGGGAAGAGGGGGCGGTGCTCGTGACCTGGGCAGCTCGAGTGATGACAGCCAGCATGGCCTGGAGGGGCTGGGCCTCAGGGCCACACAGAGCAGGCAGCTGAGCCCCGGGAGCGGCTACTTCTCAAGCAGGGAAACTTCCTTGGATCCAAAGATCCAAGTGCTGAGGGCTGGTTCATGTGGAAGGCACCGCGAGGTCCCTCAAGCACCGGGAGTGACCCCTGAGCACCGAGCTGGTTACAGCCTCTGAGCACTGCTGGGGCTCAGAATCAAAATCAACCCCCGCACAGAGCACTTCACTAGTCCTGACAGAGACCATTTCTGACCGAAGAGCATGTCCACTGGGGCCTTGAGAAACTCGAGTCTCTGGATCTTCCTCAGGCAAGGAGCAGAGGAACAATGAACAACACCAGCCAGTCTGGATGCGACTTCACCATGGAATGGGGGCAACTAACACAAGGTAACAGTCTGCGAAACTCAAGGTCCTCATTAAGGGAAACCACCAAACCCGGGCTTTAAGGCTCCCACAAAACAGCCAACTGGCTAGAACCGTGCCCAGGCCTTGGCGCCTGTGGAAGTAGGATGAGGCCAGGCCACTCGTCCCGGGCAGCCAGCTAAGGACAGGGAGGGAGGGCACGGCGACATCAAATAAGCTCTATCCCACCAGCACCGAGAAGTGTAAGCCAAAGGGAAAATAAAGCCAATTCTGGGCAGAAGGGTGAGCTCAACCTTGAAGTGTATGTTCTGCATGTGGTTGAGTTCAAGGCCTGGCATCACACGGTTCCCTGGAGAAGCGCTGAGGGGCAACCGCAGAGCCAGAACTGTGGACACCACAATCAGCATTTATGCACCCGCAGCGAGATAAGCAGGAGGGAGTGACGGGAGCAGGCCCTTGACCGCTGTCCCTCTTCCACTCACTCAGGGAAAGTCCTGACAGTCACTCACGCAGCTCAGGTGTGAGTGGGCGCTGGCAGAGAGGAGGCGCTGTTCCTGGTTCTCTTCTCTAGACTGAGTCCCAGTGAAATCTTGGGGACCACAGGGGGCACCCGGGATCAAACAGGGGACGGCTGGATACAAGGCAAGATCCTGAGCACCTACACTGTCCCTCTCTAGCCCCGTGAGTGAGTTTTATAAGAAAGAAACACGAGGTGTGGTGATCTCAGATGAGACACACTCGGATTTCTAAAGCTGGGGTCCTACCTCCCCATGGCCCTCAAAAAGGAGGAATATTCTGAAACCACTGACTAGTGGGCGGAAGCCGTTCTCCAGGCCTGCCAGACTGTACGCCAGCCCACTCAGGCGACGTCCCTGCTCAGATAACAGCAGCTACCACCGGTGCTGGAAGTTCAGGCCCCGTCACGGGCAGGAGAGCAGCTCACACCCTCAGAGATGCTCACTTGCATCTTGGTGGCAACACGTTCAAGCACAGAAACGATCATCTTAGTCCTGCGATGCTGACGATTTCTTCTCAACACTGGCATGTCTTATCCTACACTCTCGCTTAAGTAATTGTGCTTTACACCAAGTGCCACGCGCCTCTCACTGCAAGTTCCGTCTCCATTTCATTTGCCACGGACAGCACGCACGCCCTTCTGAGAGCGGGGAACTGCCTAATGGGGAACTCCCGTTACTCCCACCTGGCTGATGAGGTTCAGGAGCAGTTTCCCCTCGGAGCCCACCAGGCAGGTGAGCAGCTGCGGGATCCAGGACAGCCACTGGATGGGGGGTACGCCGATGCAGTACTTGTCCACAGCATCTGCCAGAGTGTTTTTGTCATCATCGAAACTCAAAAGCCACAGCACCTGAGGGAGAAAAATTCCGCAATTCAATGAAAATTCTGAGGCTCGTCACGTGACATCATGTTATTCATAACCAGCAATAGAAAAAAAATTGTCTGCTGTTGTCTTTTCAGCAGATCTGAATGAATGTTGGGGTAAAATCCCAAATAATAATGGTGGGTCTGGTGTCAAAATATTGAATGTAATCAAAGTAGAGAGAGAGTAATGTGGAAATCATCTGCCCCACAGGTAGGGGAAGGGTGTGGGATGGGGGTTTACTGGGGTTTTGAGGGGTGGGGAATAGGCACTGGTGAGCTACGGGTGTTTCATTGTATGACCAAGACTTAAACCCGAAAGCTTTGTAACTGCTCTCACGGTGATTCAATAAATAAAAAATAAAAAATGGAAAAAAAAAAAGTCAGGCAGAGTTCATGCCCAATTCAATCAGCTAATCAATGGCTGAATAAATAGCAGTACTCCTACATTAAAAAAAGAGAGAGAGAGAAAGAAAATTCCGAGGCTCTTAGTCCAGCTGAAAGATGAACAGGAAGCTGGGGATATGTGAGAACCCTGGTTTTCTCCCTGGTGCTCCCCCCAAACACTGAGCACCAGTGCGTGACCCCCAAAACAAACAAGACCACCGAAGTCCTCACTGGCAATGTGGAAGAGCACCTATGAGAGAGCCCACGATGTAGGGAGACTGGGACCTTCTCACAGCACTGACAGGGAGTGTGGTTCTCACCGGGGTATGCTCTAAATGCCAGCACTAACCAGTCCAGCCTGCTGGCTAAGGGCAATCAAGGACCCTCCAGAGGGCCAGAAACAGATGGCCAGGTCCTGCCCACCTACTAGTCCACATTAGTCAGCTCCCCAGTTAAATGGTCCTTGCCAGGGGGCTAAGAGGAAGATGGTACCTGCGTGCTGGGAGAGACACGGAGGAGGGTCCGTGTCACGCTCTCAGCATGCTCCAGCTTGGCTCACATGCAGGCCAGACTGGACCTGACGCCAAGGAACCTACAAGCTCCAGCCCCTTAGGACTGGATACAAACGTAGAGCAGTGCGCGCTCCCTACAGGGCCTCTGCCCTCTGTCCTCTGGGGAGCTGGAAGAACGCGACCTTGGAGAAATGACAACTTCGCACCCCAGGCCTGGCACCAAGTGTCCACTGTGAGCACAGCAGCCCGGGGAGCCCAGTGGGTGAGTCCTCCGGGCAGATGCACCCCGGCGTGCACTCCAGGGAGGGCACCGCACTCGACCCCACGGCCGACTCCGGGTCCAGTGCTGCTGTTCAAAGCCCCGAGACCCAATGTCCAAGCAGGCAGGAAAGGAGAGAGCGCGGCCCCCGGCAGGGAACAGACCCAGAGGGCCCCCACCTGCGAGGGGCTCGGGCGAAGTGAGCAGCCGTCTCACCTTGGCCAGGTACTTCCTGGACTTGCTCTCGTTCTGGTGCCGGCACGCGTGCAGGTAGCAGGTGATGGCGGACACCCCCAGGTGCAGCTGCCGCTCCTTCACAAAGATGTTCTCCAGGTAGTCGCCCCACATGGCCCAGGCCTTCACCAGCACGTCGTGCATTTGGACAGCCGCAGAGAAGGCTTTGTTGGCCTCTTCCGACCTGAGGACACACCAGCACGGCCACGGGTCAGTCTGTCCGAGCGACCCAATGAATGAGCCTCGGAGAATCCAGGGCACGTCACACATTCAAACTGTGTGCCCCGGGCCCCTGGCGCACTGATGGGCCTTTTCTCCAGGGCTCCCCTGTCGTGGGTGAGCAATGCGGCGACTGTGGGTTTCCCGCCAGCTGAGGCTTCCACCGTCCACCTGCGCTGAGGCAGGGCTGGGCAGCTCCTCCGCGTACCTCACATCCTGCTTCAACTCAGGGACGGTTGCTTTTTGGGGGAGGGAGAGGGAAGATGGTCAAGACAATCTTGGTGGCGGGGACCAAGCTGAAGGACACGTCCTGGTTCTACAGTGACCAGGAGCCCTAAGGAATGGCAAGGCTGTGTGGGCCTGGCACGGGACAGACATAAGTCAGTGGACAGAACCGAGTGTCCAGAATAGACCTGTGTTGGGAGAAAAGCCCCTTTTGGTCTGCTCTGAAGTGCCATACTAGTTCTTGGGCTCACCCTGGGCGGATGTTCCCAGAGCATTCAGAAGCCTGTCGCAATGTACATTTATGATCACAGGTCAATGCTGCCATGGGACAGGACCCTGGGATAGGAAGTGTCTGGCAGATGTGCAGGTGACAGCCTATCCATTATGATCAAAGGAAGACTATAACCCTATCTATAGAACCATAATGAAACAATATACCCCTATCTATAGAACTGAGGGGAAACACATGTTTGTTCTAACCACTGTGACTACAGTGACTAACTGCAAATATTCAAGCCTGTATCAACCTCGTATGCTCAATAAATTGGAACCACTTGATGGCCCTCCCCTCCGTGCTCGTGTGCTCATTTCTCATTTGTCGGTTGTTGTGGAGGCGGTGGCATAGGTTTGCTCTTTTCCCTCGGACCCCTCCCCTCAGCTGGAAGGAAGCTTGGCCTGTCCTCAGGACCCTGAGCGGTGACCCCTTGCTGGACAAGGGAGCGCGCTGAACAGAGCCCAGGAGAAGACCCCAACAGACTGTTCAGCCCTGACCAGCTGATTCTCAACAAGGAAGCAAGGCCATCCCAGAGTCTTTTTGCAACAAGTGGTGTGAGGAACCAGACTCCATGCCCGTGGGAATGAATGAATCTGGACCATGAGCTCACGCACGTGTGAAAACTCACAATGTACTAAAGACAAAGGCAAATCTCTTAGAAATCATAGCAGTAAACATCATAACCTCAGGCAAAGCTGCCTTAGAAACAAGACCAAAAGCGTAAGTCGTGGGAGGAAAAGTGATACGGTGAACTTCATTACAGTGATAAGTCTGTGCATCAGGACCCACTGAGAAGGGGCAGAGACAGCACAGGGAACACAGGGAGTATTGCGTACTGACAACGCTCAATCTGAAAGCGCCTCATCTGGGCAGAGGACTCAGACAGAGCCAGATACCCCCAGGGACAGGCAGAGGGGCCGGGAGACAGCAGCAGGGCACCTGGCCAGTAGGCGCAGGGTCCTGGGCCCCACCCAGCACTGGGCATCTGGGTTGTGCTGATGGCCCGTGCCAGCCCGCACGCCCGGACACTGCTGAGAGGCCATGGTTGGGCACACACCCGACTGTGGGGCCTGCTGGGGACAGAGCTGATAGGTTGGGGACTGGGTTCGGCCATGGGGCTCACACACCCCTGGCTCTGGTGTTCCCAAAACCACAGACTCAGCTACACCAGGCAGCACTGGCACACATGGGCAGCAGCAGGGATGCAGCGAGGCGGTTGATGCGGCCCCGGGCTCCGTTCCTGACCCCCTCACCGCTGGCTCCTCCCCAGGGGATGGCCAGCCCCGCCCACCCCACGGCCAACTGCAAAGGGGTCGGCAAGCACCTCAGGAGGAGTGAATGCTGCCCCAAACCGCATGGGAAGATGCGGGACTGAGTCCGTGAAAAGGATGGTAAGTGCTGTGCATCAAGGTGACTGCCGCAAGGCGCCACTCTCAGAGGGAGGATAAGCAACACACGACGTGGTAACGACCCTTAAGCCACACTGATTTTTAGCTTTGGCGTCCCACTGACTTGAAGTTACAGAAAACTACTCTGATAATAAACCATGTGGCACAGTTTTCTCATCTCATGAGACACTTACTTGTTGATCTGTGCCAAGAACATCCCCTTCAGAGCATAGAACTCAGCTGTCATCTCTTTTGTAAAGTACTTTAAGTTCGTAGACTCAATAACCTCAAGGCCCTGTTTTTAGAAAAAAAGAAATGGAAAAATTCTAACAAGATCTAGACAATGATATAAAAAAGTCACTGAGATACTTATCATCTCACGGCCTGATGGTCACTGACACATGTGTGTGAAGGTGTCTGAGCGCTGCTTATCCAGTGACAATACCGACGCACTGCCTGCCACACTGGGGTCGAACCCACGGCCTCACCACACAGACACGCCCCGGCCCCTTGTGAGTACTATTTATGTTGGACCACTGACGCTCACCCCAGGCCTGGCCCCCAGGGTCTGACTCCCTTCTGTGCTCTGTTTCCGTCGCCCCCTGCTAGTTTTCAATTCACATGAACCGAGTTATGGAGAACAGAGACCAGGAAATGCTATTCAAACACAAGCGATTTCCTTTCCTGTTCCGCTTTTTTCCCCCTTTTAGGCCACACCCGGCGATGCTCAGGGGCTACTCCTGGCTCTGCACTCAGGAATTACTCCTGGTGGTGCTCAGGGAAACATATGAATTGAGTGGCCATGTGCAAGGTCCACGCCCTCCCTGCTGTCCTACACTCGGGCCCCACCTTCCCTCTTCCTGCTTTGGAAGGGCTGTTCTCCTTAACTTCCATCTATAGAAAGTTCCAGTCCTTGTGCCCTCCGTGACGAGAGCAGGTGTCTGCGGGCACAGCCCCGCATCGGCACGCACCTGCATGCACTCATTCTTCCCCATGACTCCGGCCAGCTGCAGGTAGCACTTCACTTGCTGGCGAATCTTCTGGAAGCAGTCCACGATGGGCACGGTGGGAATCGTGTGGATGCGACTCAGTATATCCAAAGCTACGTTGACCAGCCCTTGTTTCCGGGCGATTTTCCCGTACTGGATGATGGCTGAGGCCGAGGCGTGAACCCCGAGCATGGCGTTATTCGAGCTCGGGTCGTGCTGGGAACTGTTCTCGTAAGCCGTGACAATCGCTGGAGGGTCGGGAAACAAGCTGTCAGCCCCCAAAGCCTTCAGAGCCCCCTGCAGCGACACGGACTCTAGTCACCTTGTCCCTGACTCGGGATGTAAGTGAAAAAACAAATGTGGTATATGGAAGTGGGGGGTGGGGGGGCGCGGTGATGAGTCCGCGTCGCTTTTCCTCGCATTTTATACTCAAAGGGCTGAAAAGTACCGTCCCAGCTAGCTCCACTACGAAGGCCAGGCTGCCGGGTGCTGGACACGGGGACACATCACCCAGCCTCGGCGAGAGGCTCTCGCTCGGGGTCCTCACAGCCCACGCCCCCAACTCAAAAGGCAGTGTCTGCTCTGACTAGAAAAATCTCAGAGGGCGGGAGGGGGCAAGGCGGGGGGGGAGGGGGGGATGGCTCCTCCTTCCCCTCCCCCATCCCCACCGAAGAGAAAGGAAATTCCGGTTAAAAACCCACACGGACACAGACGCGAAGACGACATGAGAGAGAAGAGCGGGCGTCTGGGGAATTACATGGTGGAGGCATGCCGGACCAGGTCGGTTTACCCTGGTAATGGTGCTGCCGCCACATGAAGACGCTGCTCCAGTGCGACAAGTCGTCGGACACGATGGGCAGCCGGTTCCGCCATGTCTTCACCACCGTCTTCATGTCGTGCAGGCTGTTGCTGCGGCCCAGGTTGGCGGGCTGCAGGCCCGCGTTGATCTGGGCCGCCTCCTGGAGCTCGATGATCTGCTGGGCAGCCTGGGTGGGGCCGGGACGGGGAAGACGTAGCATGGGTGACCCCGCGGGAGACCCCCGAGCACCAGCACACGGCTGCCTCCACCCACACTCGTTGCTCAGGAGCCCGGGACAGCCCGAGTGTGGCCGGTTCCCGGGGTCCTTGGCCAACTGCCGGATGGACAGAGCTTCCAAGTCCTCCGGCTCCCGGGCTTGATCCTTTCCTCGAACCCTCAGCCAACCCGGAGCTCGCCTCCCGGGCCGCCCCTCCCCCTACAGGCCTCACTCTGTTCCGCTCCTGCCACAGTGCTGACCCGGAGCTTCCTGCCAAACTTTGTCTTAGAGTAGATATCCTCTGCCTCGGAGGATGCTCCTTTGGGAAGAATCCGCTCTAGCTTTTCTCAGAGGATGACCAGAGCTGACCCGGACACAGGGGACACGTCACCCAGCCACCAGTGGGAGGCTCTCGCTCAGTGCCCTCAAAGCCAGCACCCCCGATGCAAGAGGCAGCATCTGCTCTTGACTAGAAAAACCCTAACAGGCCAGGGGTGGCCGTGGGGATGCCTCCGCCTTCCCTTCCCTCATCCCCAAAATATAGGAAATCTGATAAAGACTAACACAGAACCTAGTTCAGTACTTAGTATCCCTCTGACCCTCATCAAAACCTGCTCACAAGAACTTTCTTTTTTTTCTTTTTGGATCACACCCAGCAGTGCTCAGGGTTTCTCCTGGCTCTGCACTCGAGTTACTCCTGGTAGTGCTTGGGGGACCATATGGGATGCTGGGAATTGAACCCGGCTCGGCCACATGCGAGGCAAACGCCTTCCCCACTGTGCTATCACTCCGGCCCCTGCTCACAAGAACTTGCCTGTCCGGCTCGAGTTCAAGTTCGTTCAGGCCCTACGCAGGGATTTCTGAAACCCCACCACAGGCTAGCTAACGCCACGTCACGCGCTCGGAAACAGTTAACTTCTTACAACAGCATTAAAATACCCCCACGCCGCTGTCGGAAGCGGACACCTGAGCATGCAGTGCATTCCATAAGACTTCCATCAGCACGATATCCGCTGTCCCCAAGGAGACCTGTCCCCACGAACAGCTACCCTCTGCCCTCCGTCCCCCAGAGGTGACAGCCACCAGTTTCCCGACACAGAGGAGCCCCATCTGCCTGGCTCCCTCCCTCCCTCCCTCCCCCCCCCCCCTCTCTCACACACACACACACACACACACACACACACACACACACACACAGCCAAGTGTCCTGCATCTGGCCTTCAGGTTACCGTCCGATGTGCTCATTTGCCCTCTCTGACCCTGTTCCGAGGTGAGGCTAGACCTTGGTCTGACCTGCGTCCTCACCAGCTGACAGGGGCTGTTCTGCTTCCACATTTGGGTCTTTAGGAACACGGAGACTCCTCAGACCGGTGTGTGGTCCTATGTGATGAGTGTGTTCACTCTCCTGCTCTGCAATGACCTCGACCCCTGCCCACCCCGAGAGTAACCAGAGGCTAGCATTTGCCGTTTCCTCTCACACTCAGGGCATTTTCCTGTTTCCATGCAATAGTCTTTAACCCAAGACTCTACAGGCAACCAGGCAACTCACCTTACTGCCTCCCGACAATATGGAAGGAAAAGTCTACTCTCGATAAAACCTTTCAAATAACTTAAAAATCTAAATGTTATAGACTGGCAAAGAAAAAAAAAAAAAGCCTGTTTCATTGAACGCCAAATCCATGGCGGGGTCAGGGGAACGTCACTAAGCAATCGCCCTGCCCTGCTAAAGCTATCCTATGTTTAAAAAAAAACAAAAACAAACAAACAAAAAAAAACACCCGCATTCATAACGACCACCCTTCCAGGAGAGAAACTATTCTGTTCTGAACTACTGTCACTGAGTCAACAGTTGCTGCCCTGGGCCCAGTACTGAGGAACAGGCTGAGAGCTGGCAGAGGCCCATGGGTGGGCGGGAGGCCCACTGGCCAGACAGGGCTCAGGCTACAGTTGCAGCTATGGGGGAGGGGGGAGGGGCGGGCAGGAGGGGCAGGAGGAGGCCTGGGCATGGCCGCACAACCCACTGGAACTCCCCAGCCATCACTGTCTCGGAGACCGAGACAGTTCCAGACGGGGCTGCTGATGGTGGCACTTCAGGTGGAGAAGACAATCCCCTAAGCAAAACAGAACTGTCCCAGTTGCAGACACCCAACCCCGCGGACACGGGGTCCCACCTGCAGCAGGGGCGTGTGCACGTGGGACACCACGTGGGGCAGCCGCCGCCACTCGCGGATGGCTAGGCTGCTGGCCATCTCCACCAGGCGCTCGATGAAGCTGAGCTGCTGCTCCTCGGGGTGGCAGATGGCCAGGTAGCCGCGGTACATGTTCACCTTCCACGCCATCTCCTTGGGGCAGCTGACCTCCACCTGGCAGGACAGAGCGAGGCCAAGGCATCAGAGGGACGAACAGCAGACGCGCCAGACCATCGCGGAGACTAAGTGGAGGAGGGAGTGCTCTCTGGGGGGCAGCTGCACTGCCGCTCCTGGGTACGGGGCGGCTGCTTAGCCACTTCCGAGCCCCACAGGTCTGCCCAGCGACCACGGGCCTCCACCTCCCCACAGCTCCCAGGACAGGCCAGGCTCCTCATGCGACGCCAGGGGCCTGAACCTGCCACTTCGCACCGTCACTGGACAACGAGCTAGCAATCCGTGAGACTCAAGAGCTGGGAACGATGTGGGAACGGTGGGTAACGACCCCTCCTGCCCGCACGCCGGCCTGCCCCCCGCCAGGAGGCGTCCCGTGGGCGCTCACCTGCACCAGTGCCTCCTTCATGGCCGTCCAGTTGGACACCCGCCAGGCACACTCCAGCACCAGATACGGATTGATGTGGCCCTTGGACTGGCCGTACTCAGTCAAGGCTTCCCACTGGTTCAGCTCCTTAGAGCACCTGCAAGACCAAACCCTCAGTCACCCTCAGACTGGCAGGCTGAGAAGGGCAGGGCCCAGGGACAGAGACAGAGGACACTCTCCCCGGCATGCAGGACAAGGCTTCGGAGAGCACCAAGGCTGACCGAGCACGCGTGGCCAGCTTCTGCAGCGGACACGCCAGGCTCTCGGCTCTGGGTGTGGCCTCTGTTTGTTGAGAAAGCCACGTGGTGGACGGGAACCAAACCAACGGCAGACCCTGCACGGGTGCGGGCGCGGCCCCACCCACCGGATCCAGTGGTCCTCCCAGAGCTGGTACTCCGGGAAGATGGCGGGGGACGCGCTGCTCCGTTCGTGCTCCTTCTTGGCTTTATCCATGGCTTTCTCGTAGGACTCCTGGGCCTAAAGGGGAGAATGCCATCAGCCTCTGCTCGGCAGGAGCCTCCCTGTGGCCACTGCTCCTCATTTACTCAGGCTGGCTGGACCACGAGCTGGGGGCACCCCCAGTTCTTTCCCTGAGCACAGAGGGCGTCTGAACCCCACGCGGAGCAGAGCAGTGCCCTGGGGTGAGGCTGGTCCTGCAGCCACAGGCCACAGCCCGGCTCATGCCTCTGAGTGTCCTACCACGGCCGAGGGCCGTGTCTGGGGACTGCGGCCGGCAGCACTGAAGGCCACGACAAGGACGAAACGTGAAGCACCGAACGCAATCCACCTTCCACTCCCAACCGACAGCGGTGGGCTCTAAGTGCCGTTGCCCTAGCAGCTCACAGAGAAGGATCGAGACTGGGTGTGGAATGGCACAGAGCTTCCCCCTCAAGGATGCTACCACTCAAGCTCTTCTAGAGCAGGACAAACAAACATGCCCGACTAAGACCTCAGGGCCGGGTAAACGGCCCGAGGCCAGCAGCAGGCCCTGTACACATGGGACCTGAGCTGCACCCCGGCACCACGCAGGGAGAGACGCCGAGGGCTGTGGGCGGCACCTGCTCAAAGAAGCCGTGCTGCTCGTAGGCGATGGCGCTGGCCGTCTCCGAGTACTTGCAGCGTTTCTGCCACAGGCCTGCCCACATGTCCTCCTCCTGCAGCAGCGAGTAGAGCTCCGCGAGCGAGTCCAGGATCTCCTGCCAACACAGCAGGGACTGAGCGCGGGGCAGCGAGACGCCCACCGCCGCCCACAGAGCCACCTCTCCACGCTCTAGCGAAAATCGCTTGGGGGCTGGGGTGAGCCCGCGGGGGCCAGGCACATGCTCCGCATGGCAGAGGCTGGGGTGCAAACCCCGGCATCACCCTGAGCCCGGAGTCACCAGCCAGGGAGCACCCCCAGGGGGCAGACGGGAGGCCTCACCTGCTGAGGCGGCGTGATGCTCTCCTGCTCGTAAAACTCTGTGGTCTGCTTGGGCTTGATTTGGAGGCTCAGGCCCTTCTCGAAGGCCTGATGCTCCAGCATGAGCGTGGAGCGGAACCAAAGGTTGTGCGTCTTGCCCAGGTACTTGAGCACACAGGGCCGGATGGGAATGGGCGGGACGCACTGGGACATGGCCTCCACGAAGCAGTTGAGCGCGCTGGGCTGGCAGTCCCGCTGCACCTGGTGGCTGCCGCTGCACAGGAACGGGCTGATCTCCCCGGCCAGCGCCTGCGGGCGAGAGCCCAGCCCAGGAACACGGTCACAGCAGGCCCCGCCTGCAGCAGCTCTGAAAGCCTGTGTCCCCCCGCCCCCCCATATTCATCAGAAGTGCTGCTGCCCGAGGCCCCGCCCACTCACATGCTGCTGCCGGTCCGACAGGATCTTCCACAGCCGCGGGAACAGCTGCACCCACGTCTTCTCGGCCAGGGTGGTAGAGATGTGGCACAGCTGGACGAAGGCGCTGAGCAGGGCCCCCGTCTGCGAGAGAGAGAGAGAGAGAGAGAGAGAGAGAGAGAGAGAGAGAGAGAGAGAGAGAATGGCTGGGCCCAGCCATGCGGACTCCCAGCTCCATGTTCCTGCCCGCGGCTGCCCCTCTGCCCAAATGTGCCTCCCGTTCCCGGCTCTACGGAGCCGAGGGGAACAGGTTCAGGTGCCAGCCCCACGGGGAGCCTGGCCCCCGCTGTGGAGTCACAGGTCAGGGCTCCATGATACACCAACAGAACCATCTGGCCCAACACCCCAAAACACAAAGCTGGGAAAGAGAGCTGGAGAGAAAGAACAGGGGGCCAGAGCAATAGCAGAGTGGGGAGGGGTATTTGCCTTGCACGCGGCCGACCCGGGTTCGATTCCCAGCATCCCATATGGTCCCCCGAGCACTGCCAGGAGTAATTCCTGAGTGCAGAGCCAGGAGTAACCCCTGAGCATTGCTGGGTGTGACCCAAAAAAACAAAAAAAAACAAAACAAAAAAAAGAACAATAAAAGGTGCACGTGGGGACCCTGGCTCAGTTCTCAGCTCCCCAGGGGGACTCGGGTAAACCCCACACGGCATCCTCTAGCCCCTCTGCCTCCTGTTTACGACTTGGAGACCCAGAGATGAGGAGAGAAGCGTCACATGCCACGTGGGAACAGGGAGCAAGAGACCCCTCAGGCCGTGCGCCCCAACCTGGGACTGGCCTGGCTCACTGGTGCTCACCTTCACCTCACGGAGCGTGTCCAGAAACTTGTCATGTCTGTTGGTCAGCATGTGCAGCTGGTTCCCGATGTCCTTCTCGGAAAGCTCTTTAGTTTTGGGGGTGCTGGTCTGATCCCCGGGGGCCAGTTCGATGTCTATCTCCACATCCTGGAACACACGTCAATGCACCTCAGGACGTCAGCTAGTTAAAGGAAACCCCCACGACGCGACTGAACAGAAACCCGCGTCCACTTTCACCAGGAAGATTTTGGTGCTCCGGGCGCAGACGCCACAGCCTGCCATGTCCATCCACACGAGGCGCAGCCCAGCTGCCTGCACTCAGGTGCCTCAGTCTATAGTGCTCGCCCCAAGGGGACTCATACTCTCTACTCTGCCTCAGGCGCTGGGAAGTCCCACGTCAGCAAGCCACACCCCAAGCCAAAGCTGTCAGTGTCTTGGCACGTGCCCTGGGCAACAGATTTACGCCAATGGTGACCACGTGTTTCCCACAGCCGATGTGGGTCAGCGAGGTGACTTGGGGGGGAGAGTGGCTGCCTCCCATGAGGGAGCTCCAGAAGGACAAGAGGACGGAAGGACCGAGGGGTCTGGTGCTCAGCGGCGACTCCTGCAGCACCCTGACCGGGCAGAGGTGAGGCTGTCTGCACGGTAGCCCCAGGGCACCGCGAGCACCGGTGACGCATAGCCCAGCAGCTCCCTGAGACTCGGGCCGTGCCTCCTGCTCTGCTGGGCGAGGCCTGGCAAGACCCACGGCAGGGCCATTTTCTTTGAGCACATCGAGGAGACCCGGAGCGGGCGAGGGGGCAGTGCGGTCCCACCCTCACCTCCTCCTTGGACTCGCTGTTCTCACGCTCCCGTGGCTCCTGCTTCACGTGTGTGACCATGGCGAAGGCCGCGCGGTCGTGGCTGTCGGCCAGGTTGATGACGTTGGTGATGGAGGGGAGCATGGCTCCCTGGCAGCTGGTCCCAATGGGCGTGCCCTTCTCACACACGGCCAGGAGCAGCTGCAAAAGACGCTTATCAATGGACGTCGGGATACGGGGGCACAGCCCGCGGCTCCCGTCCTCTCGGGATGGTCCTGTGGCAGCTTCCCTTCGCGGCTCCCATGCACATGGTCCAGCCCGGCGACGCACCACCCACTTCCTCAGCCCATTAGTGGGGCTCCCAAGACTTGTCCACAGAGCCCACCCTCCGCGCCTCCCCCTGGCACCTACACATATGCACGCCCCACCCTCACAAGGGCCTATCGTGGGCCAGCACTAGGTGGTGACCTCAGGGGCAGGACAAGCCCAACACCAACACACACAAACTCCCCGGTGGTGGCACTAGTGTCAAGGAATTATGGCTGCAAACAGAGCCCGCACTCCCGGGGCAGCACGGCAGGGACCCAGGAGGAGAGGAGCCGGGCGGCATTCAGAGGGCAGGGCTGGCTGGTCAGCCGGAGCCAGCAACATCCCTGCAGACTAGATTTCTATGCTGGACACCACGGAAAGGAGTGGCATGAGCCTTCGATCTGGATGGGAAAGGCTCCCGGGCAGTGCTCGGGGACAGGGGGCCACTCTTGGCAATCCTGTCAGCACATGGGGCAGCTCCAGGCTCGGCTCTTCAGCACTGGACCTTCCCAGGAGGCCAGGCAGCGCCGGAGACTGAAGCCGGGTCCTGCAGACACTCCCCAATACTTTATCTCCTGCCATCTGCTTACCAAGCAAACTGTAGTGGGTGTCTTGCTTCCATCCCCAGATCACAAGGAGCGGCCCTCACCCCCTCCCACCAACAAAAGGCTGAAAGTGCAGACAATAAGCCTTCCAGAGCACACAAACAACTTAGGATGCTTTTCCCAGTGCTGAGATCAAACCTAGCGCTTCCCTGCTAAAAGGCAAGTGCTCTACCCGTGAAATAACATCCAAGTTTTAGAAAACGAATCTCTTATTAAAATACTGAAAGTCACTCAAAACACAAAACCTCCAAGAAAATAAGGCTTTCAGCCTTCCTTCCTCCAGACGTTAAAAGTTTTATGGCAGAGTTTTTTGTTGGGTGAGGGGGGCCACACCCGGCTATGTCTGGGGATTACAACTGGCTCTACACTCAGGAATCCCATATGGCTCGGGGATCTTATGGGATGCCGGGGACCAAAGTCGGGTCTGCTCATGCAAGGAAGCACCCCCCCGCCCTCCCTCCACCCCACTATTCCATCTCTCCGGCCCTGTGGCAGAGGTTTCTAAGGCATCTTAGCAGGGACTCCAGCCCCTGGAGTGTCCCTCAGTGGGGGCTGAGCTGACCCACCTCGATGCACTGCTTGACCCAGAAGTGGTTCCCCATGGCCTCCCAGTTCTGCGAACAGGTCAGGTACAGCAGCCGCTCGTACACCCGGCGCTTCATGGAGTTGTCAAAAACCTCGAAAAACTTCGCCCTGATGAGCGGCTGGGCACAGCGCAGGCCGGAAAGGAAGGCGGGCTCGAGCTTGGCCGTCAGCTCACTGCCAGACAGAGTCTCATCCCTGTGACCAGAAACAGCACAACAGGCTTACGCGGGGTGGAGGGCGGCCAACAAGACGTGCTGATGACCCCCCCCCCCCCCCCGCCCCAGTGTCAGGAAAGACACGGCCCCAGGAACCTGCGCGGCCCATGCAGCGCTTCCAGGGGCCTTTTGCGCCCCCCCACCCCCAACAGTAAAGGGTTCACTACTGTATGTGGCATTCACAGCTCTGTACACAAACGAATACTTTTCTTTCTTTCTTTTTGGGCCACACCAGTGATGCTCAGGGGTTTTCCTGGCTCTGTGCTCAGGAATCACTCCTGGCGGTGCTCGGGGGACTCTATAGGATGCCGGGGATAGAACCCAGGTCAGCCGCATGCAAGGCAAATGCCCTCCCCACTGTGCTATTGCTCCAGCCCCACAAATACTTACTCTTTAAAGATTTAAGAAGCTATGCTATGTTGGCTGGTTAGAAAACATAAGAACAATATTTGATTAATCTGTAATACCTGTAGACATAATTAACAAGGTCTAAAAACTGGGCATTTAATTCAAGGTCTTCAGGGAAGCGTTTTTCTATGTAGGTCATCATTTTCACAAGCAATATGGATTTCTCCCGGAGAGTAGGTGTCTGTGAAAACAAAATTTTTTTTTTTAAAGAAATGTCAATAAAGACGTGTGAAAGTTCAGCAGTCACCTGCTCTGCTACCTGTTAAGTTACACACGTTCTTCAGGTAAAATAAGAAAAATAGAAAGTTAAATGCCTCTATCTTTGGGTGCTTAAATCAACACCGATAAAAACGCATTTTCCTTGGGGTTCTAGCTCATTGTGAGAGAAAGTGACAGCCAGGCAAAGCAGAGCCAACTGTCACTGCTCACCAGCAGTCCCTCACTATCAGTGTTACTGCTAGAACTATTCACAGAGTTCCCTTTCCCACCATAAAAGAGTAACAAGATAATTTTAACAGAAACAGAGTCACATTAAGATGATTAGCCAGTCAGCTCAAATTTCTAAAAACAGTAAAAAAAAAAGGTAAAGGTAAAGGCCCTCCCGTTGATCGTCGATTTGCTCGAGCGGGCCCAGTAACGTCTCCATTGGAGACTTTGTTGTTACTGTGTCTGGCATATCGAATACTCTCGGTAGCTTGCCGGGCTCTCCGAGAGGGGCGGAGGAATCGAACTCGGGTCGGCCATGTTGGCCGCTTGTAAGGCGAACGCCCTACCCGCTGTGCTATCGCTCCAGACCCCCCCAAAAAAAAAAAAGAAAGAAAAACCTTTAGATGCAAATGGCAAAAACAAAAACCAACCCAAAAGAAATAATAATGATAATAATAATAATAATAAATAACAGAAGACCCAGAAATAGACTGGAACAAAACAAATAGAAATTTAAAAAAAAAACACCATTTTGTGTCAGAACTTTCTAGAAGAACTGAGGGGGCAGCTTCTGAAGTGCCTTCCACACACCAGGACAGTCACTTAGGCACACAGCACTCCACTTACCTGATTGGCTGCCATCGGGGAGTTATTTTTCACCCATTCTTCCACGATTTTAACCACAGCGCGAAGGATCTTGGCATCCGGAGACTTCTCAATGAGGGAGGTAAGGATGGCCTGGATGAAGTTCTTCCTCATCTCCATGCTCATCACGGCCAGGCGTGTCTTCACCAGCTCCAGGCTCAGCATCACCAGCTCGCTCGTCCCTGGCCATGCAAAGACCACGCCGTGGTGACTCTCCCACCCGTGAGACACAGTGAAGGAAACACAGAGCTGATGGGGCCAGAGCAACCGAGTCCCAGGGCATGTTCATGGCACGTGGCCACCAACCAGCCCTCACTAGGGTCCATCACCCCCAGACCCTCCGCGGCCCACAGCTTAGGTCTGGAATGTGCAATTTAACACTTCTTCACAATAGCACCTCTGATGGAGCAATCTGTTTTTTAACAAAATAAGCTGGTGAATGTATCAAGTCACATAAATGTTCGACCACTCTAAAAATCCCTTCATTCTGGCATTCATGCAACTTAAAAGTAGTCATTTAGAACACTGAGAGTCTTGGCTTGTTCTCCAAGCCCACGTTTGTCCCCTTAACAGCATACTCGTCACTGTTTCTCTTTCAAGCTTGTCTTTCAAGCTTGTGTTCTCTCTTGAATCTATTTCCTCTTCCTCGTCTTGCTAAGCAAGTTTTGCTCAATTAAATCTTGCTTGACTTAAAAAAACAAACAAACCAATCAGCTCAGACCCTCACTGCTGAAGAGGAAGGATAAGAAACCACAGGCAGTAATAGGAACTCGTTCGCTTTAGAACCTGACTGCAGTCAATGCCCTTCGGGTACCGGAGCTGCGTAAACACGGGGAAGCCCACACTCATCACCTGAGGTCGCTTCTGTGCTCCCGGAGGCCGCTTGTGGGTTCAGATGCTCCCGAACCATCTTCTGGAGGGAGCGCATGAAGACCGAGATGAGCCTGTCGATGTAGCTCGGGTTGTTGCTGCAGGCCGACTTGAGGATCATGAGGGTCCCTGAAACAGAGGAAGGGCAAGGGAGTGTGGCTTTTTCCAAGTTAAGAAATTTTGAGAAATGTGTGCAAAATTGAAAAATGGGCAATATGACAAAAGCACTAATTCCTAATGTCAACATACACTTTTACATGGCACATTCTACATATCAGAAGCACAGTATTTTCAGACTAGAGAAATAGTGCAAAAGGTGAATGGAACACAGGCTTCATACGCAGGAGGGCCGGGTTTGATCCCTGGCACCACATACAGTCCCCGTGAGCATGGATCAACCCACAGCACTGCCAGGTATAGTCCGAACACCCAGACACCACAATCCAAGAAAGCGCTATGCTCTCACTCCTAACTTCTGATGATCTCTGCATCACCACGATGAGGTGTTTTCGTGAATTCAGCAGAAACAAGATTCCGCCACCTTTACTCCTGGCACTCGCTTTAGTTTAAGACAGACAGACATCTGAGAGACATGCTTTGCCCTGTGATATGTTTGGGCAATAAGGGAAAAACAACTTTCGTCTTGGGGCTGGGGATGTGGCTCAACAACCCGGCTCTCACTGGACTTGGACTCAATCCCTGGCATCACAAAAATAAACATCCGATTTAAAAACAAAAAATGCTGGGGGCTGAACAGCAAGTCCCACGTCTAAGGAGAGCATTTGCTCTGTGCCCAGTCCACCCGGGTTCGATCCCCCACACGGTCTCCTGAGCTACCGGGAGTGATCACTGTGTGCAGACCCAGGAGGAAGACCTGGGCGGGTGGGCAATGGCTGGCCACTCCCTGGGACCTGGGCGGGTGGCCACTGCACTGAAACCGTGAGGGAGAAGGTGGACGGTCAGGTGGGACAGGCAGAATGCAACGCAGCCACAGGCGGCAGAGACAAGTGAGGGCACTCACCGAAGAGCTGGGAGGGGTTGGCGCTGGTGGCCTTCTCGTAGCTGGTCAGGCCCTCGTAGATGACCTTCCCAACCGCCGCATACAGGCACTCCAGCTCCTCGTGCTTGGAGGCCACGCTGGACGTACCTGCAACACAAGTGCGCCCATGGCCTCCACCACCTTCACAGCGACCCAGGGTGAGCTGTGCCCCAAGGGACCCGCCTGACACTGCACATGCTGGGGGGGGGGGAGGGGTTTGTGGAGCTAGGTGCCAGCCTCTACCGTGCCGAACCGTGCCGGAGACACTCACCCAACGTCCCCAGGCGGTCCTGCCAACTACACCACACTGCAAAGGACCCTCCCCCTCCTTCACTTCTCGAACCCAGAGCCTCAGACACGCAGGGCAGGGGTTGCGCCACAGAGCCAGAGCCCCACCCCCCAAGTACTCTGCCACCTCAACACACTGTTGTGAGGAGCTGACAGAAATAAAAGCAGACAGATCCCACCCCGCTGCCAGGCTCCCGTCGCCCATTTTCTTAAACCTGTGGCTGACAGTGCAAGGGCAGGGGCTCTCCGTGGACGGCCCCATCCCCACCCCGCAGGACTCAGGGCGGAGGCGCCCAGGAAAGACCTACTTGGCTCCGTGGGGAAGATGCTCATGAGGCGCGAGAGGAGGCTGTGCACGGCCCGCAGGACTTTGGTGTTCCCGCATGTCATGCAGGCGGCAATGCCGCGCTGCAGCGGCTTGAAGCTGCTGAGGATGGCGGGCGACTGCAGCACCGTCAGCAGGAAGCTCAGCACCTCCAGCCCCGTGCAGATGTTCCCGTAGTTGACCTGATTCGGCTGCTCCTGAAACGGACGCACAGTAAGGACTCCACGTACTCCGTCGGGCAGACGGGAACGGACAGAGCACTTGGAATAGGAGGACCACGAGGGCGTAGACACAGATGCAGAAAGCAGGGGTCCTGTGTTTTAGTCAACAGCGTAGGTTTCCAAGATGTTTCTTCTTTATCAAGTTTCTGGGCCCAGCCAGCTGTGCTCAGGTGGGTCTGGGCTCTGTTCAGGGACCAGCCTGGCAGTGCCCAGGGATGCCGGGGATAAGATCAAAACCAGGCTGGCTGCATGCAAGGAGAGTGCCCTACCCGCTGTACTATCTTTCCGACCCCTCCAAAATGTTTCTTTAGATAAATTTGCTATGGTTCAAACCTCTGCAGAGTTAATGGAAAAAAATAATAAAAAGTAGTGGTTGTTTCATTTTAATTCATTTTGAAAATTACTAGACTCTAGTCTAAACAAAGCAATCATTGCAGTGAATTTTGCGCTCCTCCTCTAGTCTTTTTACCTTTTTTTTTTTTTTTTTTTTTTGCTTTTTGGGTCATACCCGGCGATGTATAGGGGATACTCCTGGCTCTGCACTCAGGAATTATTCCTGGCATTGCTCGGGGGACCATATGGGATGTTGGGAATCAAATCCAGTTCGGTGGTGTACAAGGCAAACGCCCTCCCCAAGGTTGCTCCAGCCCCTCTTTTTACTTTTAGTTGGAAACATTTTTTATTTTGCAAAATGGATCCCTAAGCTTAGAGTCAGGAGCAAGTCATAAATATAGCCAGGTGTTCAGCCCCCCCCCCACCAAAAAAAAGAAAAAACAACAAAAACCGTTTTTAGCTGACATTTGTGAAGAGGCCAGCATCTGTGGGCCTTGTGCAGGAGAAGAACCAAGTCCTGAACCACAGCCTCCAGACAGGCCTCTGGGCAGGGGACACAGGTCCTGCCTTGCCACACACAGCAGTGACCATCCTTTATCAGCCTTGTCTATAATAAAATTATTCTAGAATGATTCTTTCCACATGACCGGGAAGCTAAGACGGTGCCGGTGCCGGGTGCCGGGACAGCAGTGACACAGATGCAGAGAAAGCACAGTAGGAAAAACAAAAAGCAGAGCACAGAGCGTGTGGCAGAGACCAACCCTGCTCAGTAAAGCTCCTTTTCTGCGGTTTATACACACACACGTGGGGCGGGGTCCTTCCCGGGACCCTGGGAGTGGCAGGAAGTCAGAGCCAGGGGCCTGTGGTCTGGAGACGGGGCTGCTGCCGTCACTCGGGAGCCACGTCCCGCAGGAGAGAATCGCAGATCCTCAGGGAGGAGCGAAGAGGCACGCAGCCAACTGGCAAGTCATGTACCCATGCGGCTGCAGCTCGGAGGGCTGCTCCCCACCGTATCAGAGTGCAGGCCGAGGGGCCGGCCGGCGTCCCGGACACGCGGCAACGCCTTCTGGGGGCTCACAGGGCCTCACAGGCCAGACGCTGGGCCTCCTAAGGCCATCAGGCAGCCCCAGAACTGAGTTATGCCGTAGTAATGAGAGGGATCAGGCAAGAGACATGATTTAACAGATGCCGGAAAATTTAAGGAGGACGGCACTTCCATCCACCAAAGCAAAACCCAGAACACATGGCACTCACGCCGCTGCCTGACGACAGAAGGCTCCCAAGGAGCCTGCAAGGTACGGAGAACCACTCTGTCTGCAGAACGCCTGACTGCGCTGGAGCCCGGGCACGTGCCCCCGAGTCTTAAAAGCTGAATTTCAGAACCAAACTTCCTTCCTGCTACTGGCAGCCAAAGATGAAGCGGAAGACAATGAGGCCGAGGCCGATCCGGGGGACACCTACCACGCTCATGAGCAGCTTGTCAAACCACTGCAGCTTCAGTTCTGACTTGCACCACATGTCAGGCCTCAGGGCTGTCTTCAGCAGCGTCACACAGCGCCTGGACAGCAGCTCCCCAGGAGAGCCCGCGGTGCTCGTGCTGTCATTCACCTGCAGGGACACACACTCTGCTCACCTGTGCCCACTTGGCCCCGCCCCTCGCCCTCGGGACCCTCCCCTGCAGCCCCCCACGAACAGGCCTCGCACACTGCAGCCAAGGGCCAACACTAGACACAGTATGTGGAACTCTTCAACTTCGAAAGACACACAATTTTTCTTTTTTTTTTTTCTTTTTTTTTTTTTTGGCTTTTTGGATCACACCTGGAAATGCTCAGGGGACCATATGGGATGCTGGGAATCAAACCCGGGTTGGTCGCGTGCAAGGCAAACGCCCTACCCGCTGTGCTATTGCTCCAGCCCTGACACAATTTTTCTTGGTGACTATGAAAACAAATGTAAGATATCCAAATTAAAAAAAGTATCATTTGCTTTCTGGGAATATGAAAACAGAAAGCTAGAAACACTCCAGGGGTCAATAAGCCCAAGTCACAAAGCACGTGCATGGCTGGAATCACTCAGGCTGCTACACCCTCGGGAGACGCAGAGCTCGAAGGGAATGTGCCGGGGTGACGGAGCCACCCCTGGCCACCAGTGCCAAGAAGCCATCGATGATGAAACACACCATCGTTTTGTTCAAAACCATACAAACACGCAGCTGTCAAACACGAGCACGCCGGCCCCGCTCACCTGGCAGGCCACGCGGATGAGGAAGTTGACCACCGTGTCCGTGTGCTGCTTCTCGATGGGCTTGGCAAGCAGCGAGTCGGCTCCCGGCAGCGACTGGCTCCGCCCGAACACCTGGGAAGGCCAGCGAGTCCCCAACACGTCCCACCCCGCAGGCCCTCTGGGCACTGGGGACAGCAGAAAGCCCGAGTCTCTGCCAAGGGAGGCTGGAGGAAAGGGGGCGCGTGTCTGGGCGAGGTGAGCCCAGCAGAGAAGAGAGCGACTGTGGGCAGGACAACCAGGGCACAGGCAGGGACCTTGGGCCAGGCCCATGGGCTGAGGAAAGTCCTGGTCACTGGCAGATGGAGGGGGACGCGGACAGTCCAGAGGCTGAAGAACCAAACAGCCAAAACAGGAGCAGCCCAGGGAACCGCAGAGTGAAAGCTCCCAGGGCCCAACCAGCCCGGCATCCCGGGAGACCCTCGGAGGTCGCCCTGGCGGGGCGCGTGCCCCCGAGCTCCTCCTGGGGATGTGTGAGGGATGCACCCCGCAGGACGCTCAGATCTCGCCCCTCCACCCTGCCCCCTGCCCCGGTGTCTTACCGCGCTGATGGCGCCCGTGGCTGTCCGGAAGCGCTTCACTTCCTGCGCCGAGTCCACCGACAGGCCCCTCTTGATGGACGAGGACACAGAGCTCACACCCTCGCCGCTGGAGCTGGGGTCCACGTCCGAGTCCGGCTGCAACAACACACACCGATCCTCACCGCCCGTGTCCCGGGCAGTGTCCAGACCCCACCGGAGACAACACGGCAGGGCGGCCCCCCACACCTGCTGGTCCTTGATCCGCTGCAGTTCCCACTTGATGACCACTTCGGACAGGTCCACAGCCAGTCTCCGCTGCTCGATGGTGACGCTGGGCGTGAAGCCCAGCCGCTGCATGGCGCTGACCATGTGCTGGACCAAGTGGTGCCGGACCGGGTAGTACACCTGGGGGCAGGGGCTGGCGTCACGGGACTCGGGCCAGGCCCTGCACACACACACCCCCACGTGCCACATCCCCTCACCCCCAAGCACACCTGCCAACCTTGCATTCACACTATGACTGGTAAATGAGAAACACTTGCTCCCTTAGCTGTGTGCTGAGGTGGCATCACCCTGACCCCCGCCAACACACTACCAGTATGCGCTGGCCTCTAGTGCTGCCAGTAAAAGTACTAACACTGAGCAATCTGGGTAAGTGAGCCTGCCTCACACATGCCGAACTGTGGAAATTACTCCCTCAGAGCTTGGGCCAACGCCAGCAGCAGAGGCCCCATCCCAGAGAGTAGAGGGAAGTTTCTGGCTCCATCCCTTCTCCTCTCCACGAAGCCCCTGCAGCAAACCTCCTCCATGGCAACCAACCCCAGAGAGTGGGTGAGCGACCAGGGAAGTCAACAACAACTTCCCTTGGCAAGTCGCAACATCCGGAGTGAATGGGGCGGGGGGGGGGGGGGGGGGGGGGGGGGCGGCACACCTGAGGAACCACCCTCCACGCCTGCTGACCAAGCACTGACCGACACGGCAAACGCCGTCTTCCAGGAACAGTGTGCCTGGGGATCATCTTCCCAAACCACCCCCTGGTGAGAGAGCCCCCCCACCACCACCACACACACACACACACACACACACACACACACACACACACACACAGGCGAGGGACCAGGAGCACCAAAGCACCAACGATGCCCCCAGGTACAGGATGGGTCCCGTGGCTATGGCCCCCTCCCCCACCCTCTACCCCACCCCCGCTTCCCACCCACCTTGAAGTGCTGCACAATGAGATGCAGGATGTGCACCAGCTGCGGCACTGTGTGGCCCTCCTCCACGATGATCTTGCGTGTCCAGTGGGTCAGCATCTGGTGCCCGTCCTCCATCCTGGCCGGCACTGCCGGGGTCAGGATGGCCATGGCCTGCCTCACGATGGCGCGCGCCTCCATGGCGTGGGCCTTGAGGAGGCTGTGGAACACCTGGAGGGGGAGGGGAAGTCCCATGAAGCCAGCAGTCGTGTGAGGCCCGGACCCCTACTCCCTACCCTGGGGCACTTGGCAGGACGCCCCGGATCAACCCCAGGGCCCGCACTGAGTCTGTGCTCACGCTCTGCATTTATCTCCCACCCAAGGGAGGAGCTTTACACAGAAGCCTGGGAAGACACCTCTGAGCCCACCCTGGGATCACGAAGCTGCTCTCTGGCCCATCCCGATGCTCTGATGAACGAGCACTGGGCGGTGCGCACTCACCCGCCCTCCCCACCACAGCCTGAGCCAAAGGGGCCGCCCTCAGGCCAGGGTTCAGGAGAAGCGGGAAGGTCGGGCTCTGAGAGACAGCATGTGCTGCCGCATATGGGGGCCGGACCACGGCCAAGCGAGAGCAGGACAGCTGCAAACCAGGCTGCGTGCCTGCCCTGGGCGCCGGCGAGCAGAACACACGAGAGACACCATCAGTGGACCTGTGGGAGGGGGTGCTCTGACACCCCCAACATTCACAGGAGACTATCAGAGAACACGGGGGACCAAGTGGAACAGGACGAAAGAACACCTGCCAAAAGCTCACGGGCAGACAGACTGAGCGCCCAGGTGTGTGCTTACATTTGGTTCTGACAGAGAGGAACTAACTCTAGGGCCAAAGGACCTGGGAGTGAAAGAACAAAACCCACCCAAGGCCGCCATCAGCAGCCCCCGGAACCACCGCGGCGGAGCCAGAGCAGCAGGGACCAGCCACCACAGAAGGCCGGGGTGCCCAGGATCCAAACACCCACTGTCTTATTTGCTCTCAGGTGAGGTGGGACCCAGGAGCCAGGGGGCATGAGGTGGACAAAGGAGGCAGCCGTGTTGTCTCAAAAGCAAGACTGCAACGAACAAGAGTGGCACGGCTCGGAGCTGGAGGAGAGATGTGGGGGCCGAGGCAACAGGATGGTGGGGAGGCACTGGGGTTCGATCCCCAGCACCCCATAGGGTCCCCGAGCACCGCCAGCATTGACCCCTAGGTGCAGAGCAGGAGTTGGCCCTGAGCACACCGGGGTGGCCTGAACACCAATAAAAAAGGGAACAAACAGGAGAGCAAGGAGGACACTTGCGTGAGAGGCAGACGGGGACCTTCCCATGGCACCTGGAGGGCTGCAGAGGAGGAGGCCTGGGCCTGCGGGAGCCCATGCACGCACACACGTGCAAGCCAAGGGAAGCCATGCACACACACACACACACACATACACACACACACACACACACACATGCAAGCCCAGTGAATCCTGTGCATACACACACGTGCAAGTCAAGGGAACCCCACACACGCACACACATGCAAGCCAGGTGAAGCCTGTGTGTACACGTGCACGCGCGCGCGCACACACACACACACACACACACACACACACACACGCCAGGTGAGCGCAGCTGGGCAGGAGGAGAAAGCCTCTCACAGTACCTGCAGGACGATTTTCTTGTGGATGGCGAACTTGGCGATGATGTGTGCCAGGAGCAGGTGGCCGCTGTACTTGCAGGCAGGGTCCACGCAGGCCTTGGAGAGCAGGCAGGGCCATGCAAAGGTCATGAGGCGGCGCAGCTTGCTGTTGCGGTTCTTGTTGTTGTCGTGGATGTGGTGGGGCGCGTGCTCCACCAGCAGCGTGGCGTACTGCAGCAGGTAGATGCGCAGCGAGTCCAGCATGTCCGCTTGCTTCTCGGGGTCCAGCACCTGCAGTGGGCGGGCAGGGCTTACTGGCCGCTCTGAGCCCCCACACGGCGGGCAGGGCTTACTGAGCTCTGAGCGCCCCCCACACCTCCCCACAGTGGGTGGGGCTTACTGGCCGCTCTGAGCACCCCACCTACCCAACACCCGCCCCCCCCCCCCCCATGGACGGTGCCCTACAGGTGGCCCCAGCTGGCCCCACCTTGGTTATGAACACGCTGGTGATGCTTTCGGGGTTATCCCCCTCCGGGTTGGGGGGCCCCAAGAGCTGCTCTCCTTCCCCCTTCTCAAAACTGTACAAAAAAGCAGGGTTCAAGATGTGCTGCAGAACCTACAAAAATAACAAATAACAAGAGAGGGGGAAAACAAAGTCAGACTCCTATGGTCGGGCCATCAAGCTAGAACTCAACCCGGAATGTAACAGACGACTTTTCATTAAAGTGACAACTGGGAAAGACATTAGTAACTGCAAAGGGGCCAGAGGGTAGCGCCGGGATTAAGGAAACTGTCAACGCTGGTCTGATCCCAGGCACACGGTCCCAACATTGCCAGCAATATGCCCTGAGCACAGAGTCAAGAGCGGCCGAGCACTGCCAAGTGTGGTCCAAAACACTCCTCCCCCCCACCCCCAGGGTTGTCTGGCTTTAGTTTTCGGTATTTAATTAAAGCACGCGCAATGAAAGGAAGAGACAAAGCTTGGTTTACTCTACGAAGACCTGGGAAGAAACTACTTCCCACACTGGCTCAGGGTGCGTCTGCCTCGTTTCTTCCTCAGTAATAGCATTTCACTCATCACCCAAATGTGTCCACAGACACAGCAGAACAGACGCAGTACCCTCGGTTCCCTAGAAAAATAAGCCCCAACGCCCAGGGCTTCAACAGAATGACAATGGGACTCACCTTAGCCTTGAGTTCATCACCAAAGTTGGGGTCAAGGAATTCGACAAAGCGAAAAAACAAAGCACGCTTCTGGGCAATGCTGTAGTTCTTGGGAATCTCCTCCTCCATGTACTCCTTCAGGAATGTCATGTTGCACAGAAAACGGCCAGTAAAGGCACGGAGCAGCTGGAACAGTAATTCTATGTCTCCGTAATTTCTCCTGAAGGATTGGAACGAGAAATCGGTTATATCCTGGCAAGCGTCCTGTGTACATGCTCTTTAAAGGAACTTGCCCTTCAAAGCTTAAAGTTACAGTCTACTCTCTACAACCAGGCCCGAGTCATCACACCCAGTGAACCACCAAAAGAAGGAACCATGTGACGGGAAGCAGGAAAGACGGACTCACTTGCAGTAACTCAGCAGACAGTAGGCCAGCAGCTTGGGCTCCTTCCAGTTTGTGGCCGCCATGTTCTCCTTCCGGTGCCTTTCCTGGAAGGTCTCGCTTACCCACACGCGTCTCAACTGGCTCACCAGAGAATGCTGGTTGGCAAGCCAGGAGTCGTCGTTCTTAACGATGATGCTGATGATCTGCGGAAGGAGAGAGACTCAGGGGGCTCTGCGCCCTGCCTGCAGGGGGGACCCAGGCTCAGGCGGAGGCCCCGCTACCTTGATGGCCTGGAACTGGAGGTCCAGCCGCATGGTGCTGGGGGAGCCGGGCCGCACAGCCGCCTGCGCGCCACACGGCAGCAGCAGCGTGATGAACCTGTTGGGGTTGGCAGCCAGCACGTCCCGCAGTGGCCTCGAGTCTTTGTGCTTTAGGAAACTCTGAAATAAACGAACAGGTGCTTGAGCCAATCAAAATTCCCAACAGGTAGTTCAGATGACAGAGGCGAACAAAGCCACTGCACACAGCCTAATGGTCTTAGAGCATTTCAGTGCTGAAATCAACATGCTACGTATTCCTATATGTGACATATTCAATGTTTATCATCCGACACTGTCTCTCATGACCAAGATCTCCTTAATTCTCGGAAAACAGTCTTTTACCACCAACTCCAGAGAAAAGATTCCTTAAGCTTGCCAACCCTTCGAAGATTCACATCGGCCAGGTAAGAGCAACCCAGGCCCTCGGGGGCGGCCCTGGTGGATGTCAGCCTGCAGGGACACCGAGACGGCCCCTACCATGAACATCCGGCTCCACTGTGGGTCGTTCAGCGTCGCTTCCATCATGAACAGCTCCACGGTCTGGGACGGATGCCGCGTCAGGAACTTGATCAGAGGCTCTCGGAACGGGCTGCCTGCCTGGAAGAGACGCCGACGCGCTGCAGACTCGCCCTGGCCCCGCCAGGGTGAGGCGTCCAGCATCTGACAGTCATTGATCACGCCACCCAACACCAAGGATGAGGCAGACCAAAGGCTGACGTTAAACAGTTACCTCAATCAACATCGCCCGTTCTGTTTTCATCACGACCTCTAACAGAGGCTTGACCAGAGTCTGAGGCGCCGCCGGGATCAGATGAAAAAGATTTATAATCGCCGAACAGATTTTCATTTCCTATTGAAGAAAACACGAAATTACAAGATAGACCAACAGACTCTGCCAGACAGAGCAACACGACTACGGCTGCCACTACGGTCTAGCTCCATTCACAAGGCCCGCCAACAGAAGCCAAGAGTGAACACGTACAAAGCCACAACTTACCACCCTCCGGACAGACGTGAGCCCTAGGGGAGCAGGCGCCCGTGGGTGTGCACCTGTGGGGCTGCTTGTTCACGCACACGGACAGCGTTGGAAGTTGCCCTGAGCGCCCGGGAGCCCCCAGTCTGTGGGCAGCAGGGGGTCTTCCAGGCGCTACACAGGAAGGGCAGACTTCTTCCACTCTCCAAGGTTAGCACAGGTAAGTCCTAGGGAACTACTCGGTACTTACTCGAAGAATTGGATAGCGACATCGGTGACTGATGCGTGGTGCTAAGTATTTGTCAGCTGGGCTTAAAAGTAAAGCTGACAAATCACTCTGCTGACTCACATGGGAACGTGAGCAACAGGCAGGGCTGTACCCTGCAAGGAGCTCACACAGCTCAGCCCTCAGCCACGTCCCTCAGCCTCCAGCCTCTGTGGGCAACGCCAAAGGTTCTCGGTGCACTCGGGGAGGACTCCTTGACGTTCCAACCCGCCTGCGCGCAAGAGCATGACTCTGAGCACAGAAAAATGGGGAGATAAGCACTGGCCCGAGGGTACCTCCAGCAGCATTCCTGAGTTCTCACAGTTCCTTAGAGCCCAGAGGCAAACGTGCAAGGGGTAAGGAATCAGGAAGTTACCCTTCCGCACCTCTGAGGCGCTGGCCCAGAGTTTCGACATCTTAAGCCAGGATGTTCTATCCGGAGAGTAAAACCTCCCGGGAATGGTACTTACACGTCACAGCCTTTGTTTTCAAAGCAGTGTCATGAAATCACTTTCTGTGGTCTGCAGAAGACCACGGAGATGGGCTGAAAGGTTATCACCCCATTTTACAGGAGAAAGCTCAGAGCATGGCCCCAGCCGCAGTGGCACGGCACAAGAAGGGCCGCGGGGGAGGAGGCCTCGAGTCAAGGCGGGAAGGCAGGTGGGCAGAGACTCCCGACTCCTGGCAGCTAGGACAGAATCCCGGTGGCATTTCCTCTAAGAGGTTGTTAGCTGAGGTCGAAAGAACACTGAGAGCGAAATCCAATCGAATCTTAAGTCATGTTGAGATAGTGCAATTGGACAGGTAGGAAAAAAATCAAAAGGGAAGAAAACAGTCACACATCCTAATGGAAGACATGCGTTGGGCCCGGACAGGTCACGGCAAGGAGGTAGCACGACGTCGCCACACACAGACAGAACGGCTCACTGCATCCAAGGCACAACGCACTGTGCACCACAGAACCACAAGTCACAGCAGAACCAGAACAACAACCACCCGCCTGCGCTCCACTGGGTTCTCACCTCCACCCCTTCCACGGCAGGCTGAACCAAAACAAAAATCACAGCATGAAAAACGGCAACGGAAAGGTCAAAAGGGAAAAGAAAACAGAAACTGTTCTTCACATTGCAAGTCATAAGCTGACTTTTAATAGGTTTTTCTCACCTCAAACTGACAGAATGGAGACAAGGAACATCTCCCGCACTCTGACATGCTCTCCTGAGAAGGGGAGGAAAAGCGGCTGTTTGCTAGGTGCGTTATTGACATTGAGAACGTCCCGAATACTCAGACACAGTCGGGGTTGGGGGGGTTGCACGAGACAGGAAAGACACAAATATCAGAAAGCACGCACACGTGATTAACAGACGCGCCACAGCGGAGAACACCGTCCCCCTGGGGGCCGGCAGACTGTCTCACCTCCCTGGATCAGGGTTTAAGAACCAGAACTTCCGAATGCTTATCAAGGGGGGAACCTGTGAGACCTCGCTGTAGGCAAATACTTGTGCAAGTTTGGTTTCTTTGGAGTGACTCAAGATTTCGTGGTGGTGCTGAGACAAAGCAACTTCTTTGTGCAGCTCCAGTCAGAAGTGGCCAGGTGGGGGTTCTGGCCGCCAGTGAGGCATGTCTGGACCCCCATACCCGAGGCTGGCACAGGACAGACAGCTATCTGCTGACTGGAGCTGTGTGCACGTGTGCTCGTGGATAGACATGTGCACGGACATCCCATAGACGGGGGCCAGCAGTTCCTCTGAAGAGCAACAGCCCTGCAGCACAGGCAGGTGTGATATCCGGATCGCTGGGTCCCTAATACTGAGGGCATTACTGCTATTTGCTGGGTTTTGTTTTGGTTTGGGGATACACTGGGCGATGCTCAGGGCCTACTCCTGGCTCTGCACTCAGGAATCACTCCTGGCAATGCTCGCTCGGGGGACCATCTGGGATGCCAGCGCTAGAACCCGGGTCGGCCGCATGAAGGCAGACAACCCCCCCCCCATGGCCCCCCACTGCTGAGTCACTGTCTCTTCAGCCCCGATTGCCATTGTTTCTAATAGATGACTTAACACATCTTCAGTTAGAATTTCTTCATTATTTGGGGATTCTATCAGCTGAGACAAACTACTTTCTGCCACCGATCCTCTTAAGACTTGTGTAAGAACCATCAGAGCTTGAGAGCAGAGAGGCAGCCTGGCCCCTGGCTGGGCCGTCAAACCGCAGTCCAGGACTGTGGGGCCTGAACGCTACGTTCCCTCTGCAGCTCTGGTCAGCCAGGGAGTCCACGCTGTGTGACCGCGAGGACTCTCCAACACCCAACGGGGCCTTCGCCGCCCCATCAGCCCCTCACCTCAAGGAAGTGGGCTCCCTGGCGCACATGTCTCCATCCACCTGCCAGGCTTCTGAGCAGACACTGGGCGGGTATGAGATGGACGTGTCCACTCTCAAGAGCAGAGGACTCTAAAGTGGACTCTGCCTCCCACGCCTGCACCCCCCCTCCCCCCCCGCTCCTCACTTTCCACTTCGTTTTCCCTGCATATGAAAGTAACAAACCTTTAAAGAGGCCAAGGATGTTCGGTTTAACACCCCGAAACATTTTCAGAATCCCAGACCAGTTTTGCTTAGTGGGCTGCTTAAGAAGCAACGGAAAACAAGACTTACAGGAAAACAAAACACCTGGACACAGAATGGCAAAAACAAAGCATAATAAAGCCGAAAATAAATAAACCCAAGTTGGGATGAAACACAGCATCTGACAAACACAGGAGGACGAGTAGCCACGTTCACCAGGCTCGGAAGAGCTGCAGGAGTTCCCTGCCTACGCCACAGCAGGAAGCGGAATTTTAGGGAAGAATCCCACGGACAGACACTCAACTCACAAATACTTTAGAAAAAGATAACATATACAAATGATTCAGGTACAAAACAGTAAAGACCTTTCTTTTTGTTTCCTTTTTTTTCCCTTTTTTTTTTTGGTTTGAGGCCACCACCGGCAGTGCTCAGGGTTGGTTCCTGGCAGGCTCGGGGGATGAACCCGAGTCACCCGTGTGCACAGCCAGTGCCCTACCAGATGGACCATCATTACAGGCCCAAGGACCCTTCATTTGTGAGAAACAGGCTTTTATGCCAACATCAGATACGTAAGATACTTCAACTAAAGTTGTTCTCCTTCAAAGTGGTGAATGTGTTTCGAGGTAACGATCACTTGTCTCGATCACTTGTCTCTTGGCCAGTCACGAAACTAAGAGAACTGAGGCCTTGACAATCTATAGGTCAGTATTACAGGACGCCAGGTAGCTCGGTGAGGTTCTGTGGCAGGAAGGAGCGGACAGTGGTGGAAGGGACCGCCACGCAAGCACCAGCTGCTAAGAACAATCCGGAACACACTGTATGGACTTTAGAGGGACTAGGGGGAAAAAAATACTAACATTTGACACATCCCATCAACAGAAAAACCAAGTGAGTGAAGGGGAGGCCACAGAGGAAGCCCGGCAGCTCTGCACCCCAGAACACAGCCAGAGGGAGCGAGCAGGGCGGCCAGTTCCTGGGGTGGTGCCCTGCACTAGACCGAGGCGGCATGGGCTACAAGATTCCAGCACCCGCAGGCTCGTCCACCCCCCCCCAAAACAAAGAGGCACTCACGTTCCCGTCGCTCCGCTGGCCCCCTTTGTGCGTGAGGACCACCACTTCCATCCACTTGCGGAGATGTTGCTGTGGAAAGAAACACGTCCTGAGCCACGGGCCGTTCCGCCCTACACACCGGTGTGGCCCCTTCCGCGCCCGCCCCAGCCCCAGCCCCTCCTGTCCCGGGGCCAAAGGGCACTGCCCGCCAGTGCTGCAAGAGCCCAACCGCAACCACTGCAGGACAGGACACTGGCTCGAAGGCCACTTGAAGAGCTGGGAGAGAGTGAGTGCCTGGGGGGAAGCGCCGGCACGCAGTGCTCCAGCCTCACCGCAGTGCTCCAGCCTCACCGTCCAGGCCTGCTCTCAAGCACCCCCGCACCCCAGGGAATCCACAGATTAATTTAGTTTTTGGTTTTCTGGTTTGGGCGCCACTCCCAGCAGTGCTCAGGGGCTACTCCTGAAGGGGCGCCAGGAAGCAAGCAGTGCTGGGGACGGAGCCCGGGACAGACTGCAGACACATGAGTGCACTCTGGCCCTCCACAAGAGGCAAATAACAATAACAATGAAACCTCAGGATGTTTACGAACCCAACTCAGATCTGTCACGGATGCAGAGCTGCAGCATGGCAGAAGCAAATGTCCTAATCAGGAGGGGAGCCCTGTACCGGGAACGCCATGCTCGGAGGCTCAAAGCGTACAGAGACTGCTTGGAAGATGCCCATTCGGAAAATCCACTTCCACGTAACCATTTCCCAGTTACGCTATATAATCAGGGGAGCCCTTGCAACTCTCCTGGCTAATGCTGATGGCAGCAGGTCTCCGTTCCACTCAGGTAAACTGAGTCTTTCCCGTTTTCTTAGGGTCTGTAACTGTAGTCCCTGGAGCTCCTGCTCCCGTGCACAGAGACAGACCAAACACCCAAACACGACCCACAGCCAAAGCCTCGTGCTTGTTCTTTCCTGTCCCATCAGGGAAAAGTGTTGCCCAAACACCCTTTAAGTGAAGCCAGGCAGTCCCTGCTTCACGTAAGAGAACACTGAGGCTAGAGCAATAGCACAGCGGAGCACAGCGGGGAGGGTGTTTGCCTTGCACACGGTCAACCCGGGTTCAACCCCCAGCATCTCATAAAGTCTCCCGAGCACTGCCAGGAGTAATTCCTGAGTGCAGAGCCAGGAGTAACCCCTGTGCATTGCCAGGTGCAACCCAAAAAGCAAAGAGAGAAAGAGAGGGGGGGGAGAGAGAGAGAGAAAGAGAGAGAGAGAGAGAGAACACAGGCTTCTCCTGAATGGGAATCAGCAAAGAAGCAGAGACAACAAGCAAGATACTTGCTGCAGAGAACACGAACGGGAGCAGTGTGCCGTATGCCTAACGGAATCACTGCCAAATGGACATTTTACTTGTGGAGTATGTCCTTGGGAATTCTAAGAACCAGTAATCTTTTAATGTCCCTACCACTTCCCACTGCATGACTAACCATAATAACAGAAGACTGGGAATAGCCAACAGTGGGCAAATGAGGGTCACAGACTGATGTCCCCCAGCTCTGCAATGCAGCAGCCCTTCCTGAACTCACAGGGACCCTGCGGGGCGGGAGGAGTTGTAAACTGGAAATGGGTACACATCCCTGCTAACTACAAATGCACTGCATCTCTGTAAGGGCATACAGGAAACTCAGTACTGTCTCCAGAAGGGATTGAGTGCTTCACAGCACCCCTCTGACACTCATGGGAGGTCTCGTCAATCTGGGGCTTTCTCGTGGAGCACGTCTTACCATCATCTGATCACAGAACTTGTCATTGAAGGAGTTGGGGAAGAGCCTGGTGACGGAGGTCAGGCGGTTGACCACGTTGAGGGTCAGGCTGCGGTAGTCGCCCAGCATCATTAGCAGGGGCCGCATGTGCGTGTGGATCTGGTCCACCTCGATGGTGGCGCCTTCTAGAAACTGTCGGAAAAGAGGAGGCAGGAAAGAAAAACAGGCAAGAGAACATACTTTATAATACACAGCAACTTATATTTGACTTCACCAGCAAATTCTTTCGCGCGCGCGCGTGTGTGTGGTTTGTGGAAAAGCTGAATAACATAATCTAGAAGTTTCTAATAAAATGAGTCACTACATCCACCCTTCCTCCGTTCTGAGGTGCTGACTGAGCACAGGCCTGACTTCTACCCTGAGTCCAGGCTGTGGCCTCCCTTATGCTTAGTTTTTATCTTTTGCTTTTTGGGTCACACCCGGTGATGCTCAGGGGTTACTCCTGGCTCTGCACTCAAGAATTACTCCTGGAAGTACTCGGGGGACCATATGGGATACTGGGAATCAAACCCGCATCGGGCGACATGCAAGGCACACGCCCTCCCCACTGTGCTATCTCTCCGGCCCCTTCGTGCTATTTTAAAAGGTTTGAGATTCTGGACTGAGGCGTCACAGCCAGCCAACGCCTAGTTGATGGGTGCTCAGGAGCTACTTATGAGGTATTAGGGGACCATGGAGTGCCAGGGACCCAACCTGGGCCGCCCAAGGCCTCGTGCAGAGGCGACAGGCAACCCACCTTCCTCATGCAGGCCTCTCCAGCCTCCTGGAGCTCACTGTTGGTGGAGTTCAGGGCCTTGAAGAGGGCGGCGATGATCTTCTCTCGGGACTGAGGCAGGTAATTACAGGCAGCAAGTGCATCTGCAGGAGAGAAGCCAGGAAGATTTCAGCATCACTAACCTGAAAAATATGTCAGCAACTTCCATATCTAAAGACCAGCCCACGGGAACCGGGGACGCTGGTGGTGGGGAATGTGCGCTGGTGAAGGGACAGGTGTTGGAACACCTAGTGACTGAAACCCAATCATGAACAACTTTGTGACTGTGTATCTTACTGTGATTCAATTAAAAAAAAAATTTTTTTTAACTAGACTCAACTTTTGGACAAAAAGTGAATCACTAAGCCTTTATCCTCATACATCTGCAATATTATCCAAGTGAAGTCAACCACCGACTTAATGGCCAGGATAAGCCTCACACTCTCTGACAGGAAAGGCTGCACGAGGAGAGACAGGGAAGCCCCTGAGGCCTGAGGCGAGAGCATGCCGACCTCTGGGCCCATCAGCCCAGGTGAGAACATACCGACCTCTGGGCTCGTCAGGCCAGGCGAGAGGACACGGCTGGTGACAAACACCAAGAGATGAGGGAGTAAAGGCTCTGGAAAGGCCGATCCTCTTAGGAAAAAGGCCCCTCATAGATGCGGGTGACAATTAAGAGAGCACTCTAGCAGGAATAATGCCTGCCTTCACTGATGGAATGTGTGAGAATCTCTTCAGAGAAAGAGACGCGGGAAGCTGCCAGCTCTGCCACAGGGCGGCGTGCCATGTTAAAGCCCTGGGCCATCCTCAGACTTGGGTTTCGAGCCCGTCTCTCAGCGCCCCTCAGCACCAAGGTAATACTATGTTAAATTATTAAGTGTGTGAGAATCAACAAAGCAAGAAACTACAAAAAAAAAAAAACTATCACACCCACCACCTGGCCCCCTGGCGCCGTGTAATCCCATCAGCGGCCAAGACTCAGGGACTATAAAATCCAGATCCCGGACGAGAACAGTGCAGTCTTCTGCCCCCGCGCCTGGGTGTTCCTTCCCGGGGCCCCTTGGAGGGAAGCGGGTTGAGCTTTCCTCCCCGCCCCGACCAGGGCTCCGGCAGCCGAAGACCTCCAGGACCAGCCACCACCATGCTGAGACCACTCTCCGCACACATGAAGGTACTGGCAGAGGGACAAAGCCACGCGGGTTCCGGGGCCGAGACCTCCAAGCCTACTCGGATTGGAGTCGAGCATCTTCCACCCAGATCCTCCAAATTCCAGTAGGCGGGGGTCACACCCACCACCTGGCCCCCTGGCGCCGTGTAATCCCATCAGCGGCCAAGACTCAGAGACTATAAAATCCAGATCCCGGAACCGTGCGACCGCATTCGCGGCCGCGCGACATCTTATCAAAACTTTTTTTTATGACATCTTATTGTCTCATTCCTACTTTGGACAAACTTGCAGGCTATTGAATGTAGCCTGCCCACAGGGCAGAGTCTGGCAAACTCCCCATGGCCTACCAAATATGCCAAATACCAGTAACAATGATGGGTCTCATTCTCCTAAAGAGCCTTGAATATAATCTCAGGGCTAGGATGAAAGAGACGTTACTGGGGCCTGCTCGAGGCAATCGACGAATAACAGGATGATGAAACGAAAATGAAAATTAAAATTAAAAAGAAAAAAATAGGGCCTAACTTTTTCTAAGTGAAGGCAAGACCTAGTGTATTTTCTACTCAGCAGGATGCTAAACAGTAACACCGAACGGTCCTAATGAAAATGTGCAAGAGACTTCTCAAATACCCCAGGGAGACAGCCCAAAGGACTAGAGCACATGCTTCGTGTGCCAGAGTCCCAGGTTTGACCCCCCAACACCGCACCTGAGAGCAATGCCCCACGCTCTGGGCTAAGGAGTAGGCCCTGAGCACCTCGGGGACAATTCAAAACCCAACCCCCAAGCGCTTCTGAATCTCTGTATCTACAAAGACTAGTACCTCTCAGGACACTTGGGTCAGATAAAAAACATCCTACGTTGACAGCTCTCTTCAACAATAATAAGGTTTAACAACAAGATATATAATACTTCTCTCAAACGAGCAGTAAGAACAGTCTGCAGACTGACCGCAGTGCCTCCCAGCACGCGGTAGGGGACCGTGGGCCGGGCACCTGCAGACAGCTTGTTTCCGGAAGGGGAGTGGGCCAGGGAGGCCCGAGAGCTGGGGTGCATGGAGGCTTAAGACATTTGTGAGTACGCTGAAACATGCACACTCCACTCACGGCTCCCGCCCGAGCAGGGGCCACAGAACAGCCTTCTCTACCCAAGAAGGACTCTGGGCCCCAATCCTTCCCTGAAGCCCTCAACAAGAATGCTTTGGTCCATCCCCCTCCTCCCCACCCCCAGCCCTCCACCACCATCCCGAGAGGCCAGAAAGAGAGACATGAAGATGGCAAGCCTGGCGGCGTCGGGGCCCACTAGGCATCCCCACAGGACTCACTCAGGGCAGCGATGCGTAGGGGCACGAGCGACGGCAGGCTCTTGTAGCACGGCAGCTTGGTGAGCGCCGAGTCCTCGGCCTCGCACAGGTTCAGCAGCTAAGGGAGAGAACCACATCCAGATTGCTCCGACCAGGTGCAATGACTCGGTAGGAAAGAGGACACCAGCTTGACACTGATGACGCTGCCACACCAACCACAAACTTAACTTAAATACTACAGAACTGCAGCATTGCCGTGGGACTACCTTTCTTGTTGGAAGATACACTCAATTTAATCCTTCAGCCAGGGAGAGCCCCCAGCAGGCTGGAGCACGGATGGTACAGCAGAGTCCGCACCACAAGGTCCCTGAAGCACCCCCAGGAGCAATCCCCAGACTGAGCACTGAGATAGGAGCAGCCTGAGCACCACCACGGGTGCAGCCCCAAAATAAAACCAAGAAGAAAGTTTTCCATAATTGGAAATTCAGATTCAGGGTGGACCAGGAAGAATTTGCTTCCTTATAATTTCTGCCTCCGGCTGAACACTGCCTCTAGAAGTACGATTTAGATCTCATAAAAGTCTCAAACTGAGACTGTCTGCCAGACCCAATCCTTAGTACTCTGAGAGTGATGCTCGTGATCTGTTTGATTTCTGTCCGTCATCGTGTGGACACCAGCCCACCCGGGGCGCTGACAGGGAAGCCACGTGGCACTGAGGACCCACTCACGCCGCCTGAGGAAAAGCAGAACCAGGCGAGCCACAAGCAGGCCAGTGCAGGACCACTGTCTGGGAAGGTACAGCAAGGGACCAAGGTTAGGGTTCCAGCCTCCTGGCCTGTGGCTTCAGGGGAGAATCCAACTCTAACATTCAGTTCTCTGCAGCTTCAAAATGCAGGAAACTGCTCGCCAGGCTTCCCAGAAGCCCTCAGAGACACCTGTGGGTGGCTCAAGTGTTACTACCAACAGCCTTATGCGCCCGGTGCCAGTCTCAGTCTGATGCCAGGGGACACCGGGTGGCGGGAACAGAAGGGACAGGCTGAGAGGCTGAGCAGGCCCTGAAGAGTCGTCAGTGCCTGGGGCTGGACTTAGGGCCGTGCCTCTGGGGTCTCTGCCCACCCTACCCATCCCAGAGGCAACATCCCGTGCCGGGAGCCGCGTCCTTTCCTGCACTGAGTGGGCAGCAGCCTGTGCGCCTACCTCTGTGTAGAACACCTTGTGCTCCACCACGTTGAGGTCCATGGTGAAGAGGCGCGGCTGCAGCGTGGTGCAAAAGGTGTTGCCCTCCATGAGGCCGATCTGCGCGTTGGCCGGCTGGTGCCGCAGCAGGTGCTTCTTAGGAGGGACCATGTCCTGGAGCACCTGGGAGGCCAGGAGGGAACACCACTGACCAGCAGCCCTCGGGGAGCAAAGCCCTTTCATCGTCAGAGTCCAGAAGGCGGCCAGGACAGTGGCCGGAGCAGGGAGCCCCGCCCCTCCAGCCAGCCACAGTGACAAGCCCCTTGGAGTGCCGAGCCTGAGCCCACGCACCCCCCGCTCACCTCCTTGTGGGGCTCCATGATGACCGTCACACTCTTGCCGGTGACCTGGGCCAGCACCTGCAGCGAGTGCATGGCCTGCTTCCTCACCGTGGAGTTGGGGGACGTGACCTCCCGCACCAGGTCGTGCGTCACATGGTGGAAGGACTTCTCCTGGGCCGCCACGATGTCCTCGGCCCGCTCCTCGTCCTTCAGGGGGGTCGCACAGCGCATCAGGAGCTGCTCCAGCGTGGTCTTGGCCATGGCCACGGCCCCATTGGACACCTGCAGGGCCAGGGACTCCTCAGGGTGTGGGCAGGAAGGGCCCCCCCCCATACACACACTGTCCGAGGGGACAGCCACCCCCCCCCCACGGTCCCCGGGGAACACAGCCCAGCAGGCCGCCTCTACATCCCTGCTCCCTGAGTACCTTCTTACTGGGGATTCCTGTTAGCCATACGGGAAACCAACTGGGGGAGTGAGACAGGACCCTCAAGCCCCAGACTGACTGGCCTGGCCCCGCCCCCTGCCCCCAGCGTCCAGCTAAGCTGCAGCTGAGTCACACAGAAACTCCCACAGCACATGATTCCCGCCCTCTGCAGACACAGAACAGAATCCTGGCTCGGGGATGGGGGACCGGGGACGAGGTGGAGGCCCTAGGGAGCGTCCGGTGGGCAGAGCCGACCTGCAACGTCTCCCACTGACCTCATCCCAGGCAAGCGGGCGGGCTGGCCGCGTCTACCCACCTCCCCTGTCAGGTCCATCATGACGAAGAGCAGCGCCTTGAGGAACGTCTGCTGGTTCTGCAGCACCCAGGTGAGCGGCAGCCGCTCCATGAGGAACTTGATGGACACCACGCCGCCCAGCTTAGCGTACCAGGCCTGCTCGTAGCAGCAGGCGCACAGGCGCTCCACGATGTAGGAGAAGAGGGGCAGCTGGCACGCCTGGGGGGAGACACCCAACGGTGTGACCAGGGAATGTTCTAGTACAACGGGACCGGGGAAAGATCAAGAATGATCACGCGGTGGCCATCCCCCCAGGCCTCCTTACCCTCTCCTTAGAGCCCAGGATGATGCTCGCGACATCGAATATCACGGCCAGGGCCACCTCCCCGATCTTGCACAGCTCCTTCTCCTCGTAGGCCATGCAGATGGCGATAGCGTCGATGAGGACCAGGGGGTCCATCCCCTTGGACCCGTTCTCCTCACTGTGGAACATGGCGGTGCTGGGCTGGCCGCCCACCTGGTAGCACGGCAGCAGGAAAGGACCTGTGGGCGGAGCAGGGCAGAAGGCATGAGGGGAAGCACACACACCCTGAGCACTGGCTGCAGAGCATGGGGGGAGCGGCCCCAAATGCAGGCCCCTGGAGAATATCAATGGTGTAGCGACCCCAGACTACGCCAGAGGTTGCAAATATCCAGCCGCTACTTGTCATGGGGGAAAAAAAAAGAGAGCCAAGTGCATGACAAAGCGTATACTTAATGTATCTTATTTAATATGATACCGTTTAATATCATATACTGTTCAACAAACAGCAGTAACTTACAACTTACTATGAAATAGTACCCGGACTCCCCCTCAGTGAGTACAACAGAGTATCGCTCATTTGCATCAACAGAAAGGAAGGAATGAGACGAAAATGAGAGGAGCTGCCCAGTCGGCCTCGGGCCCCACTCACCACACTGCTGGGCCACTGCCACCATGGTGTAGTGACGGATCAGGCTGGCCACGAAGGGCAGCGCACTGGGCCGGAGGTCCTTGATGACCGCAGACATGAAGGCCCCAGTCAGCGCCTGCTCGAACGTCTTCCGGGCGGGAGTGTCCTGCGCTTTGTAGCGGTGGGAGATGATGACATTCGGGATGGTCTTTTCCGTGAAACTGCAAGACAAAGTCAAATCGCTCGAGCGGACACTTCCTGCACTCTCGAACCTGCCCCTCCCCCTGCAGACAGGGCTGTGAGAGTCTCTGCTTCCATTTCAGCAGCCTCTGGCCTTGAGTTGCAAAGGGCCCTGGAGAGATGCCCAGGGCTGGGAAACCCGCCTGCCGAGGGCACCAGGCACGAGCCGGGGCCACAAGGGAGGGCAGCACATCAGCACTTTCAAAATAATTTTTTTTTTTTAACTTTCTGGGTCATACCCAGCGATGCTCAGGGGTTTCTCCTGGCTCTGCACTCGGAAATCTCTCCTGGCAGTGCTCGGGGAACCATATGGGATGCTGGAGATTGAACCTGGGTTGGCTGCATGCAAGGCAAACGCCCTCCATGCTGTACTATCATTCCAGTCCTCAAAATGATTTTGTCTTAATGAAGTTGATACTAGAATGAAAGTTGTTTTAGTCAAGTTGACGTCCTGATCTTCTGTAATCACATAATCCAAGTGAAGTCTCCGAAAGCCAAAGAAATAACTCGATTACAAAAGAGGAATAAAGAAAAGCTTAAAAGGCAGCTAGCTCCACAACCCTGTTCTACGCTGAGGAGTCAGTTCCAGCTACGGAACCGGGGGAACCAAAAGATCCAGCAAGGCATCGCCTCCCAGAGGATCAACTGAGACGCGGGTTGGGGGCAGGGGACTGAGTGACAGACACCAGGACAAGGAATGGTTGCTCTGGAGCAAGCTGCAGAGAAGAGAAACCTCAATGACCCAAAACCCACCAGGGTTTTCTGCACCTCAGGCACCAGGTACGGAGGCCCTGACCTGCCAGGTGCAGACACATCTACAGACGGACACCCCGTCCACAGCACTGCTCCCTCGCAGCCACTGTTCAGATGCCCAGACTAACCGAGTCCGTTAGCATCGTGGCTAATGCTTCCCGGTGCTCCCCAGTGCTCCCGGCTCCCCCATAAGAAAGGCAACTCCGACTTCAGCCAAGAAAACTGCAGCCTGAGAAGTCACGTGCTGTACTCGATTCCTGCTGCATCATCCCCCACCTCCTGCTCTGGTCACTGTCTCCTGCTGTGCCCACGGGTGGGAGATCCTAGGCTGCTTCCCAATTTCCTCCTGCAAACACAGCCTGGCCCCTGGAGTGGCGGTGTCACTGCCCTTCCCTCCTGAGGCTGTCCTGGAGCTGACTTGGTGCCTGCAGCCCACTGGCTGCTGCCGTCAGCCCCTTCCCTGCCAGGCTGCAGGAGGCAGGGTCATGCGCTCTGCCCCCCCCCCAGGGGCAGTGACTGCACAGAAAGGCAGAGGCGTCCTTCCAGAGACAGGCTTGAGGGGCCAAAGGGGCAGGGCATACCAGCCCACGCCATTCACAAATCTGAGCAGCCACACCCAATGGATGTGGCTCAAAGGCCATGTTGTCACTGACATGAAATGCTAGAAAAGGCAAATTCAGAGATAAACGTAGCCAGGGAGTTGGGTGGGCCAGGGCGTCACTGACATCTGCCAGGGAAACGAGTCCCACCCGGTCCCTGCAGACCCCAAATCATGAAGACAGAGGCCCAGACTGCCCGCAGTCTGAGACACTTGGCCTGCAGCCCTCCCGATGCCAGTGGCGTGAAGGACAAAGGGGACCCTCTCGTCTCAATTCTCCTTCTCTGCTTCAGTCACACCAGAGATTCTCAATAATATTGCTCTTGGGGCTGGAGCAATAGCACAGCAGGTAGGGTGTTTGCCTTGCATGCGACCGACCTGGGTTTGATTCCTAGCATCCCATATGGTCCCTTGAGCACCGCCAGGAGTAACTCCTGAGTGCATGAGTCAGGCATGAGTCAGGAGTGCAACACCGGGTGTGACTCAAAAAGGAAAAAAAAAAATAAATGAATGAAAAAAAAATAATAATATCGCTCTTGCCAAGAATCAACTTTTGGGGGCTGGATCAATAGCATAGCGGGTACGGCATTTGCCTTGCGTGTGGCTGACCCAGGTTCAATTCCCAGCATCCCATATGGTCCCCTGAGTACCGCCAGGAGTAATTCCTGTGGCATGAGCCAGGAGTAACCCCCCCCCCCCCCGCCGCAAAAAAAAAAGAAGCAACTTTTGTCTGACACCCCACAGTAATGATCCAAAACAGAAAACTTGAATGCTAAGACCTGAAACCATAAAACTCCATGGGAAAAAACATGCCATAAGCAACAGGATTGTAGCCTCAGTGCTAACTCTGGGTAGTCTCCCACAGCAAGGGAAACAAAGGCAGAAAGGCACGACACAAGAAAAGGCCAACCCGAGCAGGCGCTGATCAGTGCATCATGCATCGTGTGAGGGACTCTCTCAGTATCTGTGGGGGCACACCCAGCAGTGCTCAGGGCTTACTCCTGGCTCTGTGCTTAGCGGGGGACCCTACGGGGTGCCTGAGATCGAATCCAGGACAAATGCCCTCCCTGCTGTTCTACGGCTCCGGTGCCAATCGAGCCCATTTTGCACAGGTTACACCTAGTGTAAGGGAGCCTGTGTCTGAATTCCGTGCAGACCCAGTTCTCCTTCCTACTGAGTTGGCCGAGTGGAGGTCTACACGCTGCCACAGTCCCTGTGGACGCGTCCATCTGTGCTCACGCTCCAAGGTCCTTCTAACATCCACACTAACTTGACAGATGCTGAGACATCTGTCTCACTGCAGGGCTCACTACAGACAAGAAAGGCGAGACACCCCCACACCTCCGAGAGTGAGCAGAGGGGCGAAGAGCAAGGCCGTGAACTGCCAAATACTCCCACTAACACAGCCCAACCCCCAGGAGCCCTTGCAGCCCTGGATCCTCCCCGCCCCCCCGCACCCCTCCCCCAGGCTCCACCCCACGCACTTGGGGTGTGCCAGGAGCTGGTAGAGTGCGTGCTTATTGTCCTCCAGGCTCATCATGGCCACCAGGAAGCACTTGATCACCTCCCACGCCTGCCGCCGGTAGTAGGGCTCCGTGTTGGCACTTTTCAGGCAGTCCAGGGCAGTCTCAATGGCCTAGAACAAAGCAACACGAAGGCGCGAGTCAAACCCCGGAGCAGAAACATGCGGTGCCTCCCCTGTGGAGCCACAGGTCTCTGGCAAGAAGCTGCTGACATATCAGCTGCTCCCACCATGAAGCGGCGTGAACGGTGGCGGCTCCTTCAAAAGTGTCCCCAGGGTCCCGGGTACCTTCTCCATTGGGAGCTGAAGAGATGCTTTACAGTCAGAAAACTCCACGGTGATGCTCGGGCCTTGGACTTCAGTCACGACGTAGTGCAGCTTCTGGGACTCCTTCAGCATCTTCCGGTTGCTGCCACCAAACTTGCCCAGGACGCGGTAGGCCACATGGGAGATGCTGTCAGCGGGGTTCCGCAATGTGCGCCACAGGGCCTGGGACGAGGCATGTCGGGTCAGGTCCCCCCATGCGACACAGCCCAGCGGACGCAGAGCAAGAATCAAGTAAGGCAGAACTAGGCAGTGGACGCTCGACCCCCCCCCCCCGCCCTCGCCCCCACAGGCTCCCTCCTGGGGGAGATCCTGCTCTGGGCCTGAGGCACAGTCCCCAAGAAAGTTTGTCATCACAGAAAATGCACAAATAAACAAAAGCGGCTCCGATGCTCCTGAAAAATGGCAGTCCGTGCATTAGAAAGATCAGCGTTCGGCAATGGATTGATCAGGCATACACACCTTAGAGCAACATGAAGGGAGATGCAATCTGCTAGTAAAATCCCTGTGCCTGGGTCAGTTAACAAGTTCTAAGGTTTTTATTTCCATTTTTAAGCTATATATATAACCTACAGCACGAAGCTATCTCAGACACGGCACACCTCACGTTAGAAAGGATGGTGAGAAAATGGGGATCCCTGCATGAGGGAACTGAAGAACCTGCACCTGTCCTCACGGTTGCATGCTGCCTACACAGCCGCGCGGCCCACCTGCTGTCTCACACCCCAACGACCCTAAGTCCTCCAGGGCCCACAGCAGCTGGCCTGTTTCCTAAACCACCTTCTGTACAAGATTTCATTTTAAAACTTTTCTCTGAAGGAAAACTCAACTTTCACAGACATTCCTGAAGCACCGGTACCTTATCTCACCCGATTTCCGCAACCCCCTCCCCCCTCAGGCAGGAGCAGGGAGGCAACTCCCAACAGGGGCCCCAGTACAGACAGTCTACGCCTACTACAGTCACTAAGAAAGATGTCAGGGCCAGACGAGAGCGGGGAGGGCCGACCAGGTTGGTCCCCGGCATCCCACAGAGTTCCCAGAGCACCGCCTGTAGTGATACCTGAGCGCAGAGCCAGGAGTATCTCCAAGCAGCATTAGGTGTGAGCCAGAAAAAAGGAAGCAATTTTTAAAAATGAAATTAAGAAAGCAGAAAGTGAAGGAAAGTGCTGGTCTCTGTTCAATCTAAGCCCTAAGGAATAGAAATTCTGAAGTATTTTCCCAAACCGCCTCCTTGGTCTGCTGGTCCCCTTGGGCTGAGCTGGGCAGCTCCCCCTCGCCTTAGGAGTTTGTGCTTCCTTAGATAAAAGACAGCCAAGGGCGGCCACCTAAATAACCACAACACCATTTTTTTTCTTTTTGGGTCACACCCAGCAATGCATAGGGATTATTCCTGGCTCGTGCACTCAGGAATCACTCCTGGCGGTGCTCAGGGGACCATATGGGATACTGGGAATCGAACCAGGGTCAGCCATGTGCCAGGCAAATGCCCTCCCCACTGTGCTATTGCTCCAGCCCCACCACAACAGCATTAATAGCCATCGCAGGCAATCAACTTAGCAAGGCACATAAAGGCAGGCAAAGCCTCAAAACAAAGACTTCAGCAGACCCTCCTTAGGTCTGTTCCAGGCCGAAGCTCAGGAGGAACCCGCAAGCGGCCCCTTACCCTGGCGGGGAGTGGCGCCAGGGGCCCATGGGTACTCAGGGGTAGGCACACGCACCTGCATGAGCTCCGCACGCACTGGCTGAATGTGGTCATAGAGGAAGTCGGGCTGCAGGTTGTCCACGCACAGCTCCAGGGTCCGCAGGCCTTGGCTGACCAGCGTCTGCGAGCCGTTGAGGGCGGACACCAAGGGGTCCATCAGCATGGGCAGGTAGGGCAGGAGCGAGCTGAGGCGCACGGGCACCGTCAGGCAGAGCTCCACGAAGAGGTCCTTCATGTGCTGCTTGTGCAGGCCGCTCTGCAGCATGTTCAGCCCTGCGGGGGGAGGGGAGAGTGGCTCACGGCCTCCCACACATGGTCAGCCTGGGTCACAGCATCGCCTGTCAGGACAGACTCCCGGCCAGCCATACCCGGAACCCCCGTGTCTGTCACACTCAGTGGCGAGAACAAGGCTGCCCTTGATCACTATGATTTAAGCTACTATAGCACTGTGGCACTGTCCTTCCACTGTTCATCGATTTGCTCAAGCGGGCTCAGTACCGTCTCCATTGTGAGACTTTGTTGTTACTGTGTTTGGCAAATTGAATATGTCACGGGTAGCTTCCCAGGCTTTGCCATGCGGGCGAGATACTCTCGGTAGCTTGCCAGGCTTTCCGAGAGGGGCAGGGGAATCGAACCCAGCTCGGGCGGGCCAGCCACGCACAAGGCAAATGCCCAATCTCCTACAAATCAGTCCGTTCCATCTAAACCCTGAGACCCGAGCACAAGGCACTCAGTTCCTGCTTGGGGTGTCAACCATGCACCTTGGCAGTCTGCCAGGAGGCTGCGATTCAAGTCGATGCTCTAAAGTAAATTTAGCATTTTAACCCAGTTTTGCTTCTGATTTGTAAGAATGGGAGACCATGCTTCTAGAGCATGACCGAGCATCTAGCGCGTGCTCCTTCCCATCCTGATCCTCTTGTCATATCAGGACCTGCCCCCGAATCACCGGGTCCTAAGTAGCTGCAGACAAAGAGAGCTGGGGAGAGAGAGGAGCCATTAAGGAGGGTACAGCGGAGCCATGACACCGGACTCGGGTGCTAAAGTGGACAAGACAAAGGCCAAGATCAGGTGCAGAGGGGGACTACTGAAGGTGCTGAGGAGAAGGAAGCTGGCAGCAGTGCAGAACTGCAGGATACAGCTGACTGGGCAGAGGATCCCGCAGGAATGAAGACGGGGCTGCTGCCAGGCAATGTCTGACCATGGTCCCCCGCAGCACCTCCAGCCATGTGGCACTGGAATACAGGAGCATCTCCCAGGAGTTCCTGGGTAAACAGGTAACAAATTGCGTCCTTGAAAAGAATTTGAGAAAAAAAAAAAACACACAGAAGAGGGTTTGGTTCCGCCAGCAGGTTAACCTGTACCCATGGGACGAGTGCATCAGCAGCCTGACGGTGCCTTCAGGCGTCCTGACACCCCCAAATTTCTGCTGTGCTTTTGGCCAGACCACAACAATTTTGGACCAAGTTTCCCAAGAAACTAAACAGCCCAAAGTTAGATATGTTCCGGGAGTCAAGCCCACTGAACCACCTCCCGCTCAGCTATACAAGCTCATTTATCAGCCTTGCTTCAGAGACCCATAAATAAGTCTTGAAAGAGATCAAAAGAAGCAGGTCATGTAGGACCCACGCATGGCTGAATAGATGGGGTTAAACAGGGTGGGGGCAGAGAGGCAAAAAAGTATAGTCGAAGTGACATCTGCACTTGTTTGTCCACTGCAGCACTGTTTACAATAGCCAGAATCTGAAAAAAAACCTGAGTGCCTGAGAACAGATGACTGGTTAAAGAAACTTGGGTACATCTACACAATGGAGTACTATGCAGCTGTTAGAAAAGATGAAGTCATGGAATTTATATACAAGTGGTACTACGTGGAAAGTATCATGCTAAGCGAAATGAGTCAGAAAGAGAGGGACAGACAGAGAAAGATTGCATTCATCTGGGGAACATAAAATAACAAAATAGGAGTCTGACACCCAAGAATAGCCGAGATAAGTACCAGGAGGTTTACTCCATGGCTTGGAGGCCAGCCACACATGCTAGGGGAAAAGACAGCTCAGACAGAGAAGGGAGCACCAAATAAAAGGTGTTGGGAGGATCCTCCCAGGATGGGAGATGTATGCTGAAAGTAGACTATAGACCGAACATGATTGCCACTCAGTGCCTCTTTTGCAAACCACAGCACCCAAAAGGAGAGAACAAAAGGGAATGTCCTGCCACAGAGGTAGGGTGGGATGAGGGTGAAGGGGATGGGAGGGATACTGGGATCATTGGTGATGGAGAATGGGCACTGGTAGAGGGATGGGTACTCTATCACTGTATAACTGAAACCCAAGCACAAAAATTTGTAAGTCTACAACTGTACCTCATGGTGTCTCACTAATAAACATTAAATAAATAAATAGAGTGGGGGGATGGGCTGGCCTAGTGCCCACTCAAGCAGAGCCCCGGCAGCCGCTTGCTTGCACAATCCAAAACCACCACCATACCCCCGGGCCTGACTCCACTGTCTCAGGAGACATAATCTACTGAAAATTCTGGTATGCAGGTTTCGTGACAGAAATCTCCAGGCTTTCTTAGGGCTGGGATGGGTTACCTCCCCCAAACTCCCTGTACTTTCAGAAGCCTCGGCAGTCACATCCACATTCCAAAGCGGCCACCCAATTAAAAAGCTGCTCCAGCCTAACTGTCCCAAGAAAAATACTGAATGACCTGAACAGACACCATGACTTCTTAGCACCTCTTAGTATTGCAAACCATGATGCACAAAAGGAAAAGGAGAGAAAGAGAGCAAGAAGGAAAGTGCTTCCCATAGAGGGAGGCTAGGGGTGGGGGGTGGGGGGTGGGGGATGGTGGTGAAGGGAAATGGAGGACACTGGTGGTGGGAAATGTACACCGGTGGAGGATGGGTGTTGGATACCTGTATGGCCAAAATCCATTTATGAACAGCTTTGTAATGGTCTATCTCAAAGATACTCAATTTAAAAATAGAATTTTAAAAAGTAATGTGGAGCAAGAGCACAGGGGGTAGGGCGTTTGCCCTGCAAGCGGCCAATATGGCCAACATGAGTTCGATTCCTCCGCCCCTCTCGGAGAGCCCAGCAAGCTACCGAGAGTATCTCACCCACATGGCAAAGCCTGGCAAGCTCCCCGTGATGTGTTCAATATGCCAAACACAATAACATCTGTCACAATGGAGACGTTACTGGGCCCACTCGAACAAATCGATGAACAACGGGAGGACAGTGACAGTGACAGTGAATGTGGAGTTCACGGCCACTTCAGTCAGCTTAATCAGTGGCTGAATAAACGGCAGTACTCCTACATTAAAAAAAAAAAGAAAGAAAGAAAAAGAAAAAAATAATTCTTTTCCATGAGCTCATCTCCACAAAAAATACTCATGTGACTGTTTCTTCATTGTTGCTCCTGTTGTGGGACCAGGATGACCGTGGCAGTGCTCAGGCCACACCTCAGAAAGAAGGAGGGTGTTCCTATTCAGTACACAATTCAGAAGCACCCGCTGGCCTTAAGATCTCCTTTAGATATATATCTATAAAGCCATTTCTAGTTGTTTCAGAATTGCAGGGTCCTGGTAATTAATTGCACAACTAAGCAACTAAATTAAAACACAAACTTATAAACTAGCTCCACAACTTGGTTTCCTGCTTCTGCTCTGAGTCTCTTTCAAGCTCAGGGATCCTTCTGCTTACCAGACTAGAAATCGTGGCCTAGATTTTCTTACAAATGCGACAACAGTGACAAGTCCTAACCCAAGTTAACTGAAACCTTGTAATTCCCACTCACATCAGAGAAGGGAAGGAAGATTCCTCCCAGAAAAGGAGGAAATCCTCCTGGGGGCTTCTGCCTTTCATGACCATGGGACGGGGAGGGACACACACATACCCACCGCCCATCAAGCCCCTCACCAGTGCAGAGGACAAACCCAGCAACCAAGGGAAGGGTGGCCGGCCCCATGCACGCAGAAAGACTAGGGGCAACCCGCACGCTGTTCTGACCTTGCAGGAGGTTGGGCAGGAGAGGCAGAAACTCCTGATACAGGAGGTCATGGCTGCCCCCGCCAATGGAGCGGAACAGGGCTCGGAGCAGCAGGAAGTAGTTGTACGGTTCTTTGGCGGTCTGGGCGAGCTCCATGGAGCTGTTCACAATCTTGTGCAGGTGAGGCTGCAAGGCGGGAGAGATGGTCACCGACTCTGAGTGATGAGGGGTCGGAGTATCACACAGAAACGGAAGGCAATTCTGACGAACTCATTGCAAAATCAAAAACGAGACCTTAATAACTTTTCACTCCAAATTAAGTATCCTTAAAATAAATGAGTGACGGGCCAGAGCGACAGCACAGTGGGTAGGACGTTTGCCTTGCACGCGGCTGACCCGGGTTTGATCTCCGGCACGCCATATGGTCCCCCAAGCACTGCCAGGAGTAATTCCTGAGTGCAAAGCCAGGAGGAACCCCTGAGCATTGCTGGGTGTGATCCAAAAAGCCAAAAAAAAAAAAAAAAAAAAAAAAGAGTGACACACATATCCCTGTAAGGGGCTCCAGAAACTCTCAGCAACACTCCCGACAGCTCATCTGGACTGCTACCATCAGCTGAACCGGACGTAATGTTGGCAGAAATGGATTCATCTGACCTACTGAGTTATGCAGATACAGATTACAATAAATAGAACTTATCTTAGATAACTTTCATGTTAACACAAAAGTTGGCTAAGGTTGCTGACTGCTAAATAACTGAAAAGGCTGGAAGCCACAGACCATGGACTACAGAAACTTTCCATCACTGAAAAAGAGCTCTTCTATCTTGAAAATGTCCTTTTGGTGACTATATTCAACTTTCAGTAATAATTAAAATACCCTGCCATAAGTGAACTGGGGACTGGGCTGGGGACCACCTCAGTGGTGCTAGGGCAAGGAGTACCATGTGGTGCCCAGTGGGGGTGGAGGGTGGCCACACGCACGCAAATTCCTTAACCCTGTGCTATCTCTGGCCCCTGCGCGTGCATTTTTGTAGAGTTTTTGTTCTGCCATCTGCTGGTTCTAGTTCTGCAGTAGGTCAATTAGGCCGCATCTGTCCTCCAGGGAGGGTTCTAGGAGTCAGTTCCTCTTTGCTGCCTAAAAAAGCAACATGAATTGAATAAAATCTATGATTTAATGGAAGAAAATCCACAATAGTCCTCCTAAAAAAGATGTTTATGGGTCACCCTAGTAGAAGGAACAGAAAGAAACGAAATTAAAGCCGGAGACGAGCTACTGACAGGAACTCCTTGCAAGCGAGGCCATCTGTCCCTCCTGGGACTTGGAGAGGGACACATACCCTCTGCTGGGGGGTCGGGTCAAATGCAGGCCTCACAGGCCAACCACGTGGCCTGTCGCCCGTCACATCTTTGCTCTTGAATAGAGACCTCCCAGCAGTGCCTGGGAACAGGGCCCTGGGGGAGCCACCTGGCGGGTGGGCACAACCTCAGCCCACACCCAAAGGCGTGGGTCGGACACAGCAGCCACCCTCCATGGGATTGATGGGTCAGAACTGGGACTCTGCCAAGCGTCCTCTGGCCCTATTTTTTTTTTTTTTTGCATACAGTAATACAAGGGCTCCTATCTGTACAACTGAGAAAAAGAAATTGAGTCCTGTTTCTTCGGGGGGACAGGAACACACCCCGTGAACCCCAGGGGCAACCCGTGAGAATATTCCGAGGATACTAAATGGTATCTGGGATCGAAGCAGGTCAGCTACCTGCAAGGTAAGCACCTTCATCCCTGGACCAGGCACCAAGAAACTGAGTTTAAAAAGAAAACCAGTGCTAGTACAGCAAATGGCAATTTAGTGACTATATGAGAGTTCTGAAGTTTGTCTTTTAATCATCACATAAGTTAAGCTCTACTCACAAACACCTAAAATTTATTTTTACACGAAAGCCATATTTGTTGCAGATATTTCTTTTTGCTGCTGTTGCAAATATTTCTTAAAAAGCACTTTACACTAGAAAGTGAGCTTCCATATGAACCCTCAACACCACTTGTGGAAATATATCCAAAGAGTGCAAAAAAGCACAGTAGAAATGACATCTGCACCTTTATATTCATTGCAACACTGTTCACAACAGCCAGAATATGGAAACAACCCGACTGCCCGAGAACAGTCGACTGGTTAAAGAAACTTTGGTACACCTACACAATGGAATACTATGCAGCTGTTGGAAAGATTAAGTCTTATATGAAATGGAATTTGCTTATAAGTGGATGGACATGGAGAGTATCATGCTAAGTGAAATGAGTCAGAAAGAGATGGACAGACTTAGAATGACTGCACTCATTTGTGGAATATAAAATAACATGAGACTGACATCTAAGAACAGTAGACACAAAGGCCAAGAATACTGCTCCATAGTTGGAAGCCTGTCTCATGAGCTGGGGAGACGGCAGCTGGGATAGAGAGGGGATCGCTAAATCGATGATTGGAGGGATCGTTCGGGATGGGAGATGTGCGCTGAAAATAGATAAAGGACCAAATGTGAGAGCCTCTCAGTGTCTATATTGCAAACCATAATGCCTAAAAGTAGAGAGAGATAATATGGGGGAAATTGTCTGCCATGAAGGCAGGGGGAGGGTAGAGGTGGGGGGAGGGGGATACTGGGGACATTGGTGGTGGAGAATGTGCACTGGTGGAGGGAAGGGTGTTCAATCATTGTATGAATGAAACTCAAACATGAAAGCTCTGTAACTGTATTTCACGGTGATTCAATAAGAGAAACTTTTTAAAACTTAAAAAAAAAGCACTTTGCAACACAGAAAGCGTTGCTCCCTATTCTGCTCAGAAATGAAAACAAACATTATCCACCACCTGCAGGAACACAAAGTACTACTTCACATCCAGTCGAGCATTACCTTCAGCATTTGTTCATTTTCAGCTGCGAAGAGGGAAACTGAGCCAAAGACCAGCTTGAAGAGCTTAAGGTACAGGTTGGAGAGCTCCACGTTGGAGCCCATCTCGGGCAGGCGGTCCAGGAGGTACTCCACCAGGATCGTAGCGAACAGCGCAGAGGTAGTAGGGTTGGCCAAGAAGGAGTTGGCAACAATCTGTTGGAGAAAAAGACACTCCTGTGACAAAACGAAGGCTTTCCCCCAGCAGCTTCAAGAAAAACAAAGTTTTATTTCCTTTTTGTCTGGAGATCATGCCCAGCAGTGCTCAGGGCTTGCTCTTGCCAATATTCGGGGACCATATGCAAAGGTGCTAGGACTGAACTGGGGTCGGCCACATGCCAGGCAAAAAAAAAAAGTCATAGACTTTCCAAAAATGTACAAGCAAACTACTATAGACACCCCAGAAATTAGTTACCCAACCAGAGAAAAATGGTGAAATACACTGACAAAAGACTGAGAGAAGGAGTTTGCTTAAAGCAGAGGATCCGCTACTTTATCCTTAGGATCAAATACCAACAGCGGACACTGAACATAGGTAACTCACAGGAATGAGAAAACCAGCTCAAAGCATCTTAATCTTTTGGAAAAAAACCTTTTGAATATATGAACTAATAAATAAAATAATAAAAAAAAATATGAACTAATACTTTCCTAAAATAAAAAATATGGACTAATACTTTCCTAAAATTCTTACATTATTGAGAAAACTCTTCCAAGTAAGGGGAAACCAGGTATTCATAACACAAAGGAGTTTCCTTTTCTCATAGACGACTCCCACGGGCCACTCCCAGGCTCCCAGGAGGCCCGGGCCCAGCTGCCTGGGCGGCCATCAGGGATATGCTTGGCTGTGCTCAGGAGGCCATGAGCAAATTGCGAGGCACCCGGCAATCTCCCTGGCCCTCAACAAGTATTTTTAAGTTGACATGGGCAAAAATGCAAGAAATACCTGAAGAGCGTAATTTTTGGAGATTCTTTCCACCATGTAAGGAACTGTCGTTTGAAAGATTTCCTTAAATGTTAAGGGATTCATCATTGTAAACACTCCAGCAAAGTGTTCCAACACTTCCTTCTCTTCCTTCATTCTAACAGTCTGGCAGTTTGCTACGCGAATGTATGTCTGTCCATTTCCTGCTATCTGGACCTAGGGTGGGGGGAGAAATAAAAACAAAACCCAAGGTCAGTGAATTGAAACCCACAATCTCTGAACACACTCAAAACAACCTGATGACAAGAAGATGTAAGTGGCCCAGCTTTTCAAATTCTAGCTGCTCCTTCATTTCAGAAATCACTTGTAGCACAAAAAAAAAAAAACAACTGAATCTTATGTTTCTACTGCATAGCATGTACACCACTCCCCAGACAAAACATATGCTCATCACGAACTGTTCTCACTGTTCTCACATGTAAGTCCCTGACATGTCACAGAGTAGAAACAAATGTGTGCATGAAACCCGTTACAAACCATAACACCCAAAAGGAGACTGTAAAAGGGAATGTGCCTGCCACAGAGGCGGCGGTGGGGGCGTGGGGGTGGAGGGGGTGGGAGGAGGGATATACTGAGAACATTGGTGGTGGAAAATGGGCACTGGTGGAGGGATGGGTACTCAATTATTTTATGACTGAAACGTAATCACAAAAGTTTGTAAATCTATAACTAGATCTCACAGTAATGCACTAAAAAAAGACATAAGGAAATGGAAAAAAAAAGAAAAAGAAATCCCACCAGATGGAGAAGGAAGCACCAAGTAAAGGGTGTTGGGAAGATCCTCTCAGGATGCGAGATGCATGCTCAAAGTAGACTATAGACCAAACATGACTGCCACCCAATACCTCTTTTGCAAAGCACAACACCCAATAGGAGAGAAAAAACAAAAGGGAATGCCCAGCCACAGGGATGGAGGGATGGGAGGGATACTAGGATCATTGATGGGGGAGAATGGGCACTGGTGGAGGGATGGGTACTTGATCACTGTATAACTGAAACCCAGGCACAAAAATTTGTTAAGTCTACAACTGTACCTCATGGTGTTTCACTAATAAAAATTAAAGAAAAAAGAAAAAGAAACCAGCTGCGTGGTCCACACAGCAGGCTTCTCAGTGTCTGCTCGCTCAGAGCCCAGCCGGGGGGAGTCGTCTCTCCGGCCAGCACAGGGAGCCCCCTTACCTGATAAATATCCAAAGCCTGCATTGCGTACTTCACAAGTTTTATGTATATCTGAGTCTCTTTGGGTTGTAACTGCTTGTTGGGAATGAACTGGGCTTCTGGAAGAGAAACGATACGTTAAGTGGCGGGCCCGCCCCCCCCCCCCGCGACACCCCCCGTGTGAGCGGCACATGAGAGGGGCGCTCGGGAGCAGGATTACCTCCAGGTGCTTTGCACGACGTGATCCCCCACGTGATGGTCTTCACGCCACAGACCAGGGTCTTCACCAGACTGCGGCAGTCTGTGACCTGGAAAGTCTGCTTGTCCTCCTTGTCCTTTTCGCCTTGCTTCTCGAAGGGAGGCACAGGGGCTGGAGTCACAGGGGTGGCGGGGGTCGGGGGCGGCGGCGGGGGCGGTGCGGGGGCAGGCACAGGGGCGGGAGAGGGGGCAGGGCCAGGAGCTGCGGGGGCAGTGGGCACACCGGGCAGAGCAGCGTCCACGCCTCCCAGCTCCGACTGAGGCTTGCACTTCTTAAAAATGGCAGCGAGCTGGTAGCGCGCAATCGTGTGGAACTTCAGAACAAAGACCTGCAGGGAGAGCAGCCGTGTGACCCCTCGGGCCCGGCCTGCAGAAGACTGGGACGGAGAGGAGAGCGACAGGCTCCTGCCGACACCCGAGGGGCTTCTGCAACGCCTCCCACTCTCCTCGCACAGGCTCGGGACAGTGAGGCCAGGCCTCCTGCCCCGTGTCCTCCACACACTGCCCCTGGCCTAGGGCGGCCGTTCCCCACCCCGCCCGCTCTCCAGGAAGCAGCTCTGCAGAGAACAAGCCCCAGGCGGGCCGGAGGGGTCTGTGTCCTTCCTGCCCACTCTGTGACCCTCCCAGCCGAGACTGACCAGGCTAGCAGGCAGAGAGGGGACACCGGCTTCCCAAAGACACTGACTGATAAGCACAGCCCTCCCCCTCCCCCACCCCCCCAGCCTGGGCCCCGCCGGGAGTGGCACCTCCAGCATCCGCATGAGGACGTCCCTGCCGTTGCCACTCTCCTGCTCACTCTTGGAGCGGATACAGTCCACCAGGTTGAGCAGCAGCTTGCAGGACATCGTCTGGATGCTGCTGGGCAGGGACTCGTCATCGATGTTCTTGGCGAAGAGCTGGACGGCGAGGGAGAGGTCGCCAAGGGGTAGGTGCTGCCGGACGTGGTGCACGAGGTCAGCCAGCGTGCTGTAGGCGAGGGGCCTGTGGGCAGAGACCCCGCTAGTGTGCGCCCCACCCTAGCCCCCCACACCCCCGAGGGGGGGGGGGCGCTGTTTCTGGTCCCGTCTCCCCCGCCAAAATGGCGAGGTGCCGTCCTTCTTTCTAAACCGCAGAGTAAGCTTCCTGCGAACCACGGCGTGTCCGCCTGGCCAGGCACAGGTGGGTTTGGTTAGCACGGTCCTCCCGTTGTTCATCGATTTGCTCAAGCGGCCCCAGTAATGTCTCCATCGTGAGACTTGTTGTTACTGTGTTTGGCATATTGAATACGTCACGGGTAGTTTGCCAGGCTTTGCCGTGCGGGCGAGATACTCTCAGTAGTTTGCCGGGCTCTCTGAGAGGGATGGAAGAATTGAACCTGGCGGGCCGGCTGCGCGCAAGGCAAACGCCCTACCACTGTGCTATCGCTGGCTGCGACTGGGCGGGTTTGGTACTCCAGATGAACACCGTGTGACAGGGAAGCCTATGCGTGGTCACCAACTCAGACGTTGGCCGTGTCCGGGATACACAGCCACGTGCCAGGACACAGAGTGAGGACAAGGGGCACCACAGCAGCAAAGCAAACAGACCCTGCCCTCGGGAATTACAGGAGGAGGAACATGAGGCATGTTAGGCGGGCGTGAGCACAGCCAGGACAGCCCCGCGCTAACCAAGGTCAGAAAGAGCACAGGACGCCGCCCAGGGAGGACAAGAACCCGAGTGGCAGCGGCCAGCGCAGAGCTGACCACACAGCAGAGCTGCCGTGGGCTGGGCAAAAGTCTGGGTTTGGTCTGAGGGCAACCAAGTGCAGGGGCCGTCAAGGAGCCGCAGGATCTCATGGGCGACCCTGGTTCAAACCCCCACACTAGAACCACCACAAGACCAGGGGCCACCCCTGAGCACAGGGCAGGAACACCTGGGCACCCATTCTGGATGTGGGGGAAATGAAGAAAAAATGAAGAAAAAAAAAAATGAAGAAAAAAAAAAAAAACGGGCTGGAGCGAAAGCACAGTGAGTAGGGCGTTTGCCTTGCAATGCACGCGGCCAACCCGGGTTCAATTCCCAGCAACCCATATGGTCCCCTGAGCACCGCCAGGGGTAATTTCTGAGTGCGAAGTCAAGAGTAACCCCTGTGCATTGTCGGGTGTGACTCCTCCCAAAAAAAAAATTAAAAAGGAAAAAAAAGGCAAACAAACAACAAGCAAATACAATCAGCCATAGTTTTTTTTTTCTTTTTTCTTTTTGGATCACACCCAGCAATGCACAGAGGTTACTTCTGACTCTGCACTCAGGAGTTACTCCTGGCGGTGCTCAGGGGACTATATGGGATGCTGGGAATCGAACCCAGGTCAGCCGGGTGCAAGGCAAACACCCTACCCGCTGTGCTATCTCTCCAGCCCCAGCCATAGTTTTAAATCTCCCGTGTATAATCAGTTTTCTCCCCTCTTTATTCTTGGTGGATTATCAAATACTCCTTTTATCAAAAAAAGATGCATTTATTTTATAGAAAGCAAAATGCTGTCAGAGCAACTGCCTATGACTTACAGCAGAACAACTACTCTAATTTCTCCCTTTAAAATATGACAAACAGTTAAAAAAAAAAGAAGAAGAAAAAGCAAGCAAAGGCATGTCTCCAGCAGGGCTCAAGGCGCCAGTTGACCCACACCGAAGTGTGGCCCCCAACAATCAACAAAGGTGAATAAGGTACAAAGGAGCGGCAGGACAGTGGGCTGGGAGCTGGCCTTGCACGCGGCTGACACAATTCACAGCACCCACGCCCCCCTCCCCCGTATGGTCCCCGAGCCAGGAGTGACCCCAAAAGCATAGCAGGAGAAAGGCCTGGAACCGCTCAAGGCCTTTCAGAAAGTTCTGCGGTTTCAAATGGCATCAGGAGAGACTTAAAGACTAGCCAGCATTTTCCCTGAAATCCGCGTTGTCGCGTTCAGGAGCAGCGGCCCGAGGGATCTTGCCTCGTACCTGAGGGTCTCCCGAGCGGTGTAGCCGGCGCCGATCAGCACGGATTCGTCAAACAGCTTGTCCATGCAAGGAATGAACTCTGGAACACAAACAGCCATCGGGTGTCACCAGCTCAAGGGCACGGCACCGTGCAACCCCCGGAGGCCTGGGAAGTGCAGGAGCCCCCGAGCCAGGCTCCACAGGGAGAGGAGTGACCCCCGCCCACTCCTCAGCTCTCCCACTCCTGCAGCTAGCACCCCAGGAATGACCCTCGAGCACCTAGCCTGCAGCCGCTCCTGAGCACGGCGAGTGGGGCCCAAACCCAAAGTAACAGAACAGGACAGCCAAGACTGTGTGGGCCATGGCTGAGGACAGTCAGGGAAGCCGGCGGTCTGTCCTCCTCCAGGCCCACCTGTCGAGTGACACAATCCACCCACGGTCACAACATTCGGTGTTGCAGCAGGTGGTGCATGAGCAGAAAAGAACTGAGCTTCATGGCCCAGAGAGAATCCGCCCCAGTAAATCTCCCAACACACATCCCCGCGCCCAGACCTGAGCAGGAGGCACCCTCCCACGAGTCCCACCACTTGACGTCAACTGTCTCTACAACTCTGTGCTGGTCCATTAGGGGAAAGCAAGAGGCCACCCCCGCCCTCAGCCCCCATCGAGGCAGCTCCCAGCACTCTCGGAGGTCAGGGGCCCCCACTCCTGCCAGAGGCACCCTGGAAAGTCCCACGGATCGGCGGTGGAAGGTGGAAGGACACATGACCACACCTCCCTCTCCCCACTCAGGGACGCTGTCCATTTCCACAGAGTCACAGAGGGCAGCAGCTCATGCTCTCGAGGCCTCTACTCCACACTGCCCTGGGAAACCCTGGCCACAAGCAGCCAGGGACACTGCGCTTCTAGAACAAGCCCTAGATCAAGGGCTGCTCCAGACAAAGCCCACGGCCCCCCACCAACAGCTCGGAGGGCAGAGATGGCCCAGAACAACGAAGGTGCCGACGCCGGCTCAGGCTGCACCAGCAGGACAGCGGCTCCTTCAGCGGGTCGCTACCAGGTCAGAGGAAGACACATCCCAGCTGTCCTCAGAAAGGTGGCCGAGAGGAAGGAGCAGAGGCTACGCGAGTCCCGAGACACACAGTCCAGGGGAAAAACACAGAGCTACTAAGAAAAGCAAACTGTACGGAGCAAAGAATCACGACATGAAACGGCAGAGATGAAGAAGGGAGAGAGAGAAGGAAAGAGGGGAGGGAGAGAGAGACAGACAGACAGACCAGACCATGAGTACAGTGGGTAGGGGTTCATCCAGCACTACATATGGTCCCGAGTCTCACCAAGAGTAATGCCTGAGCACAGAGCCAGGAGAAAGCCCTGAGCACTACGAGAGCGAGTGAGCGGGAGAGAGAGAAAGAGAGCGAGAAACAGAGAGAGAGGAGAGAGAAGAGAAAGAGACAGAGAGGGAGAGAGAGAAGAGACAGGCAGAGACAGAGAGGGTGAGAGAAAAGAGTGAAAGAGAAAGACAGTGAGAGACAGAGAGAGGGAGAGAGAAGAGAGACAGGCAGAGAGAGATGGAGAGAGGAGACAGAGAGACATAGACAGAGGGAGAGAAAGTGAAAGAGAGGGTATTGAGAGAAAGAGAGAGAGAAAGAGAGAGAGAGAGAGAGAGAGAAGAGACAAAGAGAGAAGCAGACAGCCCAAGTGGGATGAGAGGCAAAGAGAGAGAATAAATTCAAGACAACATCAAAGAAAAAACGTGAAGCCTCAGAGATGAAGGCTGAAGGCTGAGACAAGCCGGGGGAGCGGGTGTGGCCAAGGGTGCCCCGCTGAGAGGCGCGGGAGGGACGTACGGTTTCTCAGCTCGGTGGTGAGGATGTGCTTGGCGGCGATGAGCAGCTCCTTCCGCAGGTGCGCAGTCTCGGCGGGGCAGTTGGACAGCAGCTGCAGCATCCCCTTGACCATCTGCTGAGAGTACTTGGTCACCAGCTCCTGGAAGGGAGGATAGCAGCAAGCTGGGGTGGGGAGGGAAACGTGCAAGAAGAACTTCCTTTTTCCTTCGGTGCCAGAGATGAAGCCGAGGTCTCACGCACATGGCACAGGCTTTAGCACTGAGCCACAGTCCAGGCCCCAGAATATTCCATAAACCTCCCAAATCCTCCCAAGACTAGGCTTGACCCCAAAGTAACAGGTCTAGTAAAGTCTAGTAGAGAAGTCTGAAGTCTGTGCGGACGCACAACGGCCACTGGGAGAACAAACAACAAGGAGCGTCTGGGGGAGACAGCTCGCAGGCCTGCTGGGCCCCGGCTCTGCCAGCAGCACTGTCCAGCCCCCCTGAGGAGGGAAGGAGGCTTCCTGCAGGAGAGCTTTACGATGTACTGTGACGCTGTCTACAGATCTGCCCAACTTTAGGCGAGAGTGGGCACGATTTCACGAGGGAAAGAAAGCAAACTTTAAAAAAAAATTCCAATCAATACGTAACACCAGAGACATCTCTACCAACTCAGAATAGATTCATCGCCATCCTTCTGCAGTGTCTCAGGAAGGCGATTCACCAAGACACCGAAGCTGACTAAAACACTAAGAAGCGCTACCCAAGGCAGGTGCTTTAAACCATGTTCCACTTTCTCTGTGAGCTCATGATCTTAATGATCTTCTAGCAAGACCTAGAAAAGCACTTTCAAAGACATTTGATAGGGTTACAAATGCTCTCAAAGAGTACTTTTATTTTTATTTTTTTTGCTTTTTGGGTCACACCCGGTGATGCACAGGGGTTACTCCTGGCTCTGCACTCAGGAATTACTCCTGTCAGTGCTCAGGGGACTATATACGGGATGCTGGGGATCGAAACTGGGTCGGCTGCATGCAAGGCAAACGCCCTCTCCACTGCACTATGGCTCCAGCCCCTCAGAGGGTACTTTTATTTTAAACACTGCAGCACGCTCATTTTTACTTTCATTTTCCTGAAATAAAATCACTAACCAAAATTCACCTCTAATACAATTTCACTACTATAGACTACAACCAAGTTTATTCCATACATTAGAACCATTAAATTGTGAGTTTTACTCAAAAATACTGCATGAACTGAAGTAGCAGAAGGTATTTTCTCCCTTCAGGGTCTTATGATTTGAGTAGGCAAGACTAAAAAGCAAATTTTTTAAAGAAGTAAAACCATTTCACAGATATTTTCAAGAAAAGCATTCAACACTTCTGTATCAGTTTGAGAATGCCATTTTTTGAAAGTTTTCGATCTCCCACATCATTTGTTATACAACTTCCAAAAAAATCTAAAAACCACTTAAAAAGTGTCTATGTATTCGTTAAAAGGGCAAACTGTACGCTGTGTGAATTATAGATCCTTTTTGTTCTGGTGCTGGTGACACATGGAAGAGCGCTCAGGGCTCACTCATGGTAGTGAGGGACCATGAGTAGAGACAGGGATCAAACCTCTATGGCCCGTGAATTAGATATTAGGGATTCTTTTTCGTTAATTGGAAGTAACTCAAGTGTTCATCAACTGGTGAATGGATAGACACACTGTGGTATGCCCAAACAAATAAATGCTGCGGCCACATTGCTCTCTGCCCCTCCCACCCCCACCCCCCCAAATTCACAGGTTGAAAGCCGACCCCCAGAGTGACCACATCTAGAGGGTCTGACCACATCGAGAGGTCAAGAAACGAAGCTGACAGGACTGTGGCCTGTAGAATAAGAAAGTTGGCTCTCATCCCCCTCACCAGCCTGGGAGGATGCAGCAAGCCAGATGGCAGCCCTCAGCAAACATCCACTCTACTGGCCCCCCCGAGAGTCTACTATGAGAAAGCCAACGTTCACTCTTCAAGCCGCTCAGCCCGTGGAGTCGCATGAGGGCAACCTGGGCAGAAAAAGACAACTAGCCATCAACAGAAGCGACGGACGCCAATGACAGAAGGACAAACCTCAGGATCACTGGTGAGAAAAGCTGCCGCACTCAAAAGGTCGTACAAAATCCACTGCATAGTCTACTTAGAGGACAATCTAGAAAAGGCAAAACTCAGGGACTGGAAACAGTGTTTGTCAGGAGTAGAAGAAGGAAACCGGCACAAGACAGACAAGGAAATCTGGGAGGTGACCAAATCTGGGTGGGGTGGGGTCGGGGGAAGGATACGGGGAACATTGCGGGTGGAGAATGGGCACTGGTGGAGGGATGGGTACATGAACACTGTTTGACTGAAACATAATCATGAAAGTCTGTAAGTCTGTAAATGCATCTCACGATGATTCACTAAAATATAAAAATTATTAAAAAAAAAATAGGTCTAAAGGGGCTGAAGCGATAGCACAGTGGGGAAGGCATGTTTGCTTTGCATGTGGCTGACCCAGGCTTGATTCCCAGCATCCCCCTCTTGATTTGCTGGTGGTCACCAACAACATGCATTTGTGAACTCACAGAACTGTATGCCTAGAAAAGGTGATTTTTTTTTTGGTTTTGGGGCCACATCAAGCAATGCTCAGGGGTTACTCCCAACTCTGAACACAGAAATCACTCCTGGTGGTCTCACAGGACCATACAGGGCACCATGGGCCAAGCTTGTGCTGACGGCATCAAGGCAAACGCCCTGCCCACTGCACTGCTGCTTGAGTCCTCAGTGAATTTCACTGCATATAAATCATCTCTCAAGAAAACCTAATTTAGGGACTGGAGTGATAGCACAGCAGGTAGGGCATTTGCCTTGCACTGGCCAACCCAGGTTCGATTCCCAGCACCCCATAGGGTCCTCGAGCACTGCCAGGAGTAATTTCAGAATGCATGAGCCAGGAGTAACCCCTGTGCAACGCCAGGTGTAATCCAAAAAAAAAAAAAAAAAAAGCCTAATTTCAAACCAAAGTCAGAAAACTTACCTGGTAAATTCTGATGATATAAGCTAAAAATGACAATGTTTTGATCTGAGCAGCAATGAAATCAGCATACAACTCCTTGTTGTAAAGCTTATGTTGCCTAAATGAAAAGTAAATAAAAATTTCAAAACTTAGCTCTTAAATCTTCACATGATATTAAGATTAGAAAATTACAAGACCAAGATTTGATTTCCTCACAGAAAAAAGCACAGTAACAGCAGGGAGATGTGTACATACTTCGGCCGCTCTGAGCATCCAAAAGGGCTTGAGCGGTTCCCTCGGCACTGCACAGCGCTTAGTGAGAGGCCTGTGACGCCAATGTCTGGCTGATGCCCTCCCAGGCACACCGGGCTGCCTGTTTCTCCGTGAGAGACCCAGGCCGGGACCGCAGACAGAGCCAGCTCACCCGCAGCCCTGCCCTGTCCTGACTGCGGCCACAAGGCTGAGCCCCAGCAGGGAATGTTTGCTACTGAAACAGGAAAGCTCCAAGTGGGAGGGAAAACTTCAGGAGAGGCCGCAGAGGATGGACACAACTGGTCAGCGTCCAGGAGATGGGTAGGAGACCAGCATGCCTGCACTGACACTGAAGTCACAGCAAGAGCCGGGCCTGAGAGTGAGAAAGGCTCAGTGATCCCCAAGTTACAGCACTTGGTAAAGCTTATGTTGCCTAAAGAATAGGTCTAGGGGCTGGAGCAATAGCACAGCAGGTAGGGCGTTTGCCTTGCACGCAGCCGACCTAGGTTCGATTCCCAGCATCCCATATGGTCCCCCGAGCACCGCCAGGAGTAATTCCTGAGTGCATGAACCAGGAGTAACTCCTGTGCATCGCCGGGTGTGACCGAAAAAGCAAAAAATAAATAAATAAATAATAGGTCTAAATGATGGCTGCTTGTTACTTGTACTGCAAACCATAACACCCAAAAAAACAGAGAGAGTAAGAGAGATTGTGCCTGCCATAGAGGCAGGAGGTGGGAAGGGGTGGGGTGGGGTCGGGGGAAGGATACGGGGAACATTGCGGGTGGAGAATGGGCACTGGTGGAGGGATGGGTACTTGAACACTGTTTGACTGAAACATAATCATGAAAGTCTGTAAGTCTGTAACTGTATCTCATGATGATTCACTAAAATATAAAAATTATATATAAAAAAAAAAGAATAGGTCTAAAGGGGCTGAAGTGATAGCACAGTGGGGAAGGCGTGTTTGCTTTGCATGTGGCTGACCCAGGTTTGATTCCCAGCATCCCATATGGTTCACCGAGCACAGCCAGGAGTAATTCCTGAGTGCATGAGCCAGAAGTAACCCCTGAGCATCGCTGGGTGTCACCCCCCCCCAAAAAAAACAGGTTTAAATTTACCATCACCAAAAACCAAGGTATTACTTCCTCTCAACGTAAAGACTACTGGCACCCTCACAAAGGCAAGATCAAGGTTGTGAGGCGGGAATTCAGCCAGCACTCTAGCTTCATGTGTGTGCTGGGGCCACCGCGGCTGCCCGGGACATCTCACCTGGCCTGCGCGGACACTTGAATCGCAATAGTGTTCATGATCAGTGGCACAAACTCGGCGACAACATTGTGGATATTCAGTTTGTAGAGCTAAAAGCAAAGAGATTTTTTTCATGCTTTGACGCTCTGGCACACCAAAGACACCACAGAATTCACTCTAGTAGTGTGGTCTAGTCTGTCTGCTATCAGTGTGGCGCTTAGCAGAGTGAACCGTGCCATGAAATAAGCCAAAGACCCAAGAATCTGACACACTCATACTTATACATCACACTGACCCTGATGGTTGACGCACATACCTGATACATTAATACGACAATAATGGGCAATTCAGCCAACACTTTGAGAGACAGAGATCCTCTTGGAATGATGGAATGCTGAAAGAGATAAACAAGCAAGATCATCGCTGTGCCACCTAAAACAGCCCTAATAAGAATCCACCAGTAAGTATCACCTCACTGGGATGAAGTAACACATCTTTGCAAATATTTGTTAAAAATCCAAACTGATCTGAAAGCAAAGTACACAGAGCTATGAATGTAGTTTTTTTTTTTTTTGCTTTTTGGGTCACACCCAGCGATGCACAGGGGTTACTCCTGGCTCTGCACTCAGGAGTTTCTTCTGGCGGTGCTCAGGGGACCATATGGGATGCTGGGAATCAAACCTGGGTTGGCCACGTGCAAGGCAAATGCCCTACCCACTGTGCTATCTCTCCAGCCCCTGAATGTAGCTTTTATTGTTCCAACAAAATCACTTCTATAGGTGATTGCCTAATGAATAGGTGGATTTCCTCAGAAAAAAAAAATTTAGATTTACATCCTGAGAAACTATTTTGCTTTCTTAAAAAAATTGTTTTAATACTGTCAACCCTTAAAAACTTATAAAATAGATAGGGAAAATGTCAAAATCCAAAGGGCAATGGACAGGAACAGACAAAACAAAACCAAAGAAAATAAAAGGTAAAAAAAGAACCAAACAGAGACTGGTAAACGGGAAACAACTTTAGAATGTCTTTTCTTATCCAAGCACAAGTCGAAACATTCCACAAAATCACTTCGGCACAGAGATGAAACAGGGATAAGTCTTAATTCGATCTGCTGTCACAGTGAATGTTCAATGCGTGTCACTTAGGAGCAAACTCGTTACCTGCAGACAATATGTACCTTCACATTCCACAAGACAGGTTTTTCAGGTGAGAGGAAAAATAAGGTCAGAATGAAGGTTCATAAACTTTCCAACAGTGAGACCCACATGGAGGCTGAGATCATCCCAGCTCTCAGCGTATGGCTCGGCAGTGACCTATGACCTCGAGCTACTAATGGGCTCCCTGATGCACAACCCTGGGCTGAGCCACTGCTACTGCAGTCGGACAAGCCTGGACTCTACTCCACTTTCTTTTTTTTTGGGGGGGGGGGGGGTCACACCAGCAATGCAGAGGTTACTCCTGGCTCATGCACTCAGGAATTACTCCTGCCGGTGCAGGAATTACTCCTGCCGGTGCTCAGGGGAATCTCCGGGATGCTGGGAATCGAGCCCGCGTCCTGCTGTGCTACTGCTCCAGCCTCTCCACTCCACACTCCACTTTCTCTCTGCCTCCCCCACCCCCACCACAGCAAGGTGGGTGCTGCCTTCTCATGGCCAAGTAGCTTAGCTCAAACGCTTCCAAATGTTTCAGAGAAAGAAAGCACCGTGACGGTCTAAGGAGTCACTCTCCTCCTCCCCCTGCAGCCCCAGAGACACTTACTGTTCTTGTCTCGCTGTCCTCGCGCTCAGGACTGACTTTCACAGCGATGGTGGTGATCATACCGACCATTTCAGGGGGAGGGACTGTGTTCTCGGGGATCACCTGAGGGTTCTCAAAGTATCGGTTCTAGAGGAAGCAGAGAAACCGTTTGTCCTGAAGCCAACCACAACATTCCTTCGTGAGCTCCGCCCAGCATGTGGTGGAAGAACCCGCACCACCAGGTGTCCCTGAGGCAATTCCTGACAGGGGTCCCAGGAAATCCCGCCTGCTGCTTTCGGATGTTGAGAGCAATACAATCTCCACCTCCAGCATCAATGAAGAGACCTGTCAGAGTGTGACCTGAGGCAAGATGAAACGTCTCCCCTACGACTTTATACTAGCTTGGGGAGGAAGGATGGGGCACTGACCCTGAGTGATGCCCACTCAGAAGGGAGTCCCTTGAGGCAGATAAAGGCTCACTCCCTGCCCCGTGCCACAAGCTCCTCCCCACAGTGCTCGTGAGATCATGCAGTGTGAAGACCAAACAGGACCTCCAGCATGCAAAGCAAGTGTTCCAACCAGCTGAGCTATCTCTGGCCCATCACACCAGTGATGTTAGGGGGCTACTCCTGGCTCAGTGCTCAGGGGACCATGTTACCAACCATATATTTTTTTTTATGTCAAAAATAAAATACCATGAACCTGAGAAAGAAGACGAGGTTAAGCGCCGGTCTTTTGTGCAGATGACCCCGTTTCCATCCCCAGGAACACGTGGTCCCCAGAGCACACAGGGTGAGACGGTCGGGGGGGCCCAAACACCTCCCCCGTCAGTAACTAGGTAAACGTCGACACTAAAAGACTTATTTGTCAACCAAGATTCTGACTGCCACGAAACATTCCCCATTCTAAACTGAGCATCCCCGAATTACACATTCAACTCAACAGTTATTCCCTTTGCAATGTATTAGTAACACAATTAATAAAATTAAAAGACATCAAAAACATACCACTACTTTTGGAAGCTCCTTATAAATCTGTTTCACAAAATCCAAAAAATGATGAATCTAAGGGGGGGCAAAAAAAAAAAAGAGAGATTATCTCTGCACAAAAAGTACTATTATTAGTTAAGAAAAAATTTTGAATCTGAAGGTGCTAGAACGCAAAAACAGGTAATAAAACTGTCAGAGTCAAAATACAAATTTTGCTTCTTGGGACACAGCTAGAGGGCAGTTCAAAATACTGGAAATGCCTTACGTACCTAAAAATATCCACAAAAAAATAGTAACGTGCATCCATTAAAAATAAAGGTAGCCAACCGTCGTTCAATCCCCAGCGCCCCATACGCTGAGCACTGTCAAAGAGTGACCCCTGAGCACAGAATCAGGAATGAGTCCCAAACACTCACATGTGTGGCCCAGGAACTTTTGGACAAATTTTTTGTTCTGTTTCGCTTTGTTTTGGGACATACCTGATGATGCACAGGAGTTACTTCTCACTCTGTGCTCAGGAATCACTCCTGGCAGTGCTCAGGGGACCACATGGGATGCCCAGGATCAAACTCCGGTCGGCCGTGGGCAAAGCAAGCAACCTCCCCCCTGTCCTACTGCTCCAGCCCCACACAAAAAACTTTTTTGAAGAAAAACGAATCAAGACACTAAATATTATTTTCAGATGGAAAAAATTCTATTTTGTCATTAATTTTTTTTAATTTCTAAGTCATCATTTATAGGCATTTACTAAAGCGATCATCAGAGATTTTGTTTTCGGGTAGCCACACCAGTGGTGTTAGGGAGCTACTCCTGGCTCAGTGCCCAGGAGTTAAATTCCATGTTACCAACCAGGAATTTAACCCGGAGCAGGCAAAATCACGTGCCCCAGCCTTCTGAGAATCTCCCGGGCCATGCGGAAGAACATTGACTCAGCACACACAATGCGCACATGCAGATGCTGACTGCTGTACAACTTTCCTCGCCAACTCAGTTCATCTTTAAGCAAAATCACAATAGACTAGGACTGTCTCCTTTTCTATGTAAAAAAATTTCAAAAGGCTTCCAGATGACCCCATGTCACCCAGCCCACACAGCAGAGCAGATTCTGAGTGAGGCCATCTCCGGGACACACACTGACTCCTCACACAACAGAGAAGGTACAGTCAGACCAGTTAACACCAAAATCCTCCCAAAAGAGTGGCCAGCTTCATCAGCAAACACATTTTTACTACTGAACAAACTGCAAAATCATCCTATTCAAACAAGCAACTAAAGTTTCCGTCAACCCCATAAGGAACTTCCCCAGCTTAGGGCTCCACAACTTCCATGCAAAAGCACACAGTCCCTCCCCCGACAGGAGGGCATCGGGTGCGGTGTCCCACCAACACTTACTTCCTGCGTGATGGGCGGCCTGAATTGCTTGTGCAGCTCAATGATTATTCGTAGACAAATAAGAACATTTTCTTCATTTTCCGTCTATTAAAAAAAAAAAGTTCTTGATTATACTTTTGAGGACCAAGAGAATACAGACTCTTTTTCTGAGCATTTTCTGCTGGAAATCTGTGAACCCGCAGAACCAGCTTCCCCAGGCAGGAGGCATGCGTGGTCTGCAGGGGCTATCCTCAGGACCCCCACGCTGGGGACACTGCTCAGAGGTCAACACAGCCCCCACCCCAGGCCTGCGCGTGCACTTTATACACAGAACACTCAGGCGTCTCCCATGATTTACACACGAGGCCAACACAACACAGCTAAAAAATATCAACCTGAACCTAACTACTCCCCTCCCCCGGCTCATCCTCCCAAAGGGACTACAAACAAGATAGAAATTTTAAGCACATTAAGACTAAGAACGGCAAAATAAAAGCAGAGGTTAACTAGACAGGCAGAGGCACAAGCATCCTCCGAGCTTAACCGACAGAAGCATGAGGACAAAGAAGCCTGTGCCCGAGTGCCTCATTGTTAAAGACTCTCACAACTAGCTGACAAATACACTATGAAAATCTTCACTCCCGTGAGCAAAGAACTCATTCTCACTGCTTTAGAGAATGAGAAATAGTTTTAGGACAGAGGTATAAGAAAATTATTAGCGCCTGACGTGCTTAAATAATAAAAAGTGAAAGGTTACCTCTAAAAAGCGAAACATCACAGATAAAACATTTTTTGTGTGTGGACGAAGATGTTCATTGGTTGGTATCCTATGAATTATTTCAAGAACTAGTTTCCGCAGTTGCTGGCAAAGAAAAATAAAAACGTAAAGATACAGTTTTTTGAAGAGCATCGTTTCCTTCACATCCTAAAAGCATCACCGTCTCTGGTATAAAGTGAGCTCTATTTTAGAAACAATCCTATTTTTCAGATGTATTTTGATGTAGGAGCTGCAAACCCGTATTTTTAGTATTTCTACACTGCTACACCAAATCAAGTAAGCCAGTCAGCTGAAGGTCACTACCCTCTGCGTACGGAGCATGTTTACAATGAGAGTCAAACCAACTGAACTCAAGTCTCCTTTCATGAATCACTTGCACTAATACTCTCTCCAGTGATCTGGGTCTGAGACCTAATTCCATCCTACTCGGTGTGAGATTTCACGATTCTTGTCTGTGAGGCTGAAAATGAAGGAGGGAGTCAGTGCTGTAAGATCCCGCATCGTAGAACACGAAGATGCTCCATTCAGCAATCAGATTTTCACTGTTATTGTAGTCCTTTTGGTCCTGGTCTACATACACCCTGCAGAGCTTGGGGTTGCTCCAGCAATCCCAGAAAACCATGGGGTGCAGGGGATCAAACCAGGGTCTCCAGCACTTATGTAAAGCATGCATTCCAGCCCTCGGAATGAGCTGCTGGCTTTTTTTTTTTGGGGGGGGGGGTGTCACCTGGCGATGCTCAGGGGTTACTCCTGGCTCTGCACTCAGGAATTACCTCTGGCGGTGCTCAGGGGACCATATGGGAAGCTGGGAATCAAACCCGGGTCAGCTGCGTGCAAGGCAAATGCCCTATCCACTGTGCTATCACTCCAGCCCCAACTGCTGGCTTTCTTATGGTTAAGAGCTATTAACCGTAACATTAAGAGCTCTTTTCAGAAAGGTTAAGAGCTATTAACCATAACATTAGCTCATTCCAGAATGAGCTGCTGGCTTTGTTATGGTTAAGCGCTATTTTTTTTAAATCACTATTTTTAATAGATACAGGATAAAATGTGTAGATAAAAGGGCCTTGGAGAAACACCATCAGTTCCAGAAATGAAACCTGAGCACTGCTAGGTGTGGTCCCAAAACCCAACAAATCAATTATCATTTCTCAGTACCCGGCACCACATACAGATCCCAGAGCATGACACACAAAGTGTGTCTCCAAAATATCCAAGAAGGAAAAATGATGAAGAGAGGGAGAGGGATAAACAAAACCAGCCCTGAGTTACCAGAACTGAAATGGAAAGAACTGATAAAAAGAAGGTAGAGTCACTGAACTCATGTTCCCTCTTTGTATAACCTGGAATAGGTCTGTAACGAACAGGACACAGATGGATCATGCCTGGACAAAGTGAAAACAACACATTTCATTGAGAAGGCAATGACCTGGATGAAATTCTCCTCAATCAATAAAACTTTAGGGTTTTTTTTTTCCATTTATGTTTTTTAAATTTTGGGGCCACAACCCCGAGTACCTGGGGCTTCCTCCTGGCTCTGCGCTGGGCATCACTCCCGAAAGGGCTCAGGAGGCCAGACATGGGGCTAGCCTGCTACTCAACGCATCTCCAGCCCCAAAACACCTTTCATTTTCAAGTGGATGTTTTCAGAGTGGTATTAAAAGAAAACACTTGCAACTGTCCAACAGGACACGTCCTTTCCTCATTGATGTACCTGGGCTGGTTTCTCCTGAAGAAACTGCACTTCTCCATCCTGAAGAAATGTAAGGAATCGAGGGATGATGTGTTCCAGGAATGTAGAATACTGAGGAGATGACGTTACGTTCTGGTGATGGGAAGAGAAAAGAAGACTCCATTTAGTTCATATGCTTAAATTTCATTTCAGTTCATACACTTAATTTCAATTTGGAATTAAATGTTGTTACATCACACGTCATAACTACCTCAAACTATCAACTACATTCATAAAGCCCATGGTAATTTTTAAAACTTTTAAATGCTTTGGCACAGTTTTAAATGCTTTGGCACAGTTTTAAGTAGCACTGCACTGTCCATTGTCCTCCCGTTGTTCATCGATTTGCTCAAACGGGCACCAGTAATGTCTCACAACAAATTGTGAGACTTGTTGCTACTGTTTTGGGCATATCGAATACGTCACAGGGAGATTGTCAGGCTTTGCCATGAGGGCGAGATACTCTCGGTAGCTTGCTGGACTCTCCGAGAGGGGCAGAGGAATCGAACCCGGGCTGGCTGCTTGCAAGGCAAACGCCGTACCTGCTGTGCTATCGCTCCAGTCCGACTAACTCACTAATCATAAATATTCACGCTTTTTTTTTTTTTTTGCTTTTTGGGTCACACCTGGCAATGCACAAGGGTTACTCCTGGCTCTGCAATCAGAAGTTACTCCTGGCGGTGCTCAGGGGACCATAAGGGATGCTGGGAATCGAACCTGGTTCGGCCGCGTGCAAGGCAAATGCCCTCGCTACATGCTGTGCTATCTCTCCAGTCCAAATATTCATGCTTTAAACTTTTCTAAAAATACCCAAAAATAAAAGCAAGAAATATTCCACATCCACCTTGTGTTAACTGCATATTAATATCTCTTTCATTATTATCAATGTTGAATCTGAAAATTAATAAATTTAATACTATCAATCCCCTAGTATTCATTCCTAGAGTCTCATTTTTTGAAAAGTCTCTCAAACAAAGATAAACTTTAACTATTACTCACGCTGATTTCTACACTGAATAATCAGAAGAATACCAGACTGATTTGCCATGGAAGGTATTTAAATCTGCTTCAGGAGTTCCATGCCAAGAAATATGGTTTTAAATAAATTAGGGTAATTGCCACATCAAAAAACCAATACAGGAGAAATAAATGCTGAAATTTTTTGTTAAAACAAGAAAGTCTCATGCTGTGGAAAAGGTTAAATTGGAGCACGTTCTGAATTAGCTCTGCCACAATCTAAACGATGCCTCTAAAAAGTCATTTTACCTTTCTTGGTTTTGGTTTTTGGCCATACCTGATGGTGCTCAGGTTAATTTCTGGTTCTGCACTCAGGATCATTCCCGGCAGGGCTCAGGGGACCGTATGGGGTACCACAGATCTAACACTGGGTGAGGAAAAAGCTAAACCTTCCCCATTGTACTATCTCTCAAGCCCCATGAAATTAGAAAATAAAGGCCCCAGGGGATTGGAGCAATAGCACAGCAGGTAGGGCATTTGCCTTGCACATAGTCGACCCGGGTTCGATTCCCAGCATCCCTTATGGTCCCCTGAGCACCGCCGGGTGTGACCCAAAAAGGAAAAAAAAGAAAAAAGAAAAGAACTGTGCTTGTCTCCTTTCCTCCCCAAATTGAAGACTTTCGTGAGACTCCGGCATGCAGGTTCAAGGAAAGGGCTGCTGGCACCGGAAGGCCATTGCCAACAGCACCAACCACGCAGGTTCTGGTTTCTCCGCAGACGCAGTGGACATGCCTCTGGAACCCTGGCCCTCCTCACGCGGCCCCTGGCTTCTTGATCCATGGGTGTTTTTCGGGTGATTTCTAACGTTTCTGCATCTTTTCCTGTCCTAAAAGCACTTCTGAAAGATAGCCCAGAATCTTATCCTTCATGTAGTCAATAGAATAAATTTCTCTTCTTTTCTTTTTTTTTTTTTGGTGCAGTTCTAGGGATTGGAGCCAGGGCTGGAAATTTTTTTTTTCTTTTCTGGGTCACACCCAGCGCTGCACAGGAGTTATTACTGGCTCTGCACTCAGGAATCACTCCTGGTGGTGCTCAGGGATGCCAGGGATCGAACCTGGGTCAGTCGCATGCAAGGAAAATGCCCTCCCCACTGGACTATCACTCCAGCCCCAAGGACTGAAATAAATTTCTAAGACTCCGAAAATCACTGGGCACTTTTCATTTTTACCCATTTAAGTATTTTTCTAGGGAGGTAGTGATGGCAACCTAGAATTTTCTGACAGTCATCCTAAACTACAACTAACCTTCACCTAAGGTTGTCCACACCAGACTTCAACAGGCACTTAACTGGAAACGCCCCACACACACTGCCTACCTTCTAGTTCCCCTAAGGCAGAGCACCTGCGGCCGCAGCCAGGCACCTGTCTGCTAACTGCCCTCATGAGAGGGAGCGGTCAGCCGACACAACCCAAGGACTGTCTGGCCACGAGCGCCTCCCCACAGCACCACAGGTGGTTCCACAGGAAGAGCCTCTCGATAAGCCTGAAGACAGCCGGGCTTCTCTCCCAGGAAGATGCAGAACACAGACCTAGCGTATGCGACCCCCCCACCCCTGTTCTTATTAACATTTTTGCTTTAGCAGTCTGGTCAAGGGAAAATTCTTTACTTCTGTCTCTAATCTCAGGAACTTTTCTTTTCTTTTTTTTTTTCTTTTTGGCAGGGAGGCCCCTCCTGGCTCTGCACTCAGCGATCACTCCTGGCAGGGCTCAGGGGACCATATAGGGTGCGGGGCATCAAATGCTATTGGCTGGGTGCAAGGCAAGTGTCCATTGTACTCTCTCTCTGTTCCCTGTCAGGAAAACTGTCATCCAGCTCAGTTCAAGGCAACAAATCCCAGAAATGTCTCGCTAAAGAACAAAACTCACCAAAGTATTAAAAATCACATTAGAAAAAGAAAGAAATATGGAGCTGGAGAGACAGGACAGTGGGTAAGGCACTTGCCTTGTATGCACCTGACCCAGATTCGATCCCTGATACCACCCCCGAGATTCTGCCAGGAATCAGGAGTAAGCCCTGAGTATCACTAGATGTTGACCCTAACCCCTCACCCGAAGACTAACTGGCATCTTGGCCAGAGAGAGAACTCAACTGCACGGGGGAGGTCCAGGCTCGATCCCCAGCACGCAAAGTTCCCTACGGACACCTCTCAGAGGCCTGAGCTCCCCCCTCCCAATATAAAGCTCAGAGTAGTCCCGGACCATAGCTGGGTACGGCTCCAGAACAAAAACAAAGACTAACTGGCACCAGACAGACCATGAAGTGGAAAAAGTAAGCCAAGACTCCCGCAGGCTGACGAGAGGCAGTGCAAGGCCACAGAAGAGGCTGGCAGGAGCCCCTGCGTTCCGAGCTGGGGGCTGAAAAGAACGCGGCAGGCTTCTGGAGCTGAGGAGCAGTCCCCAGCTGGGGCCCTCCAACACGGCCTGGGGACTGCAGGGCAGAGACCCGGAGAGGAAGTGAACTCCAGGAGCGAGCGGGACTAAGAGCAGGACGGCTGGTGGATATTTGCCTTGCACGTGACTGAGCCGGGGTTCGATTCCCGGCATCCCAGGTGCCCCAGCCCGCCAGAGTGATCCCAGAGTGCCGAGCCAGGAGTGAGCCTGAGCACTACCGAGCGTGGGCCAGAAACCAAAAACTACAAAAAGAAAATTAAAAAATGAGAAAATGGTTTCCCTGGAGCCCCTGGGCTTGCTTGAGGCCTGGGCTGCACTCCCAGGGAAAGACCGTGGTGGGTAATGCATCCGGATGCAGAGAACACTGCAGGGTGAGGTGGGCTTCTGGGCTAGCCCAGAGCAAAGACACACCTCAGTGACACCCAGACACCAGGCTGAGGAGGACCTGGCCTCAGCAGAAATGGGTAAACTTATTTGGCCTACAGCCCTATTTCCAGGAGGGCCAGGGGGGAAACATTCGGCATTTCCTCCTGGAAGACAGTTCTGGCACACCACTGGCTGGAAAGTCTCCGAGTAAGGCCTCAGAACACCAGATATAGCCCAGTGAAGCTGCCCCCAAATCAATCAGTGATTGAGAGTCCCAGGAAGACAAGAACAGAAATTGAATTCCACCAAATTAGAGAAGGGAAGGACAGGCTGTCCACAGACCCTTCCTGCAGCATCAGAAAATCAAGAGCACAAAAAGTGGTCCAGGAGCCAGCCACAGCCGAGCCATGAGAACACCAATGTCCTGACGCAAGGAAGTCACAGAACCCAGAACGCCTGTGTCTCCCACACCAGTCAGGACCTGACAAACACCTACTAAATCTCAGAGAAAATGGAACAAGTGGCCCAGGTATTTAGCAGACTTCAAAGCAGTCACATTAGGGCCAGAATGAGGCCGGAGGGGGTGGGGGGACAATGTCCTAACACCACAAGATCCCCTGGGCACCCCCCAGAGTGACCGCCTCCAAGCAACACCAGGTATGACCCAGACGCCCTAATTCCACCCCCCAAAAAAGTAGTCACTATAAATATGCAAAAAAATAAAAAGAAAATATGCTCTTAAAAATAGAATCCATTTTAGCTGAAAGACCAGATATCAATAGGACATTTATGCAAAACCGCAAGGAGCAAATTTTGCAGGAAGATTTATTTTTCCAACAGGTAGTCCTTCTGTTACTTTGGAGAATGAATCAGTTGAGGGGCACTGACTGAATGGATCCCCATGGAATAGGTTAAGTGATATTTATGATCTTAACAAACTTCTACAACCATAAAAACAAACAGGTAAGAAAATAACACCTGGGCAAATAATAAACTCAGCAGAAAGCAGTAACAAATAAACTCTTAAACTTAAACCTACAGTACAGAACTAAAAAAAAAAAAAATTTGGTGGGGTGAAGGCGTTTGGGCCAACCCAGAAATGCTGCATTACTGGATTACAGCCAACCAGGATTATTCCTGGCTCTTCACTCGGGAACTACCCCTGGCCGAGCTCAGGGGACCATATGGGATGCCCGAGACCAAACCCTGATCTGCTGCATGCAAGGCAAACACCCAACCCACTGTACTATCACTCAGGCCCATAACTAAAATTTTAACACACACGATACAGGGGCCAGAGAGACAGGGCAATGAGTAAGCCCTGCATGGCTTGGCCTCAAATCCAACCCCCAGCACCAAGCAACAAGCCCCCCATAAAATCAAATAAAATTAAAAAACATTCAACCACTTAAAAGCAACATTTCTTAACATTGTTTGGAATCCAGCATCATAAGCGTGAAGAGAAGTTAGACAATACTATGAACCAATTTTCATATTTCCGTTCTGAAGTGCAATTACAATAGCAAAGAGAGTGACTTTTGAGTTCCTGACAGAAACAGCACACAGACTACAAAATGAAAAGTGGAAAACAGAAATCTCATACCTCGAAGTTTTCACTAACTTCCTGCATCATTTTTAACTTTGTTTCATCAGCTGTAAATAACAAGACAAATGATCAGATCGTTGAAATTCCATTTAAAACGTTCTTTAAATGGCAGGATTTGTTCATTTAAGAGAAGCAATCAGATCTTATCAGTTTGACTGTCATCGTCCAACAGAGGGCACACAATTAGTCCCTATCACTAATGCACACACTCATACTCCAGACACACATGTGCACGGACAGACAGACAGACAGACAGACAGACACACACACACACACACACACGTGTGCCTCTTTGGGACTCCAGCCAGCAAAGCTCATCACTTTGCTTCTCCACAACACACAAAAGAAATCCTAAAAAAAATAAACATGACCATCTTTCTCAAAAATCCACTCTGCACCGAGGTGAATGGGTCAATGAGTGCACGGCTTTTATTTTCACTATTTTTTCATTGTTCTGCAGTGCAGGGCTGAACGACAAAAAGGACCAACTTACGTGTATTGACATCTGTGAGAGCTGCCACAAACTGAAGGTACTTTTTCATCAGAGTGGTTTGGTCAACCACCGTGGCCCCTTGTGTTGCAACGAATGCCATTTTTTTTTCCTAACAAGTTGGTTTGTTCCTCAGGAGAAAAGTATCAGGTCCATGAGTCCACCCAGCCTACAAAGCAGCAAAACAGCGCAGGGGCAAGTTACCTTCTCAGGGACACAGGTGCAGGCTCTATGAAAATCTCATGAAGGTACCAGTCTCTCCCTCCACTTTTTTTTTTTTTTTTTTTTTTTTGCATTTTGGGTCTCACCCGGAGATGCTCAGGGATTACTCTTGGCTCTGCACTCTGGAATTACTCCTGGCAGTGCTCAGGGGACCATATGGGATGCTGGGAATTGAACCCAGGTCGGCTGCGTGCAAGGCAAACACCCTATCGGCTGTGCTATGGCTCCAGCCCCTCTCCCTCCACTTTTGGCCTAAAGTCACTTAAGTCCATTCTGCCTGTTCATTTCTAAGCAGGATCTTACAGACACCTTCCCTTTAACAGGGGGAAGGACTCTGAAGCACCATGAAGGAAATAGTTTTGCCTCTGTGGCAGCAGAAATAAAAATAGTCTGGCTCTGATGCGGTGAAAACTGTATCTATGGGTCTTGACATGTGAATTTCACGTAATTCTAACATGATTTATTACTCGTGGTGGGCATCTGGGGGCCGCAGAGATAATACCTCGGAGTTAAGCACAGAGCCCAGAATAAGCCCCGAGCATCACCCGGAAAGCCAGGCAGCAAGGCTGGAGAGAGGTCAGCATGTCCAGGCCCAAGTAGGAGCCCGGGGTCTAGTCCCTGCCCCTCTGGATACACCAGGAACGAGACTCCCTAGCACTGAGCAGGAAACAGCACCCACTGCCCAAGCTACAACAGGCTTTTAAAATGAAAGTAAAACAGGCCATCAGCTCAGATCTGATCTCCAACTGCTGCTGACACCTGTGCCTGAGCTGACCACTCACAAGAGGGTCAGATGCCCAGGGTAGGTCCCCAGCTCCAACCAGAGGCCCTGGCGGGGGTGGGAGGGGGGTGTCTCGGATGGGACGCAGTGGGGGGCAGGACCTCTGGCCTACACACGACTCACCAGGGTTCGATCCCTGGGTACAGAGCCAGAAGGGTCAGCCCTGGGCACCGGCGTGTGTGCGCCCCCCACCCCCACACACACCAAAGAGGCTGGGGGTGGCGGGGCGCCCTGGGGAGCACAGCCCGGGCCTGGGCATGAGGAGAGGGGCAGCTGGGAACCTGCTTTCTTCCTCCCCCCCCACCACGGGGGGGCGGGAACACGCCCCGCAGCACTTTCCCGCTGCAGAGGGGGCGCCCCCCGATAATGGGACCCCCAAGGCGCGAGGTGCATCGGCGGGGGGGATGGGAGTCTCAGGTCCCACGTCGCCCCCCTTCCCAAGTCGAGGGCCCAGCACCGTGTCCCTCCCCACCGTGTCCCCGCCGCTCTGCGAAACTCTTGGGGGCGTCCCAACTCGGCCCCTCGTGTTCCCTGCGCCAGCCCCTGCGCCCAGCCGGGGCGCGGCCCCCCCCCGCCCCCGAGCGCCCCCCGGAGCCCCCCGGCGCCCGCCCCGCCGCGGCGCCCGCGCACCAACGGCCCCGCCCGCCCGGCCGGAGGCGGCGCTGTGGCCGCTACCTCGTCGGGGCCGGGCCGAGGCCGCGGCGGCGCGGCGGGCCCGGCTGGCCGGTGTTGGGGGGCGGCCGACCCCGCTCCCGCCGCTCCCGCCGCTCCCGCCGCCCGCGCCCTCCGCGCGCTCCTTTTGTCCAGCGGCCGCGGCCCCCCGGCGCCCGCGTCCCGGGCCGCGCTACGGCGAGCGCCGAGGGCCACGCCACGCCGCGCCCGCCCCCGGCCCCCCCCCCCCACCCCGCGCCTCCCGCGCGCCTCGCGGCCCCGCGGTCCCGGGTCCGGCCCGGCCCGCCGACGGCGCCGCCCCAGCGCGAGTCCCACCGGGCAGCGCGGGGGGCGCGGGGGGACCGCGGGGCGCGGAGGGCTCGGGCCGCCGCCGCCGCCTCCGTGCAGGCCGCCTGCGACCCCCCACGCCGCCCCCTTCCGTGCCAGGCCACACTCACCCGCCTCGGCGCTCGCGCCCCGGGACCCCCGGCCCGAGCCCCCCGCGCCGCCCGGCCTCGCCGCCGCCGCCGCCGCCGCCGCCGCCGCCGCGCAGTCCCGCCCCCGCGCGCGCCGCCGGCCGGGAAGAGCCGAGCGCACCGCCCCGAGTGGGTGCGGCCTGGGCGGGCGCAGGGAGGGCGGGAGGGCGGGGTCCGGCCTTTAAACTCCCGCGGGGCGGCCCCTCAGGTGCACCCTGGGGCGCCGGCGTGCCCGTCGCCGCGGTCGAGGTCATCTCGGGATTGTGGCCGGCGACGCGCCCTCCCGGGGTCCCACCCCGCGCCCCTTCCGAGGGTGGCCGGTCTCACCCCGCCAAGTGTCCGGGGCCCCCGAGGGAACGAGCCCGGGAGACCCTGGAAGCCAAGAAAGCCCCGATTTCCGCCTGGAGGTGGCCTGGCCCGTCGTGGGTTCTGCAGCTGAGTCACCCCCTCCATCCTTCCTGCTGGCAGGTGCCAGGGGCAAGGCAGAGCAATGAGGGGGAAGGAGGGGACAGAAGGCTCAGATGTCCAGGTGAGGTGGTGTGAGATGGACCCGCAGGCCTACGAGGGGAAGATACTCTCAGGCCTCGCCTGGAAACACCTTCTGTGAGAGGCTGATAGTGACTGTTGGAGGCCCAGAGCTTATCCACCTCCCCGGGGACCCCAGCCACTTCCTCCCCCTTCTAGACAGTCCCCAAACCCTCCTGCACCTCAGTCACCAAACTGTGGGGCTCCCTTCCCAGACTTACATGTCACCTCTCCTTTGGATAGGCCCAGGCCAGAAACAGAATTGTTAGCCCTTGACACAAAAGAACTACACTCCATCCAAGTTTTAGAATTATAAGTGGATTATTTCATGCTCATTCTTAATGCCCCAGAACCTGGGGCAAGTTGCAAGCAAAATCCTCTCTCTGCTCCCCCTCACCCCCCCCCCCCACCCACACACACACACACACACACACACACACCCTCGCCATCAGGAAGGCTGATACCAGTGCTAACTGTTCTTCAGTATTGTTTGGGACAGGCTGGAGGTAATACAGCAGGTAAGACTGGGATTCAAAAAAAAAAAAAAAGACTGGGATTCAATCCTCAACACCCGTTATGGTCTCCCTAAGCCCTGCCTGGGGGACCCCTGAACACAGAGCTAGGAGCAGCACTGAGTGGCTGAAGAAACAACAACAAAAAAAGAAACCCTAAGATGGAGGGTAATTAAGCTAGAGGAGGGACCATTATAATAATCGGCACTGTCGCACTGTCCTCTGTTGTTGTTCATTGATTTGCTCCAGGGCCCAGTTACATCTCCATTGTGAGACTTGTTACTGTGTTTGGCATGTCATGAGGAGCTTGCCAGGCTTTGCCATGTGGGCGAGATACTCTCAGTAGCTTGCTGGGCTCTCCGAGAGGGGCGGAGGAATCGAACCCGGGTCGGCCGCGAGCAATGCAAATGCCCTACCCGCTGTGCCATCGCTCCATCCCATTATGACAATACTACTTGGAAATGATCACTTTGGACAGGAACTGAGTGTTGGAAGCAGGTAAAGGGATATACACGATAACCTTTCCGCGCCTGTATCACAAACCACAATGCCTAAAATGAGAGAAAGAGAAAGAAGAGAGGTGCCTGCCACAGAGGCATGGTGGGGGTTAGCTTGAAGGGGTGGGAGGGAAACTGGGGACACTGCACTGGTGCTGGGAAATTACACTGGTGGAGGGATGGGTGTTGGAACACTGTATGACTGAAGTGCAATCATGAACAACTTTGCAATGCTCTATCTCACTGTGATTCGATTGAAAAAGAAGAAGTCCTAGACAAAACTTCAGCAAGTTTTCACTTAATAAAATTGTTTGCGGTGGAGGGGTCAAAATTGCAATGCCCTGGACAGGAACTTTGGTAAGTTTCCTTCAATGATTGCAGTGGATGGAGACCCACAGTGAGGGCACTAACTTGCCACCCACCACTACTCTTTCTGGTGCATCACCCAGGTGAGGGCAGTATCCACTATGTATCTTCTGCTGTTTACTCTGTCTGTTCCATCAGACAGCCCCCCCCCCCCCCAGGGCATCCCAGCTCCTTGCCTGCTCTTCCTTCCAGCCCCACTTATCCAGTTACAGCCTCAGACCCTGGGAAACTCAGCAAACAGATCACTGTTGGGCCCATTCCATCCACTCAGTCCCAGACCCCTCAGAGTGGGTCTGGGGTAACTGATTGGATTCGGAGGGCCCCTTCCCAAAATCCCATTTCCCAGGGCAGCCAGTGACGGCTGATGATAAATGATTGTCTAGACCCGAGGACCACTGCCAGTCGGCTCCTAAGCCAGATCTAGCTGTACCCCTAGCAAAGACCCCCGCAGGCCTCAGCCAGCCTCAGGACAGGTTTTAGCGACAAGAATATCAAGTGCAAGAATCAATGTCAATGTCAATGCAAATATCAATGTCAATTGCCGCTTGCCCACATGAGCACAATTCAGCTAAAAGGAGATTCTAGTCATGCCTGGACAGTGTGAAATAGAATCCGCTTCTCAAAGCTTGGAGCTGGTGCAACACCCCACCTGGTTGACTGGTGGCTGGTGTGTGTGTGTGAGTGTGTGTGTGTGTGTGCATGTGTGTGTGTGTGAGGGTGAGGGCGGGGAGCAGTAAGCTTGGGTGGCATCTCATTCTTCTGAGGGTGCTAATGAATTTGTGAGGTTCTGCTATCCTAATCTGTGCTCATGAGCGTTTGCAGAGTCTTGTCCAAGGCCTTGGGTGAATTCTCAAGAACAGGCTGTGTCCATGGGCCGAGCACACGCTATGCACGCAGGAGGGCTGGGTTCAGTTTCTGGCTCCCTATCTCTCCAAGAACCCTCCCTCCTGCCCCCTCCCCATCACCAGGAGCAATCACAGAGCACTGAGCCAGGAGTAGCCCCAAGCGCTGCCAGGGATCCCCCTCCCCCCTCTCCCAATAGAAAGAAACTCCTGATGCTTTCAGCCACCAACAAGCAATATATGCTGAGTGGCGAGCGGGGGAGACTCTGGGGAAGAGTCTGGAAGCAGGGAGAGGCTTGAGTTTTCCCAGCTAGAGGTTCAGCCTTGAGAAATGGTACAGATAATAATTGGGGCGGGGAGGGGGAGAGGTTACTTAGCACTAGAATGTTCAGCTTCCCTGTCCCAGGCCCTCCCTGGCGCTGCAACGGAAAGGGACTCAATAAGCTGTATTCGTGCACCAGTAATTAACGTTGAAGTAGAATCATTTTAGTTAGAGAAACAGGAGAAGAGTTGGAGCGATAGTACAGCCAGGTAAGGAGTTTACCTTGCACGAAGCCGACCCAGGTTTGATCCCTGCTTCCTGTATGGTCCCTGAGTACCACCAGGAATGATGCCCGAGGGTAACCCCTGAGTATCACCAGGTGTGGAAAGAGAGAGGGAGAGAGACAGAGACACAGAGACACAGAGAGACACAGACACACACACACACACACACACACACACACAGGAGCAGAGCACAGGTTTCCCCAGAGGTGAGAGGGCCTGTCTCCTTTCACTGCACAGGAAAAACACTCTTGCTCTGAATAGAGGATCACAGAGGCCAACCTTTGAGAACTTTGCACCCAACACACCGGTGGTGTTGGAACACTGCTTGAAACAACTGTATAATGAACAGCTTTGTAAATCACGGTGTTTTTTAATAAAAACTAATAAAATTTTAAAAATTCTACTACTACAAAAAAAGAAAAATATATATCATAAATCTAAAAAAAAAAGAAGTGCAATGACTTCTGGGGAGGGGCAGAGGTGGGTGGGTATTGGGCCATCCACAGTGTTCAGGGCTGACTCTGAGCTCGATCACTCCTGGGGTTCAGGGGACCATATGTGATGTCAGGGATCAGACTGGCTTGCCTGCACGCTTTCACCCCTGTATTAGCACTCCTGCCAAAAGGTGGGGTGTCTTGCTGAAGAGTTTTTGTCACTATCATTCGTTGATGGGTATGCTGAATCACTGGGTTAAACAAACCACCAGTAAAGTTCATTCCGCTCGCTTTTTTTTTCCTTCCCTATTGTCAACCTGAGAATGTTTAAAATCCCACCTGACTCATGATATGTTTAAGCTTCTTTCAAAGACCTGGGCTCTGAGTGAATTTCTCTCCACTTGGGAGCCCGTGGGCCAGGTGCCAGACTGCTCTGCAGAGCCTGTCCTGGAGAAGTTAACATTGTGGGACTCACGTGGTCCTGGGAGCCATTGACTGCAACATTGATCACTTGATACCCCATTACTCATCGATTTGCTCGAGCGGGTGCCAGTAACGTCTCCATTCATGTCTGTTGTGTGCTAGCCCAATGGCATCTGCTCATCCTAGGAACATGAAGAGCCTCAAACCGATCAGTCAGGGTCTTGACAAAGAAGTCTGACCATCTCGTAGGTGGGCGTCCATGCGATCTTTTGACGTCCGTGGAATCCAGTCAGTAATGGCTATAGTCCAGTGGTCATCTCTAAATCTCATTACGTGTCCAGCCCATCTGATTTTCAATGCCTTGGCAAACAAGACAGCGTCCCTGATTCTTGAGCATTGACAGAGGTCGGAACTCCAGATTCTATCTCTCATTTGAGTGAAGCGAGATACTTCAAGCATAGCTCTTTCAATTCCACTTTGAGAGACCCGAATAGCGTTCTCATCCTGTTTTGGTAAGGCCCAGGTCTCTGAGGCATATGTTAATGCAGGAAGAACAGTGGAATTGAAGAGATGTGCTCGGAGTTGGAGGTTCTTCGTCCTCTTAGTTATTTCTTCTATGCTCTTGAAGGCGTTCCAAGCTGCTCTCTTCCTCCTGCACAACTCAGGTGCCAGGTCATTTGTCATGTTGACTTCTCGACCTAGGTATACGTAACTGTTGCATTCGGAGATGGTCATTCCATTGAGAGTGAATGGAACATCAAGAGCAAGACTGTTTCTCATGAACATTGTCTTTGTGAGATTCTGTTGTAATCCGACCTTCCCACACTCACGGTCGAAGTTGGCCAGCATTTGTGCTGCTTGGCTGATGTTTGGTGTTATTAGAACAATGTCATCAGCAAAGCAGAGGTGGTGTAGTTGCCGACCCTCTATCTTCACTCCCATTCCTTCCCATTCCAGTAGTCACATGACGTTCTCGAGGGTGGAACTGAAGAGTTTCGGTGAAATAGTATCACCCTGCCGAACCCCTCTTTTGACATGGATGATCACTTCTTTGTAGAATGGTGAGATCCTGGTAGTGAATCCATAATACAGCTCACGGAGGATCCTGATGTATAGAGTTTGAACGCCCTGATTGGCTAGGGCTTCAATGACCACTTCTGTCTCAACAGAATCAAAGGCCTTCTTTATTTTTTTTTGAAGTAAATAGATTTTATTTGGAGGATTTTTTAAGGTGTGGAGTGGGGGAGGGGAGAAAGAGAGAGAGAGAGAGAGTAAGGTTAGACACGAAAGCATGAAAGTACACATCTCAAGAGGGGAGATGCGGGTGACACATGTGCTCGGGCACCACATGTGCTTGGCCACGTGTGCGCAAGCACACATGGGCTCGGGCAGCATATACGCGCCTCAAAGGCCTTCTTTAAATCAATGAACGTTAGAGCAGCATCTTGAACTCCTGAGAAACCTCAATGAGCTTGGTTATAGTGTGGAAATGGTTGATGGTGCTGAATCCTTTTTGGAACCCAGTTTGCTCTCATAGCTGTCCTTCATCTAGTGTTCGGCCAATCATATTCAGGATGACTGGAGTGAACAGCTTGTAGATGACAGACAATAGGCAGATTGGGCGATAGTTGCCAATGTCGTGGATCTCCCTTCTTGTATAGTAGTACAGTCCTGCTGGTTTTCCATTGGGACGGAATCTTGCATTCAGACAGGTAGCGTGTGAAGAACCGAGCCAGTGTATTGATGAGTAGGTTCTCAGGTGTTCGGGTCTGACCTTGTCTGGGCCAGTTGCTCTTTGTTTCTTTACCGACGAGATGGCATGTTGGATTTTGGAAGGGAGAACGTTGGGAATGACATATCCATCCTGCGGAATTTGGATGTGGGCAAGTGGACGTGGCTATTAAAGAGATCTGAGTAGAAGTCATGAATAATCTTCTCCATTGCCCTTCTGGAAGATGTGATAGATCCATCAGGATGTCGGAGGGCAGTCATCTTGGTCTTGTAGTTCGTGAAGAACAGGCGGGCATTACGAATGCTTTTCCCAGCTTCTGCCACATCTATTAGCACTGCTGCTCTTCTGTCTTTGATGTCATCCTTGATTGCTTCTCTGCACTGTTTTGCGAGCTCGGATGTTCGCTTGTGGTTGCCTGAGGCATGCGCCAAGCCACGTTGGCGAATAAGCTCAAGAGTGTTCGAATAAAGGCGTTTTTTTTTGTGGTTATCTCTCTGTTGGCGTTCCTCGCACAATCATGGAGGTGCTGAACCAGTCGATCGTATTCCTCGTCAATGTTGTCAGTTGGTGGTCGTTCTGGGAGTTCTCTTCTTAAACTTTACATTCCTTTCTCCCTGCTCTGTGAAGTAGAATTTTGCATGAAGGAGATGGTGGTCCAATCCCGTTTGGAATTTTGGGACAACAGTACATCGGTCAGGTAAAACCGTCGATTGAATATGATGTGATCTATTTCATTGTGGAACCGTCCACCAGGAGACTCCCATGTCCAACATTTAGATTCAGCCTTTTGGAACTGTGAGTTACCATGGATGGTCTTGGTTGATATGATGAACTCAGACAGTCTGTCACCCTGTTCGTTCCATTCTAGGCCATGGGTCCCAATGTGGAGTTCTTCGGTTGATCTTCTCGGTCCTATCTTGGCATTAAAATCATCAGCAATGATCTTGTACAAGGTGTGGTCTTCTTTATAGAACTTCTCCAGCTCCATGTAGAACTTCTCAATTTCTCCTTCACCATAATTGTATGTTGGTGCATAGACAACAAAGATAGAAACTGCTGGCAGTGAGCCACATCTATTCAAGTGTAATCATTTGATTCAGGTCGTTAGGCATTCGAATGAATCAATGCTCATGGCTAAGTTCGTGTTGACAAGGATACCGACACCACCGACGCCTCTTTTGTCGCATGTTCCAAGGAACAGTTCTTCTCCAGTGTGGAAAACAGCGTGGATGCCTTCTCGTCTCGGTCATACCAATGATGTCGTACTTGATCTTTCGCGCTTGTACCATCAGGTCCTCGATGGATGCATTAGATGCCAGCGTACGTGCTTGAAAGTACAGACAGTCATTTTTGTCTTTCTTCGTTTTGGCAGCCTAGTTCGGCCTTGAGATTTTATCAGCCTCTCCTTCCACTGTAACATTATTCAATGTAATAAAGTGGCATCTTGGATCACGGGCTCCAACACGCTTCCGGCTGGAGATACTGCAGGGTGAAGGCCTGGCCTTGCATGAGGCTGGTGTGACAGAGAGAGAGAGAGAGAGAGAGAGAGAGAGAGAGAGAGAGAGAGAGAGAGAGAGAGCACAAGCGCATGCTTCAAGATGAAGCTGATGTCTCGGTGGCTTCGAAAGTCTGCTTGATGACCGTCCACTGCAAGCGCCATCAGGAAATGGAGAAACTGCTCCTTCTTGCTCCTAATGGGAGTTTTCCATATTCAGCCTATTTGAAGGTTGTTAGGAATTCCTGGAACCAAATGCAAATACAAAATAAGATTTTTTTCTTTTTACAAATTTTTCATTCCCTGTGTTGCCCAGCCCTCCTCTGCCTGACTGGGCCAGCAGAGGCGCCTGGGTTGAAGCTGGGAGCAGAGCATTGCCAGGACCAAATGCCAGGCACTTGCTTCAGACCTTCCCTTGATGGGGGAGGGGTTGGGGCCACACTCAGCGGTGTCACAGCTTATTCCTGGGCTCAGGGATCATCCCTGACGGGGCTCGAGAGACCAGAGGTGGTGCTAGGGTGGAACCCCCATCGGAAATGTGCAAGGCCTTACCCACTGCCCCATCTCTCCAGCCCTGATTTCCAGTCTGTAGACAGCCAGAATGGGCCGCCTTCCGGGACGAAGGACAGTCCTCTCTGTGGTGGCAGATGCAATGCGTGGGCCGCAGGTGGTCCCGGTAGCCTTGTTCCAACTCAGAGACCGGCTGGGGCTGGAGCAGGGGACCGACTCCAGGCTCACACTCTCTCCCCCAGGACAGTAGGCATCTGGAAGACCTGCCTGGCGTCAGCACCCAGAGCAGAGCTGAGAGAGCCCTGGAGAAGGGCCACCCCACATAGGCCGCGGGAAGGGCGGTTCCCTCGCGGGTTCGATCCCCGGCATCACATGGGGTCCCCACACCCGGAGCACCGTCAGGAGTGAGGCCGGAATGCAGAGCCAGGAGTAACGCGGGGCTGCAAGGAGCCTTGCCCCGGCGCGGGCCTGCGAGGGTCGTGGCGCCCCCGGGAGGAGGGGACCGGCTAGCGCGCGGGCAAGCTGACGCGGGCCGGAGTGGGCGCGGCGCGGCGGGCCGTGGGCGGCAACGGCGTAATTCTGCGTCCCCGGGCTCAGAGCGCGCAGCCAGGTTCCCTGAGCGGACGGCATGGCCCGGGCTGCGTGTCCGCGTGCCGGCCGCCTCCTCTGGCTCGCCTGCCTCCTGCCGGTCGCCCCGGCCGCGGGAGCCGCAGGTAAGGCCCTGACTCCCGCCGCGTCTCGTTCCTCCCCCTCCCCGCCCCAGGCCCCTATCCCCAGAGGGCGCCCCCCGCTGCAGGCCCCCCGACGCCCCGCAGGGACCCTCCAAGGCGGATCGGTCTGGACCTGGGCTGCGCACGGTGCCAGACGCCGCGTTCCCGGTGCCCCCCATCCGCTGGGCGGAGGTGGAGGGGCCGCGAAAGCCGAGTTGGCCTTTGGTGGCTGCGGGGTCTGGGGGCTCCCCCACGCCCTCCGTGCAGACCCCGGGCGCCAGCTGCCGTTTCTTTTTGGGGCATCACTTCCAAAATGGACCCAGCGTGGAGATCCAGTACCCCAACCTCGCCAGCGTAGACTGTTCTCTTGGCCGAGCTTGCCAGGGTCTGTTGCGGTGGCTGGGTGGTGCAGGGGGTGTGATGTCCTTCCAACCCCCACCAAAGAACGGTTGAGAGAAGGGATGGGAGAGGCGATGCAGGGCTTAAGGCACCTGCCTTGCATCTGGTGCACCCCAGTTCGGACCCCTGGAACCAGATACAGCCCCCCAGCAACGCCAGTGGCCACTCCTGAGCACAGAGTCAGGAATGGCCCCTGAGCCAGCTCCTCCCCGTGTGGCCCCAAATCCAAACTCAGAAGGAAAATAAATACAAAAAAAAAAAACCAAAACAGTAAGGACACTCAAAAAAAAAATCAAGGGGGTGTGTCATGCAAATTGGCAGAAAAGAAAGCCCCAAGATTAAATGACAACCTGCATTTAGGGATCAATAATGGGAAATGTGGTCATTGGGAACTGCCCCGCCCTGGGGATTGCTACAGAACTGGGGTCTCCGCTTTACCTTTGTCCCCAGGATCATTGTGGCCGCACTCCCCCCAAACCACAGGAATCATTTTCTTTTCTGAAATTTTGTGTGACACCAAGCTGGTCTGTTGTCCCCATGAGTAGGGAAGAAAGAGCTGCTCAGAAGCTTCTTATTTCCTTGGGGCCAGAGTGATAGAACAGTGGGGTCAGTTCTGCATGCAGCTGACCCGAGTTTGATCTCTGGCATCCCACATGTTCCCCTGAGACCAGCAGGAGTGATCTCCAAGTGCAGAGCCAGGAGTATGTCCTGACCCAAAAACAAAAATAAAAACAAAAGAAGAAGAAGAAGAAGAAGAAGAAGAAGAAGAAGAAGAAGAAGAAGAAGAAGAAGAAGAAGAAGAAGAAACTGCACCTTCGCTTCCCTTCCTGGGGTGTGGGTCAGCCTGTCCTGACCCAAAAACAAAAATAAAAACAGAAGAAGAAGAAGAAGAAGAAGAAGAAGAAGAAGAAGAAGAAGAAGAAGAAGAAGAAGAAGAAGAAGAAGAAACTGCACCTTCGCTTCCCTTCCTGGGGTGTGGGTCAGCCCTGGACTCAGTTCCAGGGTCTAACAAACATTCATACTGTGGGCTGGGAGTTCATCCCAGGTTGCCTGGGCTCAGGTCCCCTTGGGAAGTGTCTGGGGGTCGATGTGTGCAGTGCGAACAGGCCCATGTAACCATTTTCTATGCATGCTGCATGATCAGAGAAAATGTGCACGTGTTCAAGTTATGGGTGCACCGAGCAGGAGCCCTGGGGGTCTGCAGGTGTGTGCGGGGGGGAAGGGGTAGGTCTCCTGTCTGGAGTGCTGGGCTTTAATGTCCTCCTCCCCAGTCCCCGCTAGACAGTGCAAGAGTCCGTGGCCATCCCTGGGTTTCCTGCCTGCGAACAGAGACTCTGCAGGCATGAGCCCAAGGTCCAGCCTCAGCACCCACGTGCCGCCGGAAGGGCCTCCACGCATCACTGAGTGTGGCCCCCAAGCTCAAACCCAGAGGCCAGAAGGATGGGCCGACCCTGTGTGGGAGGGGCGGGGATCCCGGCCCCGCCTTGGCTGAAACACTACTGTCTCTGGGCCCCCAGGCACATACGAGCTCCGCTTTACCTCCGATGTCCGATGGCCCGGCCACCGCGGGGACAGAGGTGTCCATCACAGCCAGCGTGGTGGCTGAGAACAGCGGAAGCCTGCGCCTACCCCCCGGGCACCCGCTGCCGCTTCCAGTGGGCCCATGTGCTCCTGTTGCTCATGGGCAGGGCCGACTAGGCGCTCAGCTCCACCATCCGCACCATGGGGACTGCACCCAGGGATGTCCCTGTCTCTGTCTGGGTCACTGCTGCCTGCTGCGAGGTGTGCCGGCCCCTGGCCAGGAGCTTCCTAGTCCTGCCTGTCACAGGTGAAGTCTTTTCCGTCTGCCCGCAGGGGTCGAGAAACCCATCTGTGTGGCTCTGGGCCCCAGAACTGCACAGCGTGAAGTGCTGCTACCTCAGGCGTGTTGGCAAAGGAGTGGAGAGTGTCACATCATACGCAAGCAGCCTGTGCCCAGGGCGCTCCGAGGGGGGCACCGAGCCGTGCCACCATCGGTCAGCAGCCGATGGCGCTGTGCCAGCAGTTAGCAATGCTTTTAGCCTTCACCCCCAAATTCTGGTTCTCTTTTTCTCTTCCTCCCTCTGTGGGGGTCTCTTTCTCTCTCTCTCTCTCTCTCTCTCTCTCTCTCTCTCTCTCTCTCTCTCTCTCTCTCTCCCCCCCTTTCTGTCCCTTCACTCCCTCTTCTCTCTGCAAGAAATCCCTTATCTCTGAAAGGTCTAACGAAGAGCCTGTCTTCCAGAAATAAGCTCTATTAGGACAAGGCCATTCGCACAAACATGTGCATTGCAGCGGTGAGACTGGGGCATTTGCTCTGCACGCAGCTGCTCTGGGTTCTGTGCTCAGCCCTGCATATGGTCCCCTGAGCACAGAGTCTGGAGGTAGCCCTTAGCAGTTCCAGGTGTCGCCCCCAAACAAACAAAAGATCAATCTGCTTTAATACATTTATTTTCAAGTCAGAGATGCAGGTTGAAGGTGCCCCCTGAGTCCAGCACTTGGCGGGGAGATGCCGTCCATGACCCTGCCCACTCCTGCCCTCGTCTCCCAGGCCCATTCTCAAGGCCTGTGCCTTTTCCACTGCACCCAGGTGTCTAGTGTCAAAGGCCCCCAGACCATGCTGGGGTGTCACGATAGGTTGCACCCCATGACCCAGATACGAGTTCCTGCAGGCATTTGTTACTTTACCTTAAAATTCTTTTTTATTGTGGCAATAGCACAGGAGTTAGGGCGTTTGCCTTGCATGCGGCCGACCCGGGTTTGATTCCCAGCATCCCATATGGTCCCCTGAGCACTGCCAGGAGTGATCCCTATGCCAGGTGTGACCCAAAAAGAAAAAAAAATTTCTTATTTATTTATTTTTGAGTACTGAGTCACACCCAGTGGCTGTTCAGGTTACTCCTGGCTGTGCGCTCAGGAATCACTCCTGCCGGAGTTCGGGGAACCATGTCCGGGTGCTTGGGAGTTGGTCTCAAGCAAGGCAAGCGTCCTCCCTGCTTGTACTGTCTCTCCAGGCCCCTAAGATGTTTCTGTCACTGTCCTACTGGGGAACCTGCCCTCTGAGCTCAGTGACCTGTCTGGTCCCCTCCTGCTGTGGGCCAGCTCTGATGCTGGCACTGGGGGTGGGGGAAGCTGTTCTACTGGGGTCCCCTCCTGTGCTCTCTGGGGCCCTCCCTTGGCCCTCGGTAACTCACCTCCTGTGCCCCCATCCCCTCTGTCCCCAGAGTTCCTGGTGGGGAAGCTGGACGACACGCAGAACACCTCCCTCCCCCGGCACGACTCCTACCTCACAAGGACACCCCTGAAAATCTCCTTCCTCTTGCACGACCCCAGCAACTTCTTTAAGGCCGCCTCGTTCCCCTACAGCTGGGACTTCGGGGACAGGTATGTCCTTCCCACGGGAGCCCCAACGCCAGAGTTGAGGCCAGGAGCAGGATATTGTTGGGTTTAAATTGTGAAGCTGTGGGGCTGGAGCGATAGCACAGTGGATAGGGCGTTTGCCTTGCATGCAGCCGACCCAGGTTCAATTCCCAGTATCCCATACTATTCCCCTCGAGCACTGCCAGGAGTAATTCCTGAGTGCAGAGACAGGAGTAATCCCTGTGCATTGCCAAAGAGAAAAAAAAACTGTGAAGCTGCGGCCTGGGGGGTCAGCTTAGAGGACTGTGGCGTGCCTGGCATTCAGAGGCCCCGAGATCTGCACCCTGCGCCCGAGGGCCCCTAGCACTGCCAGGGGTGCCCTGTGGCCCCTGGCTTTTAGATCCACATAGCTGCGTCCAATATTGCAAGAGAGGTCACTGAGTCCCCCAGGAACGCCTGAACCGTGACTGTGAAAGAAGTTGATGGAAAGACTGTTTCGTGGGGGGGATGAGTGGGGAGCACATGGGTATCAGTGCAGCGGCCACCAGGCTTCCAATATCGCACTTGGCCTCTGAATCGATTCAGTCACTCTCAAGGAGAGACTGTGGGTGTGAAATCATACACTCCTATGGGTTCTCGCCTGTGAGGGAGGTGTAGGTGCCTCTAACGTTGGTTACTTTTTTTTTTTTAATGCATCCACCAGACAGTGCTCAGGGGTCACTCCTTGGTGAGCTTGGTGGGCTGTTTGGGGTCCCAGGATTGAATCTGGGTGTGTGGCCAGGTGAGCGGTGTGCAGACATGGCATCTTGCAAACTGGGAGTTTGAGGCCATACCCGGTATGGTGCTGGGGATTGAAGCTGGGTTGGCTGAATGCAAGACCCGCACCTTAACCCCTGTACCTCTGGTCCTTTTCATTTATTTGTTCATTATTATTTTTAATTATTTAAAAAATGTTTTCTTGGTTTTTGGGGCCCCTAAACCAAAGCCCCGGCAGTGTTCTGGGCTTATTCCTGGCTCTGCACTCAGGGGTCACTCATGGAGGCCTTGGGGACCATATGGGGTGCCGGTGATTGAGTCCCCTCAGCCACGTGCAAGGCAAGCGCCCTCCCCGCTGTGCTGTCGCTCCAGCCCTAACTCCTTTATTTTTTAAAAAAAATTTTTTGGACTACTGGGGCTGGAGCGACAGCACAGCGGGTAGGGCATTTGCCTTGTACGCAGCTGACCTGGGTTCGATTCCCAGCATCCCATATGGTCCTCCGAGCACCACTAGGATTGATTCCTGAGTGCATGAGCCAGGAGTAACCCCTGTGCATCGCTGTGTGTGACCCAAAAAGCAAAATAATAATAATAATAATAATAATAATAATAATAATATATTTTTGGACTACAGTCAGTGACGCTGGGTGGAGCTGGGGGAGAGGATGGTGGGACCCTATGCTTCCAGGGATAGAAGTGGGATCCCCCCCCCATCCAAGCACTATAGCCCTGGCTCCCAATTCCCCCCTTTTTATAAGAAATAAAGCTTAGAGTCCCCCCAGCTAGGAGGTGGGAGCCAGGATTTGGGCTGGGCCTCTTCCCTCTCCAGACGTATCTGTCCCTAACCCTGGGCTGGGCCAGCCTGGGGAGCCCCCTGCACCCCAGAACTGACAGGCACCAGGCCAGCCGGTGTCTGTAACCTCAGGCTTGTCCCAGGGACGATGGTCACTTGGCTCTGGTTTCTGTCCAGGAGCTGCCCCTCCCCCACCTTCAGTCACCTGCTTCTGTCCTGCCGCTTCCTGCTCTGTTCCCTGTCCCCTCACAGCGTCCAGCTGCTGACAGCAGACTGAGTGGTCTATTACAGCTACTCCACAACCGGGACCTTTCGCATCAAGCTGGAGGTGGTGGCAGAGTGGGCACAGAAGAGCCCCGACACTGGCAGAGGCACCATGCAGAAGACGGGGACCTTTGCTGCTGTCCTGCGGCTGCAGGGTGGGTCCTGGGTGCCCAGACGCAACTCCTGGTCGCACCCAGAGGACAGCGGCTCTGTCCCTGCCTCCTGTCCCCGCGGTCTGAAGGCCTCCAGGGGGTCACAGGGCACCAGGTGTCAGAACTGTGCCATGACTGGCCGTGTTGGCATCTTGCTCCGAAGTGGACCCAGGTTGCACCTCTGTGGGCTCTGGCTGAGGGGTGTCGGAGTAGAGAATATGGGGGCAGGAGGGGCGGGAACTTCTGCACACAGCATGGCGTTGGGTCGACCTTCGGGGCCCCCGGTTTCCTCTCCCACCTCCTCCCCGATTGTCAGCTGTGGCAGTCAGGCCTGATCCTCCCGGCCTGCACTGCCCTTGGGGGTCCCTGCGGTCACACCCCTCCCCCACCTCCAGGCCAGATGCCTTCAGAGACAGCAGCTCATTTTCATTGAATTTGATTTTCCTTTTTGTTGTTGTTGTTGTTTGTTTGTTTGTGTTTTTTGGCCACACCTGATGATCCTGGGGGAAGGTGTGGTGCAAAGCCCGTGCTCAGACGCTGGAACTTCTCCCTGCCCCTCGGCCACCACGCTTAGTGATGTGTTCCACTGCTTTCAGAAACCCTTCAAGGCAGCCGTTCTCTGGGCCTAGCTTGATCCAAACCTTCCAGATGATGACAGTGATGTTGAAATTTCTGGGCAGGTAAGTGAATCCCAGAGTGCTCAGCCGGGGATCCATGACCTGCCCAAGGCATCCTGCCTGCTCCATTCCCTACTGCTCTATACCCTGATGCTCTGTCCCCTGCTCCAGTTCCTGCTCCATCCCTGTACCTTCCCCTACCTGCTCCGCCCGCCCCCCCCCTCAGGCCCCAGGCTTGGCATGGGGGCTGGCAGGAAGAATCTCACTCAACCAATAAACCTTCCTGGACCTCACTCCATTCTTGGGGCTGACGGGGGAGACAGCCTGGGCCTGGAGGTGGGAGGCCACTGATGTGTGGGAACCAGCAGCACAGGGAGGGAGAGGCATGCTGGGGTGAGTCCCGCAGCATGCGACGACTCTTGGCACAAAGGCCAGAGACACGGGGCTATTAGAGGTCGGGGCGGGACCCAGCCCCTAGGGTGTCATGAAGAACTCCATCGCCCCAGGCACACCCACCTGCACAGGTGTACACACACATCTGCATAGGTACACACACCTGCATGGGTGTACACATACACCTGCACAGGTACACACACACCTGCATGGGTGCTCACATACACCTGCACAGGTACACACACACCTGCATAGGTACACACACCTGCATAGGTACACACACACCTGCATAGGTACACACACCTGCATGGATGTACAACACACCTGCACAGGTGCACACATACCTGCATAGGTGCACACACACCTGCATAGGTTCACACACCTGCATGGGTGTACACACACCTGCACAGGTATACACACACCTGCACGGGTACACACACACCTGCACAGGTACACACACATGCACAGGTACACACACCTGTATAGGTACACACGCACCTGCATGGGTGCACACACATCTGCATAGGTACACACACCAGCATAGGTGCACACACCTGCATGGATATACAACACACCTGCACAGGTGCACACACACCTGCATAGGTTCACACACCTGCATGGGTGTACACACCTGCACAGATACACACACACCTGCATGGGTGTACACACACCTGCACAGGTACACACACACCTGCATAGGTACACACACACCTGCATGGGTGCACACACACCTGCACAGGTGCACACACATCTGTATAGGTGTACACACACCTGTATAGGTACACACACACCTGCATGGGTATACACACACCTGCACAGGCGCACACATACCTGCATAGGTACACACACCTGCACAGGTGCCTACATACCTGCACAGGTGCATGCACACACCTGTATAGATATACACACACATGTTCGGGTACACACACACTTGCACAGGTGCATAACACCTGCATAGGTACACACACCTGTACAAATGCAGACACACACACACATGCACACACACACACAGATATGCCAGTGGGAAATGAGGCTTCGCTGGGTGCAATACAGGCTGACTGCCAGAGGTGAGGCCCTTCAGCACTCAGGGGCTCTGGGGCTGGAGCGAGTCCTTGGAGAAGGAGAGGAGGACTGGGCCAGCCCACCTGCCCATCTCAGTGGTGTGGGCGTCAACCCCGGATTGTGTCCCATAGCAATGTTTGTCCTAGAGCTGGGCCTGCCACTGTGGGCTTCAGAGTCAAGGGAGGAAATGGAAAGCCCTGACCCCTCCTCTCCACAAACCTCCCAGAGCTGCGTCCTCCAGGCAGCTTCCCTGAACCCCCGGGCCCCTGGGCTTCCCACACAGCACCCACTGTACTTCCGGGCTCTCTCCTGCCCATCCACTGTCTGTGCCGGCTCTGCTGGCTGCTGCCCAGCCTGTGTCCTGGGCCTCCTCTGCTCTGCTCTCACGTGTGGAAGTGTGAAGAGAGGCGGGTGAGGCCAGACAGGTCGCTGACCCTCATGACCATCTGCGCTCCTGACCAGCGGTCCGCTGACCACGTGCTGGCGCCTCACGCCCGAGTGCCTCCCGCTGGACACCGGGGAGTGCCACCCCCAGCCTGTGACTGGCACCACCTACAACCTCAGCCACACCTTCCGGGACGCGGGCAAGTACTGCTTCAGCATCCGTGCTGAGAACGGCGTCAGCGAGTCCCAACACTACCACTGCGTCCAGGTGTGGCCCTCCAGTAAGTGAACCCCAGGCCTATGCCCACCACCCAGGCATGACCCCGAGTCCTGCTGACAATCAGGCCATCAGCACCCTGGCCCAGATGCTTTGATGCCACTGACTGGATGTCCACTCCAACACCACTGACTGTCCACACTGACTGTCCACACTGACATCACTGACTGTCCACGCTGACACCACTGACTGTCCATGCCGACACCGCTGACTGTCCACACTGACTGTTCACACCGACAGCACTGACTGTCCACCCCAACACCACTGACTGTCCATGTCAGCACCACTGACTGTCCACGCCGACACCATTGACTGACTGTCCACACCGAGACCATTGAGCAATTGTCCACACCAGAATCTGTAGGCTCTCCTCATACCACCAGCAACTGGTTCTACTCCCCAAGACTCTGTACCATTGCCTGTGCCGTAGCACAGCTGTAGAGTAAACCCTCACAGACACACCCTCCTCACCCCTCACCCCCTCACGGACACGCCCACCTCACACCCTCATGGACACGCCCACCTCGCCCCATCACCCCTCAAGGACACGCCTGCCTTACCCATCACCTCCTCATGGACACGCCTGCCTCACCCCAGCATCCCTCAAGGACACACTCGCCTCACCCATCACCCTCTCACGGACATGCCCGCCTCACCCCTCCCTCACCCCTCCACCGACACACCCGCCTCACTTGTCACCCCCTCACAAGAGGGCCCGCCTCACCCCATCACTCCTCACAGACGGACGGCGCCTGCCCTGCCAGTCCCTGAGGTGTCACTGACACGAGCCCACCCAATAGCCTCCTTGAGGCACCGCTGAAGTAGCAGGCCCGGGCTCGGTCCCACTCCCTGTCCTGTGTCCCGGGATGCAGCTGCTCCGCAGGACGGGTGGTCACTCTCGCTTTCAGGACGCCCAAAGCCACCTCCCTGGAGCGCCCCTCACATCCCCCTCGGCTGCGTCACAGGATTCTCCAACAAAGGCTTCCTCAGTCCTTCACTTCTCCTGCCCCAGAGCCCGGGGACATTGTTTGTTTGTTTCTTTTATGGACAGATAATTTTATTGTCTCATTTTCCCTAGTTTATGAAAACTTTTTCTGCTCATTACACTTTATTATTATTTTTAATTGTCACTGTGAGGAAGACCCCCTACTAAGCTGTTCATGATTAAATTTCAGCCTTGCAGCGTTCAGACCCCAGGAGACATCCTTCCAGATGCTGCCCAGGTCTCCAGGGGACAGCGGTCAGCTGTACTTGCCCGACAGGGTGTGGGGCTGTGCTGGGCTCGAAGGCTGTCAGTGTCCCCCAGTTCTGCCCCAGTCCTTTGGCCCTGAGACTGGGGTCAGGGCTGGGGAGCCCAAGCACTGCGTGTCTGGGAGCCCCTGGACAGCCCTGAGGTGACATTTCTGCCGTCTTAGGACAGGAGAAGGGAAGGGCCCGAGGGCGCCTGGGCCTGCAGGTGACCCCAGGCAGGTGACTCCCACAACCCACCATGGAACTTGCCGCATCCTCCTGGGAGTGTGACCAGCACAGGACTCGAACACAGGAAGGCGTAACCAGAACCCTGGGGTCTCCTCAGCTTGTCCTGGAGACAAGATGCAGGATCTGGGCCCAGTGTGGGGGCGGAGGAGGGGTGAGGAGGAGCCCAGGTGTCCCGGTGGCCACTGTGTCCTTCGTCCCTCCTGTCACGTGCCCTCCCTCAGAGCAGTTCCCCGGGTCCTGCCCCCAGATGGGGAATTTCAAGGATCCCTTGAAAGTTCCTGTTGGGGTGGGAGGGCCTTGTATGTGGCCCCCCCACCATGTAGTCCCTCAAGCCCCAGAGCCCTATAAGGTCCCCTGAACCCCGCCAGGAGTGAGTCCTGGGCACTGCCAGGTGTGTCCCCCAAACAAAAACAAACAAACCACAGGAAAGAGGGAATGAGGGTCCCTAAGAATGAGGTGACATTCGTGATAATGGTTCTCAACACTCCGGCACTCCAGCACCCAGCACACCAGGAGTGACCCTGAGCACAGAGCCAGGAATCAGCCCTGAGCCCCTCCAACTGTGGCCCAGCCCCTCCAATCCACTCTCCCACCCCCCCCCCCCCACCCCGCCCTCCACACACGCCACCGCCACCACAAAGACAAAGAGAGCTTCTGGGAAGCGCTGATGGGCTTTGGTCGTTGTTCTGTTTTGGGCCACACCCGTGCTGCTCAGGGCTGACTCCTGGCTCTGAGCTCAGGAATTATTCATGGCGGGGGTGCTCAGGGAAGCACCTGGGCGGGGGGAGTGTGGAACCCAGTGCCCTTCCCCAGCCCTGGGACCCTCATGGGCATTTAACACAAAACACCAACAAACAGCCTCACACGCCCGCCTGGTTTTCTCAAGTCCCAGAGTTTAGGTGCTGGGCTGTTGGCGCGTCAGGCCCTGCTGGGGTCAGGGCTGGCCACGGCTCCGCTGATGTCCCTGTCACCCCAGGCACTCAGCCCGCTGTCTTCGCCTTCCCCTGTGCCACGCTGCTCACCGTGACACTGGCATTTGTGGTGTATGTCAGCGTGCGGAACTCAGCCCAGGACAAGGACCTGATGGAGGTGGGTGGGACTCCGCCCCGCCCCCCCCCAGGCATGGGGAGGTAGAGGGGACCCACCCCGGCTAGATGAGGTGTATGGGACCCCTCCTTGGGGCATGGGGAGGTGTGTGCCCCCCTCCAGGCTGATGAGGTGGTCAGGGTGATGGGACCCTGCCCTGGGGACTGGTGCCTGTGGCTCTGCAGGCTTGACTCCGGGCTGAGCACTGCAGGAGTTGGGGCGGCTTTATCCCACAGACCGGCCACATTCTGGGCCCTGCGGGGCAGCTGTGTCACAGACCCAGGGCAGGGACAGGGACACCTGAAGCCAGTGGCCCCGGGGCGTGACTGGTGGGGTTTTGTTCACTGTAGGTGGCTGATTTTGACTTTTCCTCCATGTCTGACAAGAGCCCGGAGCCCACCCCCGGGGCCAGGAGCTGCTGCGGGCCCTGCTGCGGGCACTGGGTGCTGGATGCGCCCACTGAGTACCTGGAGGTGGTTCAGGAGACGCAGGGGCTGCTGCTGCTGCTCACCAAGGCTGCCAGGACCTACATGATGTGAACGCCCGGTGCCCACCTGTGCCCATCCCGCCCCTTGCCCGCCCCCATCGCAGAGCCCACCTCTGCCTGGTCCCGCCCCCATCGTGGTCCGTTCCCTCCCACCGCATACCCTTCCCCCATCTTCATCCCCTCTGCCACTGCCCCTGGATGTCCAGCCCTCCCCCATGAGTCCCTCCCACATCCTCTGACCAAGGGGGTATATTATGCTGCCCTCCCTGACATCCCCCACGGTCTGCAGGGCTGGGAGCAGAGTGGGGAGACCTCTGGGTACCCCGCAGACTCGCGCCCACCCTGCACTCAGAACCCAGCACCTGAGTCTCGGTGGGGTCCTCAGATACCTGCTGGCCCTGCCCCCCTCCAGGGGGGGCCTGAGGTCACTACCTTCCCTGCCCGCTTGTTCTGGGTCATGGTGGGGACCGGTGGCCTCACTGGTTCCGAGGGGTCACATCGGGCACCTGGGGTTCCCGGAGGGGTGGGTGCCCTGCTTGTCACCCAGAGGCTTCCAGGGGGCCTCTGAGAAGGGCCTGAGAGTGAGGGGGAGGCTGCCGCAGTGGGGAGGGGACTCCTGGGCCTTGGGGGGGGGGTCCAGAGAGGGGCTCCCCTGCCTCATCTCCCCTGCAGACTGTGTGGGCAGAAGCAGTGTCCCCCCTGCTGCGTGTCCTCACGAGATCCTGCTGAATAAAGCTCACAGGCACCAGCTCAGAGGGTCTGTGCCACTTCGTGCCCCTTCACCATGACTCATGTATTTGGAGCAGAAATGTGGTGACCTGCAGGTTGACTCCCAGCACCTGCTGGCCAACAGGAAGGAGCAAGAGGGTCCTTCCAAGTGGCCCCAGAATGCAGCCCCCCCCTCCCCTCTCCACTGCCCGCCCCAGAGCCCGGGACGCCGCTCAGCCTCATGCATGTCCTCTGTGCCCAACTGGCCCCTGGCATGTCCTTAGAACTGCAGGGACCTCTGGTCCTCCTGTTTGTCGCCAGCCAAGGAAGGCCCTCAGGGCAATCCTGAGGAGGGGCTGGGGGGAGGGGGTGGGGAGCAGCTGTGCTGAGGAGCTGGAGGCTGGGCTGGGCCTGCTCCGCCGCTGAGAGGAGTGGCCTTCCAGCAGGCCCTTGGTCAGGGTGGCCGGGTGACCCCTGTCAACACACACGGAAGGGAGGCATAACATTCTGTTGTTGCACACTGGTTTTGGGGGACTGGGGTCATACCTGATGGGACTCAGGGGACCATATGGTTCCAGGCGTCCAGCCCAGGCCTCCGAGTGCAGGGCTTGTGCCTCCAGCCCATTGAAGCGGTCACTCCAGTTTATTTTCAATAGATTCACAGCATTTTCTTCCTTTGGGAATGTAGATAAGACCTGGCAATAGAAATTGCAGATCTTTTCTCATTACATCCCAATTGCTGTATATAGTCCCGAGGGAGGCCCACAGGGGCTTGGGGCCAACCCCAGAAAGGAGCCTTTTGGGGGTCATTTAATAATAGCCCAGGGCTTCGCCTCCTCCGGACCAAGGAGTAAGATGCAGTTCTCCTTATGACCAGCAGGTGGAAGCCCAGTCCTTTTCCTCTCCTGGTCCCTGGTCCACTGGCTCAACAGGACCAGAGGGACACGGAGGGTCGAGGCCCCTGCAGCTGAGCTATTCCCAGACACGTACACACTGTGGACACACGTGAACACATAGGCATATGCACATCATACCAGATGAGCGGCCGACCTAGGAACCAGCTTCCAGCGCCTCCAGCTCTTTCCAGGATAGAAGCATTCTTTTTTTTTTTTTGCTTTTTGGGTCATACCCAGCGATGCTCAGGGGTTCCTCCTGGCTTTGCACTCAGGAATCACTCCTGGCAGGGTGCTTGGGGGATCATATGGGATGCTGGGAATCGAACCCGGGTGGGCCGCGTGCAAGGCAAACGCCCTACCCGCTGTGCTATTGCTCCAGCCCCTGCCTCTCCTGTTTTGACCCTTGTAGTTCTCCAGGGGTTAGCTTCTCATCCACAGGGGGACAGGAATCACACCCAGGCTCAAAAGCATTAGGTGTCACGGGGGTGAGAAGGGGGAGGTGGGGGTTCAGATGGTGTCGCGGGGGGCACAGTGAGGGCCCAGGCTGTGGGCCGCCCGACCCCTCGGATGAGAGGGGACCCCCAGAGAGGAAGGTGTCCCCAGCAGCTGCTGGCCTGATTGTGCCCCAGCACCCAGAAAGCAGATGCATAAACCCTCCCCAGCCACTCCGGCAGCCAGTCCGGAAGCTGAAAGGTGGGATTCCCAGCTGTCCACCAGTGGGAGACGGAACTGTGGCACAGCAGGAAGTTCTTCCACCTCAGACTGGACCAGAGCACAGACATAGCAGGAGCCGGACTCTGGGGAGAGGTCGGGGGGCTCCTGGCTCTGTGCACACACAGTCCCTGCCACCACAGTAAACAGAGCAACACATTATGCAAATGTCACCCACATAAATTGGGGGGGAGCACACCTGGCGGTGCTCAGGGCTTGTTCCTGGCTCTGCACTCAGGGATCGCTGCTGGCAGTGCCTGGGGAACCATATGGGATATTGGGGCTCAAACCCGGGGAAACGGGTTTGTGCTATCGCTCCAGTCCCATGTAAATATCTTCAATGAGAGAGAGTGTGAAGGAATGGGTGCATCTTCCAGGCCTTCATTTTGGAACATTCTGGGTTCATCAGTTGGCCCCTGCATCAGAGTCCCGCAGATTCTGGGCATGGGGCAGTTGCCAGCTTTGCTGCTTCATGGCAAAGGGCTGTTGGGGAGCCTGAGGTGGAAAATTCTGGAAGTATCAGTGTGAGGCACTCTCGGGGGGGGCCCAGCATCCTGCCTCCAGCAAGCAGTGGGCACCTAGGTGGACACTTCTATCCACGGTCTCTCTGGCCCCTCTGCCGTGGGGACACTATGGCCCAGAGGGGGATGCCTGACTCCCGGACTCTCCCAGTGCCCTTCATCTCCTCTCCCAGTGCTGAGAAGTGTCCAGCCCCCCAACAGGGCTGGGGTGCAGGGACAGGCGAGGGGCTGGTCCCCTGGGAACCCAGGGCTAACACACCACTGCCTCCTTCCCAGCCCTGGGGGTGTCCGCTGGGCTTCCTCCCCCTGTCAGCGAGCCCTGTCCCTCTGAACCGCACCATCATTCTGGGCTCTTGCTGGTGGGCAGTGCTGCCTTGGGCACCAGGCGGTGTGTGTGTGTGTGTGGGGGGGGGGGTGTTCAGACAATGCTGAGTGGGGGACACCCCAGGCAGGGAAGCAGGCAAATCCCCCACTGTAAGGGCCAGAGTTGGAGCCCACGTGGGTGCTTTTCCAAGCTGGGGGGTGATCAGAGTTGAGAGAACATGCGGGGTACCGTGGTGGGCAAGTATCCCTGTCTGCCTTTGCAAGGGTCTTCTCTTTCCTGCCAAGCCCCGGCCCGCGCGCTATACCAGGTATGGTCAGCAGGGGGAGCCGAAGCCTTTTCTCTGCGCAGCCCCAGATCCTGCCCCCCTATCCCCCGCCCATTCCCGCCCAGGGTCCGGTCTGAGTCCCAGCCAGCACCAGCTCTGGCCCGGCACAGAATCGCCCAATTGCTCTTGTGTGTGTGGTGGGGGTGGGTCAGCACTTAGGGAACCCCGGGGGCCACTGCCATGACACTCGGTTGAAAGCACCAGATGTCTCAACAAGCCTCAGTTTCCCCAGAGAGATGCCTTGGGTGTGGGTAGAAGCACTTTGTCCCCGCAGCTGGGGCACAGCTGGGGTCTCGGCCCTATGCGGTGGGGAGGTGTCCAAGGGGGGCTGAGCGCAGGGAGGCCTTGGAGACTGCGCAGAGCACCCCCAAACTCTCAAGGGGCCTTGGGGGACAGTGCCGGGGTGCAGGTCCCCCCTCTCTCGACGCCTGGGGGAGGCCGGACAGTGTACAGGGGATCCTGGCACAGACCTCCTTGCGGGCTGCCCCTGGGGGTGTCCCCAGACCGCCCCCCCCCATTGTTCCCTGGTGTCTGATGACCTTCAGAAGGAGTTTGCTGTGATTTTCCTCACAGCCCAGCCTGCAGCCCCATCTTTAAAAATAGTTGCAGAAAAGCCCATTGCTTATTCAATGAGGTCTTTTGTTGGGGGAAAAAAACCAGCCCTGCGGGCTTGCGTTTGTTTAGTTCATAAAGGTCCAGTGCAATGATCAGAGAACCAGCTCCTTAGAGAAAACTGAGATTCTGAGGAGGGAAAGAGGGGGCCTGGCCTGGGGGGGGGGGCCTGACCCGACCCCTCTGGCAGCCCAGAGCAATCTCCTGAGCCGAGTGGGTCCCGCCTGCGCTCCCTCTCTCCCCTACCTGTCCCCCCACCCCACCCCAGCTCCTCTGTCCTCACCTACGCCCTCCCACTCACCTGTCACTGCAACCTCTGCCCAGGTCTCCAGAGACGCCTCGTGCGGAGTCTCCACGCCCTCCAGTCTTCTCCATGTGAGGTTCCCATGAGCTGGGGGAGCTGTGAGCCCAAGCAGTGGACACTGTCCACTCCACTGGCATTTAGGCATTTAGAAAGAGCGCCCCCCTCGACCCTCACACACCCGTGAAGGTCTTTGTCAGAACTGTAGCTTCTCCCTGCCGGGACCTTTGTCTGGCCCGAATGTGGAGGCGAGAGCTGAGTGGGTTGGGCCTCCGGGACTCCCCTTCACCTCAAAGCCGCTGAGGTTTGCTTTGAGTTTGGGGGCGGGGGTCTACTCCCACAGCTTCTTAGGGGTTACTGCATGTCTGGTGCGGCTCCTGGCAGTGCTGGGGATGGAATCGCGGCTCCCGCTGGCCGAGTGAAACAGGAGGCCCTCAGGAACTGAGCCTGCAGGGAGATACTGAGGCTAGAGCAGAGATGTGGATTCACTGAGGGCCACGGAGGAGACGCTCAGAGAACCCCTCCAGAGCACGGGGTGAGTGCACTTTCCTGTCCCTCTGGAGGGAGAATCATTTTAGAGATGCCATAATCAGGGGACCGTGACCAGCAACTCAGTTGGGAGCCTTGCTCGGGCCTGGGACTGGGGTCCCACG